AACTTTTGAGTTTGCTGCTTTTAAGGTTCTTTTCCTATAGGCTTTTGCTGTGCATGGTGCTTGGTTGTCATGGGCTGTAATCAAGCAGTTGTGAACAGGTGATTTGACTGTTACTGAAAATCCTGGAATCCCTTCATTTTTGTCATTAAGGAGATTGCCAGGCCTTAATTTTGAATTGAACACAAGGTGGTTACAGCTGTCTGTGAAGACTGTGAAGATGCATTTTCTTAGTAGAATAGGAAGGTCCTTTCTTCTAGATACTTTTTGTTTGTAGTAAAAGGTTTAAGTGTACTGCTTTCTCTTTTGTAGGCCTAAGCCTAAACAAAGAAAACCTCAGTCAAAATATTTATACAGGACATAGCAACAACTTACCACTGTCCTTTTGCTCAGTGAATGTGTGTAATGTTCTGGTGTAGTATTTCTAATGTATCATGCCTCTGAAAATTTTAGGTTTGGGGTTTGGTTTGGTTTGGGTTTTTTTTTGTTGTTTGTTTGTTTTTGGGTTTTTGTGTGGGTTGTTTTTTTTGTTTTGTTTTGTTTGTATTTTTTTTAAAATTAATATATATTTATTTACTTTATATGACCTTAAACATATCAGTGTTTTCTTAGGTTATTTAAGTTCTGGCATCAAGGTTCACAATGAGGAAGTGTTTGCCTGCTGTAAGCCATGGATAATCCTTTTCACATGTTTAGGATTTGGGCCTAATGCTGGAGTTCCCAGAGCCCACTGCTATCTTCCTTATATTTCTGTAGATAATCTGTGCTGTGGTAACCAGAAAAAATATCACTGTATTTGGACTGGCAAAATGTATTTTCGATGATATTGCAAGAAGCACAGGCTAGCCTTTTTTCTGATGAGACAGAAACACAGTAGGACTCAGCTCTGGAATAATTCCACAAGTAGTATCTACTCTGCTGGAAATTAATATATTACAAACATTTGAGTTGATCTGCAGTGGAGTTGATGGTAGACTTTACATGATTCTGAAGACTGAGAATGAGTGGAAATACTGCCAGAAAAAGCAGATCTAGATGGCAGATAACATCATCGAAGAAAAGCAGCATATATTGCAAAGATCTTAATCTGTAAATGTCAGTGTTACTACCCCTATTTTCACTTTGTACGGTGCAACATGGACTCCGTATCTGTGAAAAACATTAAGGAAATTAATACTTTATAGTAAAGGGTATTCTTGAAGCAGTGTCTTCTATGAAGATTTTCTTGAGCATTGCAGGGGCATCTTTGGAACAGAAATCTGAAATTCCATGGCATTGTGGTGTTCTGGTATGGTGTTTGGTTTTGGGGTGTTTTTTTCTTCCTTTTTTTTTTTTTTTTTTTTTTTTTTTAGGGTTGGATTTCTGACCAAATTAGGTGCACACATGCACAATAACAGTTTTGTAATGTCTCTTGGTTACTTCTTGAAAAAACCTAAAATGAAATTGATTAGGATGTTAGTTACACTATGTTCAGAGAATCATAGAATGGTTTGGGGTGGAAAGGACCTTAAAGATCATCTAGTTCCAACCCCCCTGCTATGGGCCGGGACACCTTCTACCAGACCAAGTTGCTATGTTACATCCATTCTTCCCTCTTCTCTGCCCCATCTGTTACGTTGAGGTTGAATACATGATTGTAGTGGGGAATAGGCAGGAGAGACCATGACCGTGATGAGAAAGTGAGGACTACTTTAATTGTTCTCTACATTTGTCATTCCTCTGGGTTAAAACTGCCCCAGGGGAGGTAAATGGATTGAGTCTTGGAGAAACAGTCCCAATAGGCTCTTGTTACACTGGGATATTAGTGTGTAACATATGTTTGGACTTCTCTGACTATAAGAAAATTGTCAGATCTAGAACTACAACTGTGTGGCTGAACCAGTTCAAATTCCTGTTCAAGGTGTGCACTTAGGCTCAATAAAGCAATAGTACTTAAAAGAAAAATTGGCTGTGCTAGCAAAAGTCTACAGCAGTGGTGGATTCAACATGTGTTTCAGGTGTTGGGTTTAGAGTTCTCAGCATTTTGTGAATCATAAAAAGGAATTTAAAATATTATTTTTCTATTTTATGAAAAAGAAAATACAGATTTATTTCATGCTGCTTAGGCAGTGAAGTTTTGGCTCTTTGAGCTCAGATGCAGTATTCTGTTAGTTTACATGTTATTACAGTGAGAGAAGAGTTCCCAAACTGAAGACTTTGGGCAAAGGTGTGGGTTTCTGGAGGAAGCACCCTTGGATATTTTTTATAGCTGTTACTGACCTTCATTTTTCCAACTGCCTTTAGGCGATGAGAGGCAGGCATCACAATTCAGTGGTGTATTTCATTGTTGGTCTTAACTTCATGTATGTAGCTGAAACAATTTCTTTATTTCCCCCTTATTCCTCATCTTACCTGTACATTGTTGTGAGAATAGTCCCTTTTGCCACAGTGTTGTTCTGAAGACTAATGCAGGGTAAATACAGGCTCTATGTCATACCCGTGAGATGTTTTAAAATGTGGGCACCAATGATATGGTAAAGCAGATCAGACAGGACTTCATAGCCCTGGGGTCATGAGTGAAGGGGACAAGGGGCCCAAGTGATCTTCTACTTTATCTTGCCAGTTAGAGATAGGGGTGTAGGCAGAGGTTGACACATGGTGCAGATCAACACCTGGCTTTGTGACTGGTGTCCTCACCAGGTGTCATGGTTTGAGCCCAGAGGGCGACTGAGCACTACAATAGCTGCTCACTCACACCTTTCCCCTTGGGGCTGGGGAGGAGAATTTAAAACAAAAGGCTTGGGAGTCGAGATGAGGACAGGGAGGGATGACTTGCCCATTATGGTCTTGGCCAAAAGTCAGACTTGGCTGGGGAAGGAAAAAAGAACACCAATTTAATGTAAACATCACCACTGCCACCACTTAAATTACCAATCAGAATAGGACAGTGAGAAATACAACCACATCTTAAAAACACCTCCCCCCACATCTCCTTTCTTCCCAGGCCCAGCTTTGCTCCCAATTTCTTTACCTCCTCTCCTGCAATTGCACAGGGGGGCAGGGGAAGGGGGGTTGCATCACACGTTGTCTCTGCCACTCCTTCCCCCTCAAGGGGGAGGACTCCTAACACTCTTCCCCTGCTCCAATGTGGGGTCCCTCTCACAGGAGACAGTCCTCCATGAACTTCTTTTGACAGAGCCGTAGCTCTTCACGAATTGCTCCAGCGTGGGTCCTTTCCTCTGGCTGCGGTCCTCCCAGCAACACACTACTCTAGCGTGGGCTGCCTTCAGAGTCCTGGCCTTCTTTCAGTTCAGGCACCTGCTCTGGTGTGGGGTCCTCCGTGGGCTGCAGGTGGGCATCTGCTCCACCAGTGACCTCCATAGGTGGCAGGGGAACGGCCTGTCCTCTCATCACAGGCTGTAGGGGAGTATCTGCTCCAGTGCACCTCCCCCTGCTCTATCTTTCTTCAGCTGACCTCAGTGTTTGCATAGGTATTTCCCTCACGACTCTTCCTTCTCTCAAGTTCCCCTTCTTAAATACATTATCACAGAGGTGCAGTCACAGTCACTAATTGGTTCAGCCCTGGCTAGAGGTGGTTCCGACTTGGAGCCAGGGGAGCTTTGAGAAGCTTCTCACAGGATCCAGCATTGTAGCCCCTTCTCCTGCTACCAAAACCCCACCACACACAACCCCAAAACACCAGGGCTTTAGTTTCTGTGATCACAGGACATTCTTTGGTGATTACAGGGAGAGATGGCATCCATATACCTAGAAGAAGGAGAATCTTTGTTGGCAGATTGCCTGATTTAGTGACTCACACTTTAAACTAATGCTCTTGGGGGATGTGGTCCCAAGCTGGGACACTTGTATACTTACAAGCAGCAGGGTGAGTGAATGCACCTCCCAGAGCAGTGATGAATGTGCCCCAACCATCCAAAAAGGTGAGAGAGTTGACAGTCAAACTGAAATGCTTCTATATCAGTTTGAGCGGCATGAATAACAAGCAGGAGGAGTTGGAAAGCTGTCATCTGACCACTATCACTGAAACTTGGTGGGATGAATTACGTGATTGGAGCACTGCAGCTGATGACTAACAACTGTTCAGGAGGGACAGGCAAGGAAGGAAAGATGGGGGTGTTGCCCCCTATGTTAAAAAATCGATTGATTGTACAGTGCTTTTTTTGAAATAGCAATGCACAAGTCGAGAGCTTATGGGTGAAAATCAGAGACCAAGCCAACAAAGGAAACCTGGTGGTTGGTGTTTTACTACAGACTGCATATCAAGGGAAGACACTGATGAATTGTTCTTCAACTACAAGAAGCATCATGCTTGCACCCCTTGATTCCGCTAGGGGACTTTAGTGACCCTGACATCTGCTGGAAAAGATGATCTTTAAATGGTCCCTTCCAACCCAAACGATTCTGCGATTCTAAAACAAGTTTCTTGTGCTTCAGGAGGGAGAAGACTGAGGTGGTGTTCTGCTGACCCAACATCTGAGGTGTGAGATGAACAATAGCTGTGTTGGATAGCCTTGTCTATTTGCCATAGGAAAGTATCATAAAAAAATCAGAGCATGCCTCTGTGTGATAAAGCCAATGTCTGAGAGAGTTTGAAAGTCCTGTTTTCTTAGATTTTGAAGTACATAACTGGTACTGATTTTACTCTAGAATTATTTTGAGAATACTTTGCAAGAGGTAGATGATAACTGCTGTAAATGCTGTGGGATGTGCACCAAAGAATCCTATAAATCACCTAATAGAAAGTACTGATGTGTTTTGTGGTATTCAAAGTCTGGTCAGTTGTGTGTTGTGCTGAAGAGTATTGGATGTTTTCCTGGTTCGGTTTGTTGGCTTTAATTCCTCAGGGCACGTACTAATCAATGAAATAAGCATATGAAATTAGCTGATGCTTTTAACTGCAGTGTGGTACTTACAGTGAGAGAGGGTGCTATATATTTAAAGGCTTTGGTGGAATAATGCCTCAATCTGTTGTACTCAGTAAGTTTGTTTTCCTTTCTCAACAGGATACAGGGGAGCTTCCAGAAGTCAGTCAAGATGAATATGGTGAAGAGGATCATGGGCCGGCCACGGCAGGAGGAGTGTAGCCCCCAGGATAACGCGCTGGGCTTGATGCATTTGCGTCGCCTCTTCACAGAGCTCTGTCATCCTCCACGGCACATGACCCAGAAAGAACAAGAAGAAAAACTTTACATGATGTTGCCAGTGTTTAACAGGGTAAGCTAGAGAATCTGCAAGAGGCGTTTTCTTTATTTGAATTGACTGCTCATATTCTGTATTCCCAAGACCTTTGGTTCTAGCACAACAGAGTTTTTTCTTCTGTTGGCATCCCTTCGGTTTTCCCCTTCTTGCACAGTGTTGTGTTAGTGGATAAACATACCATTGGAGATTTCCTTCTATTACCACTTTTTCTGAAGTGCAATCCATAGTTGCATGTAGACTGTCACAGAGCTTTTCCACAGAGCTAGCAATTATTACAGACCGATCTCATTTCCAACCTAAACTTATTTATAGCAAGTTAATAACCAGTTGTTTATGTGACAGCAGCGTCCTTGAGTCTGAATAACTCTTCTCCCTTCACATTTATTGTACTTATACATATTTAGAGATAAAAATCATAATATCTCCTGACAGAGTTGGTTTTGCTAGGCTACATGAGCTGAACAATTTTAATCTCCTCTTGTGACAAATTCTCTATATTCTCATCACCCTTTTGTAAGCCTTTTCTTGTGTACTGAGTCTGAATCCCTCTTCTTGGACAAGAGGGATTTTGAACAAGCAATCTGTAGGGGAGATTTAATAGCCACTTGTACAGTGCCATTCATATTTCACTACTCCCTTGTGTTCAGGTGCTGAGATTTTGTTGGGAGGCAGGACTGTGGTGATTGTCACTGGAATTAAAAGGTGCTAAATCCTCCTGATGTTGTGTCACTCAGTTATTCTGCCACTTCATTATGAATAACTTTGAAGGTAGTTTTAGGGTCTTGAAAGAGCAGTAGGTAAAGATCTAGGTTTCCTTTTTTTTTTTCTTCCTCCCTGTTCTGACCTGAATCCTCAGTCCTGAAGCTCCTCTTGAGTGATGGATTTGTGCTTGTATACGCTACTATGGAGAACTGGAATAGTCCAAGAACTGAAATGCAAAAAAGTTTATGGGGAAATCACCTCTGCTTTATCTTTTTTTAGATTGATGTTTTGTTGAAGGTATGGTTTATGATGGTGTTAGATATTGAACTGCTTATATGCTGTATGGAAAAATGAATCCTAGTCAAGACAGTAGGATTTTCAGTCTACTAGGTATCATGCTTTAGTGGATAGATCCCCTAAACGTCATTCTGTTGCCCTGTGTCTTACTTCTAGTTCTACTGGTAACCTGTTGTGTGTGTTTGGAAGAAGAAAGCTCAGTTCATCTGCTTCCTTTTTAATTTATCTGCTTGGATTGTATGCCCTTTAGTTATGGACTTTCTTAATTTGTTTTTACAAATTAGTACAATGGAATCTTAATCTTGGTTTGTGCCTATGAAGATTATTTTGATACAGTTATGCTTAAAAATCTCCCTCTGCTGGTTACAGGTAGCTGATGCCTCTGAGAAAGGGAACGTACCCACTATAGCTGCTTCAGGATTTAGTTGTAATCTGTGGGCAGAGAAGAAATTTTTTCCTGGCCCTTGTGGTAGTTATTTGCAGTATCATTTTATCTATGGAAATCGCAGTTGGTGATATAACTGGGTTTAAGAAAAACTAGTGCAGTAATGAATGTCCTATTTCCATACAGCAGTCTAAGGAATACTTTGATGAGACTTCAGAGATTAAAAAAAACAGTTAAGTTTTAATTTTTTTGTTATTTCTCCCTTTTCTCTTTTTCCCCCTGTGTTTCTTATTATACTTTTTTTTTTTTTTTTCTCCTTTACACCGCTTGCTGACTTCGTCCTAATTCTCAGTCCCTCTGCTTGACTGTGGTGAAGCCTAGTTGTAGTTGCCTCATGTCTCTGCACCATTTGTTTTCTCTCACTGTCCTTCATTCAGCTCATGTGTTGAAGCATTCTGAAAAATGAATCAGTAGCCCCAAGTTTTCTTTTTACTCTATCAAAATCAGCTCTTGCCAAACTAGTCTCTGGTACCATTTAGATTTCTTGAAAAGTTTAATGGTTTCTGTGATTTCCATCTGTATGAATACATCTTGACCAGTCTTTTCTCCTAGATTGCAGTTTTTCCCTTGTTTATCATAGGTTTTTCCTTCCCCACATGTTCCCTGTGTCTCTTTTCTATTCTTTATAGAATCCATCTGATTTTGTAGATGGACTCTTTTCCCTGCTTTAAATCCAAGATTCTTTTGTTCCCTTCTTTACTGAGGTGAACTTGATCCTGAAGACATGTATTCTTCTGTGCTTGCCAAATGTTTTGCTTTTGGATCCTGCCTGAGGTTGTGCCCCTTCCCTCTTGTTTTCTTGTTTGTTTTTAACATCAGTAGCTTCAAACTCTGGTAGTTTTTAATCTGTGACCTTCTCGGAGTTGCCCTTCTTGCCCCAAATACAGGCTGCTGCTGGCTGTTGTCACTTCACTTTCCAACCTCTGTAGAATCTGAATCGTACTCTGGCCCATTGAAGGAAGCATGTATTGTTTGTGCTCTTTCACTTCCTTTCTTGCAGTCCTTGATAACAATTATCAGACATCAGTGAACTGTTGGTGTAGCACAAACAAAACTGGTTTCACCTTGTTCAATCAGGTCTCATCTGTCCCTGCTACAGAGGGATTTTTTTTTTTTCCCTGCATTTCATATAAATGTGTTCTTGTCTTCCTGTGTTCAAGAGGCTGAGCAGTTGTGATGTCATCTATTTATTTCTACTTTCCACAGTTTACAGTTTAGGTTCCTGGTTAATGCCACCCTCTTATTTTAAGGCTTACATGAGGCAAATCTGCTGTGGCTTCCTTGGCTTATCTAGTTTTGTGTCTTCAGGAGTGTCAACTGTCTGTGGTACAGCTTATTTTGGAACAATCCTGCAATCTTAGTAACTCTGCAAGTCAGAGTAAGACAAACTCTGAAATTGATTGGAATAAAAAATAGAACACGAGAAATATTTCATTTTCCAAAGAGTCTTATATGAGATTTTCAGTGGGAGGTATAGTAAATCTTGGTTCATTCTAAATTCTGAGCTGACTCCCCTTTGAGACCTGCTTTTACTGACAGGAAACACTAAAACATTGGTAGAATTTCCTTTTTAAAATTTTTATTGGTTCTTAAATATAGTCCTTAGCTGCAAATGTTTTAAGTTGTGAGTTAATAACTTGATTCAAATTCAGACTCTGAATCCCTCAGTTACTTTGCATAGTTATCTGTATTCTGTTGAGCAGGTTTAAGTGAGGTTGAGTACTTTTTGTGTTACAGCCTCAAGCAAAGTCTGTGATGGTGTACTGTAGAAGTATTATTGGTTGTAAGATTGGGATGTCTGTGTTTAGGAGGTAGAAACCTCAGATAAATTGTGGAGCTCAGATCAAGACTTCTGTACCATGACTTGATGTGTACTTTGGAATGTCTCTTGTACAGAGTTCTGAGCTGTTGGAAGTGGGAGCTGCATGTGTTTGGCTGGAAGCTGGGAGTGTGTGTGTGTGTGTAAGAAATCCAGGAAAAAGTTCTCAAGAAGCATGATTTTTACTGAATGCAGAGATCTAGAGTGAGGAAGGTAAATCTGCTACCCATAGGCATCCAAGTGGCCAGCAACAGGCAGCCAGTTAAATAACCAGTGAGCCAGGAGCGCTTTCAAGACTTTCGTGCTTAATTGTGTATGAGGTTTGGGTTTGTTTTTTTGTGTTTTCAGCTTTTTTTGTTGGTTTGTTTATTCTGTTTTTTCCTCTCTTCAGAGATATCCGAAGTTTTGTGTGAAATGCAGTTCCATTTTTTTTCCTGATATTTTGAGAATTATTAATCAGTAAATCCAGAAGAGCTAAAGCATTCTTAACTTTGATTTATGGATACAGCATGTCTCAAACATCTTGCTAGTTCTGGTAACAAACGGGTTTACAGACCATTTCAGCTTCCTCATTGTTCAGAGAGACTTAAGAAACGATGAATCACATAGTAATGAAAAGCTAAATCGGGTCATAAGTAGTATTGGAAGAGTACTCAAAAGGCTTGTTTCAGATTTCAGTGTGTTTGTGGAAGCATTGCTCTACCACCACGGTAGTAACGCTTTTGCGGTATGTGAAAAAAGTAGATGGAATGATGAAGAATAGGTGGTACATTGCTTACATTTTCTTGCAAGAGCCTTGCTTTTCCTTATTAAAAAGATGATTACTGGTAAATGTTTCGTATCCTGTTCCTGGTTTTTACTGCCACCGTTAGTCAAAGAGTATATCAATATCCAATGCAGATGTTTGTTCTACACAGTGCAAACTTGGTCATGTAGCAACTAACTGAAAACCGGTTCACTTCAGTCAATCTTTTACTGTAACTTTGAGCTTTCTGTGTTTCCTGGGATCTACTGAAAGCTTTAGGCAAGCTCAGGACAGGTAACAGGGCTATTGTTTTTTCCCTCTTTCCTTGCTCTGAGCAAAAGAGCTTTAAAATGTGCAATGATGGCAAGATGCTCTGCCACTGTGCATTGTAGTCTAGATAATCTTGCTTTGGTTATACCAGTGAACACACAAGCCTCGAGGCCCTCTTCCCTTCTTATAGCCTCTTGGAAATTAGAGGCTCTCAGATGAATTGGGGAGCTGGTGCAGACAACTGCAAAAGGGGAGGTCTTGTAAAAGATTTAGAGAAATTTGAATTGTCTGTACTAGGAATGTTTTGTACTCTAATCCAAATGAGGGATGTTATCTTAGTTTGTTGAAAACAGTCGTCTGCCTGTAATGTCTGGGCTCCTGTTTGCTTTCTTTAATGATAATGGTACTTGAAATTTTCTGTATGAGAAATGCTTAAGTTTTCAGTGAAAAATACATTAATTGTAAGGAAACTTGAGTGTTTTATTTCAATGTTGGTATTTCTGGCTACGTTTCATCATGACTTTGCAATGCGAGTAGGCAGGAAAAATGTCTTTTGGCTGTTTGTAATGTGCCAGAGCAACTGATACTAAGGGGGAGGAGTAAGAAGTCCAACTTAGACAAAGGTTCTTCTGTCTTCAGCCTTTTAAGTTTTCTTCAGTAACTTTGGGGTTCCAAGGTAAGTTGGTACCACAGTTATATTGCATCCTTGTTGACTGTAATATTGAGGATTTCACTGGACATCCCTAGATTTCAGAGTGACCTCGGTCAAGTATGTCAGCAGCTCAGCTGGAATAGTATAACTGGGTCATCCAGGGAAAGGAGACAAGGGTGAAGCAGCTGTTGAGTCCAAATCAATTGTACTGCTGTAGATCGTGTCCTCTTTGTGAGAGGCAAATACAACATGTTGAACTAAAGTTCTTTTAGAAAAGTACTGTAGTTTTTTATGCTTCCTGGCTCATCGCTGAAACTCCTGGAGGCTACATAAATAGCTGCGAGGGAGAAAAAGGTAAATAAGCAGAGAGGTATTGAGACTGTTCAGGTGTTTAGCAGGTTATTGTGTTTATTCAGCACTGACACAAGTGATGATACCAGAATTTGGATTGCATGCTTTGTTTGATAATGAATATTGTGGGTTTACTGTGACTGTTTCAGTGCAAGGTTTACAGCAGAAGTGTGGATGGAGACTCCTTTCTGTGTGCAGCCTTGAATGGAAAAGTAAAATAGCTCAACGACTAGTTAATCCATTTTGAGATAATGTCATGTTCCATAGCTTAGTGTAATACTGCAGAGTTAATGCATTTCTCCCTGTTAAATGTGATTCGGTAAATGATCTAATAACCAAATCAATGCTGAATCATGAAGAATAAGTTACTAGAATTAAGTGACAATTTATGAGAAAAAGTCCCCAGTAAACTACTGCTGTTACATTCAGGAGGACCTCAGGGGAGGAGAGTAAGGCCTTGGGATGCCAGCAATATGGGAGGCTGCCTGGTGTTGTCAGTTTATCACGGAAGTCTTAACAAGACAGTTCTACTTCTTAGTCCCTTTTAGAAGATTTTACACGCATTGTTCTGCACCTGCAGTTCACCCCTGTGGGATGTTGAGATCCAGCACATAGTAAAGGAGCTGCTTTTCAAAAGAGAACTCTCGTTGGAGCATTTGCTCTAGTATCTAGTCTTTACCCCATTATGTGCAATCTTAGTCTTTTGGGACTTTGTGGGGTTTTCATCTTGCAAGAGAACTTCTGATTCCCTTTTTCCTCTTCATTTGTCACATCTTACCTCCCTGAAGGATGACTTAATTTCAACTGTGAATGTATTTTAGAGAATGCACTGTGAAAACCAGTACAGTGATAAATACTGCAGCAGGAAAACAAAAACTTGTAGTCTCCATAGTAATATTCTTTCTCTGCAAAGGAAGGTGGTAGTTTGTAGTGATCCTTGTAAAAAGAAAGACTTTTTGATGCATCCATTTTTCTCTTGTTTTAGGTGTTTGGAAATGCTCCTCCAAGTACAATGACAGAAAAATTTTCTGACCTTCTGCAGTTTACTACTCAAGTGTCACGATTGATGGTGACTGAAATTCGACGGAGAGCATCGAATAAGTCCACAGGTATTGCATGGGGCACAAATTTGGGCTTTGTGAGATGTGCATCATGAATTCAGATCAGTCAGGATATATGAGTTGTCATCCACAGCGACTGTGCAGGCTCAGAAGTCTAAGTCTTTGCAACAAAAATGCATTGTCTTCCATTTCTTTGGGCTGAGAGAGAGAGGAGGAGGAGGATTTCCTCCTGGGTTACAGAGAAAGCTGAACTCCACAAATTGGCAACACATCAAAGAGAGAGGAGTGAGCTAAGTTTCATCACTTGCTAGTAGGAGACCAAGAACATGCATGTGGACAGCTTCTGTGTCTTGCCTGAGGTGTGTGTTGGTGGTGTGTTTTGTCCCTTGGATATGCTAACATTCCAAAAACATGCATTTTAAATTAGCTGTTGGCCTGGAAACTCATAAGGTGTGAAAGTACAGCGAGTCCCATATTAGGACCAACACTGCTAGACCTAGAAAAATGTCAGAGGATCCCTCTTTTGCTCTTTTTATTAAATGTCAGGGTGAGATTTGGTTCTGTTGAACCCTGAATGTGTCAGAACCTGACCACATACTGGGAGTTGCAGAACTGAGAACAATGAACTAAGAAAGCGTGTTTCATTGGCTTTCCTCTTTGATTTCCTCCTCTGAAGAGGAGCGCTTCTGAGAAGTATCAAGTTTTTGGCTACTAGATAATTTTAAGATCTCTGCTGGCTTCTCAGTTTGGATTTGGTGATAAGTAAGGAAATAGCGGGCTGGAAAAGGCTGTGCAAATTATTACGCATGAAGTCAGGAGTCACAAACTGTGCCAATTACAATTTCTTTCCATTTTAAGTAGAGTGACTAACAGTGAAACATTCCAGATGGCTAAACAGATATCATAGACAAAACCCGTTCTCTATGGGTAAACAGGCACAAAATGTATTTTCTTTTGGTTATTTAGGGGAAATAAATGTCCAACAGCCGTGCTGGCAGAATGGTGGTGTTCATTTGACCTTTTTTTCTGGGGAACATCTGTTACGCCTGCTAGTCAGTTGGATTCTGCTAAGAATGGCCATTTTTGTGTGTTTATTACTGAAGCCATATCTCTGCTCGTTGCTCCAAGATAATGCAGTTGTCATTCTTGAAACTTCACGAATCAGAACTAGAATTTTTTTGGGGGGTTTTCTTGTTTTCTACGCCACTTGGAAGCTTAACCACAATGAATTAAAAGACAGTTTGGTACTCTTCTAAGCTTTGATGTAATGAGTATCAACATTTTTATTAAAATGGAAAGCAGTCATTTTTCCTCTGTTAGCAAGATTGCTATTACTTTGGTTAGTAAACTCTTTTCAGACCTCATGTAAGGCCCGACTGAACCATGTTTTGCAGTTGCATTGTGACTCTTGGCGGGACCAGAGAGTTGCACTTTGCTCTCCAGAAATGACCAGTTAACAAGCTGTTAAAATTCATAGTTTGCAGATTTCTGTGTTAAACTGCTTAGAGCTGGATACACGTTTCCTATGATACTGAAAAAAATAATAGAAATTTTTGGATTTTTAGAATATGCTTTACGTTAAAGACATAATATTGTGTCTATGGAGTGTGGTGGTTTTTACATTTTTTTTTTTTTAAAACTTCCATTCTTTTTTGTGAACCAAACAAAAAGATACACTGTATCTTAGTAGCTATTAACAGGTAATTATATCCCATAGCATGGTTTTAAAAGTGAAAAAAACTTCAGTAACAGCTATATGCAGGAAATGTGTCTCATAATACCCAAGTGCAAATTCCTGATGGTGTGAAGTGCTCTGTTTAAGTCAAGAAAATTGCTGAGCTTGTTTTAAAGACAAGCTTTCCATACAAACGTTATCAAAAGTCAACTTCAGATACTTAACAAAAGGGAAGAAATCTTATAAGAAGTTGCTTTCTATCTATAAAAGAGGTAAATGCATTTGCAATATTTTACAGTTGGGAATGTGGTATCGTTAAAACTTACCTGTCAGTGTGCTGGGTTTTTTTTTGTTTTTTTCCCCCACCCCCTGCCCCCCATCTCATAATGAAGCACAGGGCAATTTTTTTCGTGAGGCCTTTGAATATTTACACTAATAGCTATGTGAGTAATGCCTGCTATTGTGGAGGCATATCTCAGTTATTCTTGGCAGACTGTAGTAGTTTTCTCAGAACAGCATTTTGTGATTCAGTAGTAACTGTGCCAGCACCCTATCTTAAGTAGTCTCTGAACATTGCCATTGTAGTTACATGTTCAACTACAGTTTCAACTTACTTCTCAAGTACGGATGTTACCTTGGAGTAAGAAAAACAAAACTGCTAGAATTGAGTTAAATTATCTTGTACATTTAAGTTTTTGCTGTACAGCACTGATAATTTGCAGGTGACAGCAATAATTGTATCTATGAGGATTGGTGTGTGTTTCCCTTGCCCTGCAGTATCTAGTCTGTTTTAGAAGATGGCGTGGTGATGGCTGAGATGACTCTATATATCTGAGATTTTTAGCTGCCAAATTTGCCACAAATTAATCCAATTTTGTGTCTGAATTGATCAAAAAGTTATAGTACTACTATGCTAAAATATACGTTCAAACCTCTATTTGTAGCGAAGTCTCAATTCCAAAATGAACCTTTCTTTTGGGAGCAAGTACATGTGGCTTGGAGCTGGAAAAGGTAGACTTCTGAAAAAAGGGACGGGGACAGCTAGAATCTTGGTGGAATAAATGTGGCTACTAATGGCTACTTTGACTACTGATGCTGGAGGGGAAGCAACACTATTTCATGTATTTTGCAAAAGACATACCCTGGATGCAGTCGTTTCCTCTGTGATTTTGCAGATATTTCCACAGCACGTCCTAGAGTGTTTAGCACAGCATCATCGTCGTTTAGACTCATTTCAAAGATAAGCATCCAGCAGGGTAGGTTAGTTCAGGTGATCCCTCGGGTACGGACGGCAGGACTTGTGTGCTGCTTCAAGGTGTCTAGCCGGGCTGATGCACGGTGCAGCGTGGTCCCCGAAGTCCTCCGTGGAGGTGGCTGCTGTGAAGGTGGGCAGGAGAGCTTCTCTTTCCATGCCACGGGTGCCATGGGCTGAATAGCCTGGGACCTTTTGGTTTATTATTTCAGTGAGTGCCTGTACCTTGTACCTGAGAAATCCCAACTACTGAATAGTTTCACATTGCGATGTTAAAGGTAAGCACATGAAGCTGTCCTCCCTGGATGAAACTGTGAACCCACATAAGTGAGCAGTGGGTTCCTGGCTGCAGACACTAGCAAACAGAAAGCAAGGAACAGGGCAAATAAAGAGTACACCTTTCTCTTTCACTCTTAACAGCTGCTCATTTCAGCAGTTGAGGGTGTGAACACCAGTGATTTGGTACCTCATAGTGGTCATTACATGTTTACTAAAGTTGGTTTCTAACTCAGTCTTATGTTGTCTGCATCTCAAGCACACCAAATGACATGCTGACAGCTCCCATTATTAATGTATTAGGATATATAAACACTTGGTATCACGTAGAGGTTCAAAATGATTTCCTTAGTGATGGAAAATCCTGCAACCTGGAAGGTCCTTCCTCAAACAGAGTATGAATAAGTGGTTGTGGGAAAACCCCATGAAACCTGTGTAGAAGGGTAGAAAATTGGAGAATGAGAAAGCAAAACAGTTTATCACAGGGCTGAAATATTTTAACCTCCTTTAAAGGTCAATTTCAAAAATACATTTTTTTTTTTATTATTTCATGTGTGCTAGTCTGTGTACATCACTGTTTTATGCACTTTTAAAATAAAATTTAGTTGTGTCATCCTTCACTGATTTCAGTCAATGTTTCATTCCATATTTGCACCATTCTCTGTATGTGTCTCAGTATTTACTATTTAATGCTAAATTTATTTTTATCATACCACTAGACTGCTCAGTTAATCCCTCCTACCTCCAGATACAACATTGTCAGTTACTGTTTATACCCTCTGAACATTGTGATGGCTTGGTTTTGTGGGGTTTTCGCTTGTTTGGTTGGATTTTTTTGTGTTGTTTTTTTTTTTTTTTTCTCCCCTTTCTTTCTCTTCCTCTTACTTTCACTGATTTACTCAAACTGTTTCACCAGTGAAAATGCTTTTAACTTCTTCAGGCATTTCTCTAACAGATCTGTGGAGAGACTATCATTATCTCATCTTCAAACCACTTTGGAAGACCAAATTGATAAAAATTCATCATCATAATGTTTAACCATTGCAGAAAGCCACATCAGTTGTTTGTATTTGGCCTCTGACAATGCCTGCCTTTATTCTTCTTAAAATTCCATTGATCTGCAGACTGCTTTTATTGTACATTTTTATTGCAGTTTACCTTTATTGCCTGAGCAGAACTAATTTTATGTTTGTCTTAAATACACACCAGTTAGTGTTATTTGTTTAAGTGCGTCTGGCATTTTGGGTAAGCTACTGATGGTAGTTAAGGGGAGCTTTTTATCTTCTAATAAGTAGCCTTTCAGGTTCTTTCCATAATGTAGTCTGGAGTTTTCCTGATAATGTTACTTTGTAGTGTCTGCTTCTCTTTGAAGGGCTGAGGATCTTTCTTGCTAAAATAAGTGGACTTAGGGGCTGCTTAGTTAACTTTTCTTCTGTTGAGAAGAGTATGCTGGAAATTATCTCACATGCTGTGACTACACATGTCTTGTTTTTTTCATTATATCTGTGTTTTTCCTGTTCTGTGGGTAACTTCTATACAAGGTGATTCTGTCTTGAATTTACTGAAATTACTCTGAAAGGGAAGCAGTGTCCTATCAGCTACGCATAAGGAGCCAGTTCTGATCAACAACTGCTATATCTTGTTACTTTTGGTTAACCTTCAATTTATTTTTCTGATGCTTTCTACCAGATCTTATGCAAGGCAAGTGTAGTGCAATATAGTGCCTTTCTAAGAGATCCTAGAAAGCCTGTTCATTTTTCAGCTGGGTTAGTGAGGCTAAATGCTGGCACAGTTGAGGTGTTTATCTTTGGATGAGCAGCCCTCTGCTTCTGCACACTGCAAAGGCCTCAACCACTTCATATCTGTGGCTTGTGATGACAGCACTGCACTGTTCCTGATGATGAAGGAAGACTTTTTGCCATCCCAGTTTTTGTTTGAGTTGATACTTTTCTCTTACTAATCTAGGAAGTTAGAACAATTTATATTCTTTAAATATCTGACTGTGTTTCCAATCACTTGCCTTGAGAAGTACTGGAGACTTCTTGAAGGCTCAATTAGAGGAGTCCCTGACTTCAGCTTGCTCCCCACCACTGCCCTGACACATCCACCCGTACCCACCCCTTTGGCATATGCACAGATATTTTTTCACTAATAGTCCACTTCAGGATAAGAATAAGCTATACAAAAGTCTGATGACACTGATATGCTGTTTATGGTACTGGAACATCTAGCTAAAAGCTTCATGCACTGAATTTGTCCTTAGTACTGTTGCTGTGGGCAATAATGGTGCTTGTAATGCAGTGCTGCTTTTTGCTAGCAATCTGAATGGGTCTAATCCCATTGCTTTCCATCTGCTTCTTTTCTGAAGTCCAGAACACAAAGCACTCATGTCATGTCTTATGTATGAAGCAAATTCTGGTGTTTTATTCTACCAAGCCTCTATCCCATATATACTGAATCCATGCTGAAAAATCTGACTACTGTGTATGACCGTGATTATGTAGTTACATGGTTAATACTTATGCATACATGCTTGCACGGTTGTCAAGATAAGCATACTTACATAATATTTTATAGTTTTTTCTCTTTACTCCTTTGCCATTATTACTATCTAGCATATCTCAACCCTAGATTTAGTGGTTTGTTCTGCAGAAGTTGAAGGACTAAGGATATCTAGGTGGGGTACATAGAGGCTGTTATATTGAAAAGATGACTTGAGCACTTCAAAACCAGGGAAAAGGTACAAGAAATAAATTAAGACTAGTGCTGATGATAGAAATTAATCTTAAATGATAGTGCTATAAAATTTGCTCAGAGCAGATGACAAGATGACAAGAGAACTTCTTCCTGTACTTAAAAATGCTGTCTGTGTTTTAGGTAGTGCTTAATTAAGAATGACAGTTTTGAAACTGCTATTTATAGTGTTCAACTGCTATGCCATTTAGGATGCCAGCAGCATGACAACTTTTTCAGAAGCATATGCTTAACCCCTGAGTCTCGCTTTCAAAGATGACTAAAAGAGTGGCTTTTGGAGACTATGCCCAAGGGAGGCAGCGCACACCTTGTTTGGTACCAGTCATACCTGCTTGCAGTCAGAGACTGATTGCCCAGCTTGGTCTGTGGTCGGATAGAAAGAGAATGAGCCTATTAAATTGCACCTAACGCTGGTCTGGTGGGGCACTGTAGAAGCAGCACGTGCTTTAGACACGCTTGACACTCAGAATTTAGGAGGGTGGCTTTTGCCAGGAATTTTGGCATTTTGCATATGCCTCTAGTCTAGGAACTATGGCTGTGGCATGGCTGTCGTGCTTTCTAAGTTGGTCTGCTCATACACCCAACAATCTGACTGATGTTTTGCACCGATGGTTTTGGAAAACAAAAGTGCCCACCAGGTACTTCAGGTCTGCATGCTGAGAAGTTGCTACATGTATGCATTTGTGTGAGTTTTAAAAATTGCCCAACCTTTCACCTTGGTATTTTAAGGTTTGCTTTGTCTTGGTCAGTCTCATGCAGGGATTTGGGAGGTGCCTCTCCTTCAGTACCAGAATTGGAAAAGCTAGTGGTTTGTACAAAAATCTGTTATGGAAATAAGGCTGCAAAACAAAAATATGGGAAAATAGCCATTGCACAAATGAACCAAATCTGGATTTTTACCTGAAATCTCTCTTTATCTTTTTTTATAGGTTTATGAGTATAAAAGAGTTTCTGAGCTTTAGGGAAAAATACATCCTCTTTGCACTGGAAGGGAGTGAAACACACCAGCATGGGTGACGTGAAACTCCCTGAGTTTCAAATAGACCTTTTTATGAGTGAGAGAAAATCATAAAAATCGTGAGAGGTCTCTTGTCTGACTTCCTGCTCACAGCCAAACCAGCTGTGAGATGGGACTGGGTTGTGTAGGTCTCAATCCTGTTGTGTCTTGAAAACCACCAAGACTGGAGACAGCACAGCCTCTCTGGGCCCCATTTCAGAGCATCTCTGTCCTTGGGGTGAGAGGAAGTTTCTCCTTGTATGCAGTCTGAACATCTATTGATTTAAGCCTGTTGTCTCTTGTCCTCCTGCCATGCAGTGCTCTGAAGAGCCTGGCAGTAGCTCCCCCCACCATGGGCACTGAGGCTGCAGTTGGGTGTCCCTGAGGCTGTCCCTTCTCCCAGCTGAGCAAGCCCCGGTTCCTCAGTCTCTCACAGAGTTGGTGCTCAAACCCCTGAACTTCTCGGTGGCCCTCAGCTGAACTGTTGATCGTTGTCTTCCTTGTATTGCGTTGGGACTGAAATTGCATGCATCATTCCATACGTGATCTAACAAGCATTATGTGTCATCACTTTGTCTACCAGCTGTCCTCCAGTTGATAAAAATGTTTCTTTACACCTTGATTTTTTAATGTGGATTCACCAGTGGCTGATGGCTTTTGCACTGTATGGTGGTAGTCTCTCTTGGGTAAAGTTAATGTTAGGAATACAAAGCAAGCAACTGTAGACATCTTCTAGAATCATCTACTTTTTAGGTTTACTAGTCCAGCTCTGCTTTCAGTCTGGTGCTCCAGAAAATTATCTTTTCAGTGTAGTCAGTGCTAGAAGTTTGATAAGTGCTCTGTAATATAAAATGTGTTTACTTTAGAACAAACTCCTTCACAGGTACATGCTGGGAAATCTTGACAACAGATGAAGCAAACAAACCAAGATTAAAATTGGATCTTTCTTCAGTTGGTGATTTATTCCTCTTGTTTAGTAATTCCTTTTTTAAGCAATGTTACGCACCTTCCTTTTCTGTCCTAGATGACACTAAAAGCACTGAAGATGATTGATACGCAGTTATTAATGAAAAATGGTTTCAGATTTCCCTTAGGGGTAATGGGCAGTCATCATGACTGGCTTTATAGGTTTCTTAACATAAGTGTGTATTCAGACATCAGTGAAATAGGATTGCATTTTCTGTTAATTTATTTATTGAGGCTGATAACTTGTTTACTAGGCTGAATATTTATCTTTGGCTCTGACTGATATGAAATAGCATCTGATTCCAGAAGTGGTCCCAGGATCAAAAGAATTAGCCGTAAGTTGTTAGCATTTTCATTTTCCAGAAAACATAGGATGAGGACTGATCTCAGTCTTAATTTTACTTTTTGTTACCATTTTTTATTCCTTTTGGCTTTCTGCATCTCTCTTTTCCTCCAGTTTTTTCCTGTTATCCTCTGTACTGTTGTTTCAGTGCAGTGATCAGCTTTTCCCACTGAGACCACTAAGTGATGGTGACTTCATGTCTCTGGAAAAGAGTATTTTGTATTGGATAAAGCAAAAATACTCAAACATAAGTTGCTGTATGTTACTGAAATCTGTTTAAAGGATGATGCATGACCTAAAAATGTACTTTTTGCAGCCTTGCTAGTGTCAAAGCCAACTATGTGTAGAAGACTGGAATTTGTGTCTGGAGAGTGTAGGCCTAAGCCTAGCCCTTTTTTCAAGTAGTGCTGAAGAGGTGAATTCATGCTCAGCGCTTGGGACTGCTGAGAGGATGTGTTCCCTCTACAGACTATCAGACTGAATTCTTACTGCATTTTTTTTTAACTGCCCCCCCTACAGAGGCTGCAAGTCGTGCCATAGTCCAGTTTCTGGAGGTCAATCAAAGTGAAGAAGCAAGTAGAGGTTGGATGCTGCTCACCACAATCAATTTACTAGCTTCATCAGGACAGGTTAGTCTTAAACAGCAAGACAAAAAAATAAATTATGGGGTGGGAGAGACAAAAGCAATAAAATGATGAACTGCATGAACACATACTAAAGATGTTGTAACTATATTCTGCTTCCTATGTTAAGATCCTTTTTCTGTTACACTGCCACAGAACTTCTGCTTTAGCTCCTTGTGGTTTCAGATGCTTAAAAAAAATCATCATTTTATAACTTTAATTTATAATGTTCTTTTGAATTATGCACGCAACTTTTCTTGTTCCCCAAAGGCCTCTCTTGCATGCTGCTGCTTAGTGCCCCACGAGATGCATGTCACATACAGCACCTAAATCACTCCGACTTTCAACTTGGGCTTCCCATTCAAGGAGGGCAACAGCAGCTGCAAAAAGCAAAGTCAGCAGCAGTGATGAGTGGGTGGTATTGTGAATCTTTACTGCCTCTGCTTCTGGTGCTGCCCTCCATCAGAGAGCTGATCTCTGGCAATGTGCAGGACAGCTGTGTGGTTTGTTCTTTCTACTCTGATCTGCCTTTATAGTTCAGCACATCATCTTCTCTGTGTTTAGTATGTCACCACCCTCCACCCCAATTTGTCTTTTCTTCCCACTGATGCTTTCATGTTTTCTGCTACCTTGCTCCTTACACCTGCTTATACCTTCTTGCCAAGTGAGACCATAAATTGAACAGTTGTCCTCCCGCTCCCATTGCTGCTGCTACAAAGAATAGATAGCTAATGAGGGCTTGGCTGAAGGTCTTGTAATTAACTTGTAAGCTTCTGTTGGCAGAGGCTGTCAGTTTTTGTTTCTGTCCTGTGCAGTGACTGCTCTGAACTGTGACTGTTAGAAGCTGTTGTCATGTAAATAAATTCTGATCCTATTTTTAAGGTTACTGTTTAGGTAGGCATTCAAGAATAAATGGTGAATCTGTACTGCCATGTGGACACCTCAGCAGAGGTGTGAGAAAGAAGAACCAGCATTTGAGTCAACGGCATTATAGGAGCGTGACTTTTTGCATATAGTAATATGTTGAACACTTCTTTTGCTCTGTTTTCTTTTTCCCCAGAAAACTGTGGACTGCATGACTACAATGTCAGTGCCTTCCACACTTGTTAAATGTCTGTATCTGTTTTTTGACCTTCCACATGTGCCTGAGGTAGTTGGAGGAGCACAGAATGAACTACCTCTCGCAGAGCGCCGAGCACTACTACAGAAAGTCTTTGTACAGGTAAGAAAGGTAAAATTGGTCATGGAATTCCAGAGGAATGGAAATGCTTCCTCTGAGAAAAGTCTGGAAACTTTTCACTTGAACCAGGTTTTGTTCTTCCTTGATTCTTCACAAACTTAAGGCTCAGAGTAAGATGGATTTTCCTGCAAGCGCAGTTGAGGTTAAATTTTCACTCCTCCTGTGGTTTTTGTCCTTGGCAAATGTCTCCTCCACAGAAATGCATGCAACTCTTCCATGCAGCTGCTTAAAAGGAGCAACGTGTTGACTATTATTCCTTTATTCTAACTGGTCCCAGTCTTTGGTATCTTTGGCCATTACAGATTGAAACAGACATAGTAAAATCCATTAATATTGGTAATAATCTGTGAGTTAATTTAGCATAGACTATTTTCTTTCTCATTATGGAATTAAACCATGAATGTGGAAACAAATAATTTAAATATGGAAACCATGTGAGCTTGCAATTACTATTGCAATTATCCCCCAGATTACCTAGGGAGACCAGAAACTCCATCTGACCTGCTCCTGCTTTCTGAAGTTTCAGTTGGAGATTCTGAAAGGAAATTCCCATACATTCTCCTGATTAATCTTTTAGAAGGAGCTGACAGTTACTGTTAGGAAGGGGCCAGTGATCATACTACCAGTTTCCACGTATGCATCTCTGCGTAGGGTTGTTGTAGCCATGTATGCAAAACCATAGAGGTCTATCAGCAGTCACATCCTTCAGGGATTTGAAGGCAGTGCTAAGATTGTAAGTATAATGTTTGAGTTGCGTTTTGGTACCTGCACCACAGAAATAAAGATTAGCTTTATTCCCACAATTACTAGACCCGCTGTCGACCCAGTAACAGTCACTATATGAAAACATACCCATTTGCCTCTTTTTTTTTTTTTTTTTTTTAATTGTCCTAGTACTACTGGCTGTCTTCCAAATCAGAAATCATGCTGTGTTGTGAGCTATCTTTCAGAAATTGTTTTGCTGTGTTTCAGTCACTAGAGTTAATAAATGATCAATGTTAGCAAATAGTATGCTTCCAATATACTACTGCTCAGCTCTTTTTTGTCCTTCTTCAAGGGCCATGAAGTGGTGCTCTCAAAGGGACTGGCTGGAATGGGTGAGGTTTCAAATAGCTTCCAGACCTCTTACTTCAAACACAGCCTTACAAAGTCTTCCTCTAGTTTTCTGATAGGAAGCATTGGCTTTTTCTGCACAAGACACAAAATGGACATCATATGTCCTCAAAACATGCAGAAAAGGGAGTGCAATGTAGTAACTTTGATTGTGTGGCTGGGTTTTGTCTTGTTTATGGTAACTTGGAAATCCAGATCCAGGTACCAGTTATCCAGGTAGGTCTACGGTGTTGCTGTAGCCTTTCCCACCACACTGTTTTGGCTGTTTTCATTTGGCCAAGATGTTATGGATGCTGCTCTGCCAACAACCCATTGATAGCCTTCTTCCTTCATTAGGAAGGGATATAACAGCTCGCTTGGCAGAGCCTTTGCCCTACTGCAGCATTTAGACCTGTATATTAGGTAACTAGCAGGTTCTTCAAGAATGGAATAACCTGGTATCCATACAGGTATGCTGTGTCAGCGTAAGAGACATAAACTCTGCTGCTAATCTTTTGCTAGTCAGTTCAAACTGAATGGGGACTTGAAATAACCATGTGTTACATAACCCTCTCTTCAATTCAAATTACAGAAACAACACACACAGAGAAAACAGCATGTTACCTTTTTTAATGTGTATGCTAAATGGAAGAATATTTCGCCTTCTACTAAGTGTAGGCAGAAAAAGCAGAGATCAGGGTATTAATGCTAGATGCTTAATGACTTATTGTTTCAGATCCTAGTAAAATTATGCAGTTTTGTGTCCCCGGCGGAAGAACTGGCTCAGAAGGATGATCTCCAGCTACTATTCAGTGCAATAACCTCATGGTGCCCTCCCTATAACCTGCCTTGGAGGAAGAGTGCAGGGGAAGTACTAATGACCATATCGCGTCATGGCCTTAGTGTCAACGTAGTGAAATACATTCATGGTATGTGTCTTTATCCACTATTATTTATTGTGGGGTTTTTTTGTTGTTTTTGTTTGTTTGTTTGTTTGTTTTCTGTTCTTCTTTTTTCATAGTTTTCTTAGTTAGGAAATAAGCATGAAAATAATAGATTAAGGAAAGCTTCCAGGCTTTTTGTTTGGACATGTAAGTATTTACATACAGGTAAAATTTCAGGGCAATTATATTTGTAGCTGAGCCTGCCTCATCCACATTACAATTTAACATTAAAGGGTACAATTTCCCCTTACGTTTCGGTGTAAATTTTATGATGACCAACAGGAAAGGCTTTCAAAAACTTCAGTAACTGCCAGTATTGAAAGATATTCACTAGGAAGATGAATAAATTTTGTGATTTTTGCTGTGAGCATTAATTCTTAATGGAATTTAGTTGGTTTTGGTCCTGCATTTAAAGTAGCAGCAGCAGCCCCTTGTAGTAGAGGTGCTGCTCTAGCTGGCAATAAAAGTGTAGAGACGTCTGAGGAAGCTGCAGGAAGGGGAACCAGCTCCATGTGTTCTGCTGACGCAGTTTGAGCTATTAGGAGCCCATGAAAGCTGCTGCCCTGTAGTAAATACCGGTGCATTATGCAAACTGGGGAGAGCTAATTTGGGTATGCTGGGAGAAGATTCTTTCTCCCAGACATCTTCCTCCTGTGGGAAGAGGCTGGGTGAGACTTATACCAACCACTGATTTGCAATGTACTCTCCATTATCTAGGACATTGGGGGTGGCACACTGATATCAGCAAAACCAGTGTAATACAGGCACTAGGAAATGCTCGAGAGAGCATGGTGTATGGGCACAGAAACACTCGAGTTCAAACCTCCAAGTGCTGATGGATGGAACAGCCAACTGGCTTCCTCCCCTGTGGTCCAGCCCAGCTTCCCTGTGGGGTCCCCAAGCCAGGGATGTTGTTCTTAGGGCCTGGACCAGGGAGGCTCTCCTTCGCTTGGCTGAGCCCCATGCCTATGCCCAGAGCAGGGGGTCTCTCAGTACCAGTGCTCCTAGGAAGCTGCTTACATGTAGCCTATCTCAGAGCCTATGTCACAACCCAGTGCAGAGATTTTGGGGCACAGCTGGGAAGAGCCTGGCTGCTGGATGGGTTTGCAGCCTCTATGTTTTCCCTGTTGGCTGAGTGACTAGATTGCTGACTGTTCAGCCAGCCTGTGTTTCTTCTGCCAGGCCCTTGTCTTCCCGACCTTGCCATATATCTTACAGTTTGCAGGTTTTGTGCATCCTGAAGGCCAAAATAAAATCATTTTATAGGCTTAATCCAGCTTGCAAGCTGCCAAATGACAGAAGCAGCCAAAATCATTCAATTTTCTCTCGTGTCCTTTTTTGAGATAAATAGCATTCTGAGTGTTTCAGGCATGGAAGCTAGAGCGTACTGGAGTATTTCGGTATCTGGTTACAGATTTTGGTAGCTAATGTAAGAAATCATTCATTCATCATATATCTTTATGAGGGACTGGTTACAGTTTGTTTAGCAAGGGCAGCTGCCAAGCTAGTTCACAGCAAAGAATTTGTGAGAGCAAAGTGAGATGAAAGCCAGTGTTGGAGCGGGTATTAGCTGCCCAGGAGCAGCTTTGCATATGAAGTACTGGTAGTGCATTAATTTGAAACTGCATGGGTGTTTAGTTACGTAGGATTTGAGGTAGGAAATTTGGTAGAATATGTTTCTAATATTATATCTAGGGCTTTTAGACTATAAGACCATATAGAAACATTTGTAATTTTGAAATTGGAACAACTCTTGAAGTGAACTAACATCCTTACCATACATTTTAGCAGTGTACACCTACTGGAAAAAGAAGAAACTCACAGTTTCCTCAGTCTCTGGAAAGCAAGTAGTTACAAGGCTCCACAAAACCATTTTGACAGTTTACGAAATACGTCACCTCGCTCCCACATATTTCACAGAAAATTTCAGTCTGTGTTTCTTCTTGTGCTAGCAGTGTGTTTCCTATTCCAGTCAGAAAGATGTGAATGTACAGTATCACTTGGAAGCACAGAGTAGTCATCAATTAAGAATTTTCAGATAGGACTTAAAAGGTGATAGGTATTTTGCCAGCATCTCTAACAGCCTTCTGGTGGGTTTTTAATGAGTGTAGAAGGTGTATGCGTGTATGTGAAAACATTATGAAGCGCAACAAAGAAAAGAGCTGAGTTTTGACCGTGATTTGCACTTCTCTCGTGCATGCTGCAAAGTTAAAATAGCAGATAATTGAAGGGAGCATCTTTAAAACAGGAGTGTAACCTAAAATCTGACTGTAGACTTGGGAAAGCTTTTTGCAACTGACCAATGAACTGATGGAGTGTGAGAGATGCAGAATGAGACAAGCTTTCTCTCTTTCATCACGATTTATCAGGCAAGCAATATGCCTGCCAAAGAAACGCTAACCAGAGCAGCAATAATATGACATGGTATAAAGAGTTATGGGTAGTGTTTTACCTAATATCAGTAACAGTGTCAATTCTTTGTATAACTTTGTGTTTTAAAAGAAAAAAAAAATATTTTAGAATTATTTACAGTTGCCATATTTGTCTTTTTATTCTGTTGAGTTATCAAGTCAAACTTTTTAGGTAAAAAAACAATATTTGTCTACAGAGTCTTCTCCTTACAAGAGTAGAGATTATAAAAGGTAGGAAGGGGTTGGCAAAAAGAGATTAGAGTTCAGATCCAAAGCCACTTGAGAATCCTACTCGTCTTCAAGTGCTCTGTGATATTAAATGTTATGTGACGATAGTTAAATAGTACTTTACCTTATTGCCACATTTCTTGTTCTAGTTATGCTTCTTGCTGTGATTAGTGTCAGTAAAATCCTAAATTTCTTAATTGTGATTCTTTTCAGAAAAGGAATGTTTGTCCACATGTGTTCAGAACATGCAGCAGTCTGATGACCTTTCTCCCCTAGAAATAGTTGAGATGTTTGCTGGACTTTCTTGTTTTCTCAAAGACTCCAGTGATGTATCCCAAACATTACTGGATGATTTTAGGATATGGCAAGGATACAACTTCCTCTGTGACCTCCTCCTCAGGTATGCAAAAGTTCTTGAAGGAATGCAGACAGATCACACTGAAGTTTTTCTGAAAAGATATCTTAATAAAGAATAGATTTGAACAAATAGGTGATTATAGGTTATTATGAAATTAAGATATTAGGACCAAAACATGAAGTTATGTGCTTCTCTTTGTTTATGAAACTACATTGTTTAACTTTTTATTCATCGGTACTGGTTTATTACTAAATGTTTCTGTACGTGTGAAGAAAGCAGATGCTTAAAAACAACTGGTACTAAAGATTTAGAAAGAACTCAGAAAATAAAATGTTGACTGCAGTTAGTGATTTTTGGGTTTGGTTGTTTTGGTTTGGTTTAACATACTACTGTAATGAAAAATCACATCTGTAAACGTGGTGCATGCTGCTTAGTATTGCAGACACGCTACTTAGTACTGAAGAGACATTTCTGTACATAAGCTCTAATACCAGAGTGCTGGAGAGAACCCTCGTGTTACTAAGTGAATCAGTCTATGTATGTATTTATTTTTTTAATTTGTAATTTTAATTAAAGGTACTGCTAACGCATCATAAAATATGGTAATAAAAATGCCTGCTGAAACAAAACTTGGATGTATGATCCATCCATGATATTATTTCTTTCTATGAAAGAAACTTCATTCTTTTATTTCTCAGTCATCAAATGAGTGTCTGCTGCATTATTTGTGTAAAACTTATGGCCAGTCTGTGTTGTTTTGTTTGGATATGAAGTTCTGAAGAAGCATACTTAGCTGTTGAAACTAATACGTGTTTTACAAATCCAGGACACCAACTGGGAAATAAGGTGTACCCTCATAGACATAACGAAGTATACTCAGGTCAAAGATGCTTAGAAACAGTGCTGTAATGGCCATTAATAAGAAGTGTTAATGTGTTACCTCCCTGTTTCAAGCCATTCATTTTGAGTGCCAGGATGCTAGATTTATGCACCCAAATATGTGAACTAAATTTTCTACTTCATAGTATGGTTTTGGGTTGTTTTGTTTGTTTGTTTGAAATGGATACCAGGCATAGACATGGCATTTGAAGTTCTTAATCACAGTTAAAATTATTCATAAATTATCTTTGGTGCCACAAAAGCTAGAACACGTGTTAAGAATTGTTAGTGTTCTTGTAGTATAAATGATGGTTTTGAGGATGTTATATTTGCTAATGCATTCATTCAAAGCAGTATAACTCAAATTCAGCTGTTTTCCAGAAACTGTCAGCCAGAGTTTAGGTGGAATTTGAGGGTAACACGCTGTCATTAGCAATTTAATTTTCAGGTACAAAAGTGATCCTCTGTAGATCAAGTGTTTTAAATAAACTCTCTCCTGAGCTTGCTCATCCTTTAAATCAAAGAATGTGAGATCCATGACAGAGGTACAGCAATACTAGAGGTTTGCGTGTCTGATTGAAAGAGAGCACCTGGGTTGTTCAGTTGACATCAGTAAAAGTTAAAAGTGTAGGAATGCATTATCCTCACTTCTTCCCAGGGTGGCTCTAGAAAACTTGCTGAGACTCTTGCAGAAATGTCTGGGATAAGGTGACCAGCGCACACCAACATGTTTTGTATTTGTTAGCGATTTGTGTATTGTAGAGGAGATAGAATATGGTTCAAAACGTGGCTGTTGTTTTGATGGCCCTATCTCTTGCTGATTCTTGTAAGTTTCGGTTTATTTGATCTTCAAATCTGTCATGGTTTGAGCCCAGAGGGCAACTGAGCACCATGCAGACATTCACTCACCCCTTCCCCCTTAGGAATGGGAAAGGGAAAATCAAGTAAAAGGCTCAGGAATCAAGATAAGAACAGGGAGTGATGGGCTCACCCATTACAGTCACAGGCAAAAGACAGACTTGTTGAGAGGAAGAAAAAGAACATCACTTTAATTCAAACACTAACAAACCCAACACCTGACAGACAAGGTGGGACAGTGAGAAGCACCACCACATCCAAAACCACCTCCCCCCACCCCTCCCTTCTTCCCGGGCTCAGCTCTGCTCCCCATCTCTCCCCCTCCTCCCCCAGTGGCACAGGGGATGGGGGTTACAGCCAGCTCGCCGCTCCTTCCTTCATCCTTAGGGATGTTAGCCTAAGTGTTAGGCTTCTACCAAGATACCGTTTCATTAGCTTAAAATATTAACTCTCAAAGTGGCAGATATAATCTAGCAAGTTAATTATGGATTTATCTAATGCCAGACTATCTAGGTATTTTCCTATCCAATAGCTTCATGTTTGTAGGAGGATTTTAAAAGTAATTTTCATGTCTGTGCTGCTTTTTAGCAGACCACTGAGTCCAAGGAAAGATTTGAAGTGAGTTTCTATGGCAAATAAATGTATGCTCTCATAAATCCAATAATGTTTGACTGACTTAATGGTATGAAATATGAACAGAGAACATATAAAATACTGTAGGAACAGGCCCGTAGAAGTGTGATCTCTAAATTAATAGAGTAAAAGGGAAGAGATACCTTATTAAAGTGGTTTGAGTTGAAATAAACTAGTGCTGCTAACTTGTTCTATTGTATTTTCTTTAGATTAGAACAAGCAAAAGAGGCTGAATCTAAGGATGCTTTGAAGGACTTAGTTAATTTGATAACTTCCTTAACAACATATGGTGTCAATGAATTAAAGCCAGCTGGTGTTACCACCGGAGTACCTTTCCTACTACCTGGATTTGCAGTCCCACAGCCTGCGGGCAAAGGTGAGTCTACGTTCTTTCTCCCTCTGTTTTTTTTTTTTTGTTTGTTTGTTTGATTGTTTTTTAAAATGTAAACAACAAAACACAAAGAAGCTGTATACTACACAAACCATTTACAATTGAGTCTAGGTTCTTTTACTAAGATTGCATATCAAATACTTTGTTCTGTTAGTCTCAAAGTTTCTATTTTGGGGTTGATACCCAAAGAAGAAAGTTTAGGGCTTTTGTCTTTGAGGAGTAAATGCCGAGTCAAACATCTCTCACTGCAAAGCTTACATTTTCTGTGTGGACATTTTAAGAGATTATCATAATGGAGAGATGCACTGATATGATTTATGACATTTTAGGCTGCTATTACTAAACTGATATGAAAGGCTGATGTGCTGGCTTGATTATTTTTTTTTTTTCCCCAATTTTGTTTTCTGTTAGCTTTTGTCAGCTTAGGCAAGTGTAACTTGTGAGCTGAAATCTGTTGTTTCATCACTGGTGTTCACCGAGTGGTGAAATCTGTGGTGTACTTGCAACCACAGTCAATTATGATATGGAGATAATTATGATATGGAGATAAGTATGAGATGGACATAATATGGAGAGGGGAAAGGGTTTTATAAAAACAAACTCATTTTTCACTTCCTGTGTATAAACTTAGAATTCAGGTAAGTCATGTATGTAACTAAGGAGTTTGGAATTTAATAGTGACCGTGGAGCTAGTTTGTTTCTTGGACATTTTATGGGATTTAGTAATAACAGGGATACAAGAAAATATTTTGTGATAGGGTTACATTTATAGATTTATAGGCTAATGGATTTACTGTCACTGTTTCTCTTGTATATTTAAGTTCCTTGGACAATGACTTTCTTCCACTGGTATTGAGAGAGTTCATTGTTCATGGAAATAGTTTTCCCTGTGCACTAAATAGAGAATGAAGGTGATAGTCACACTCATAGCTTAATTTCTCCGTGTTTTGATCACAACATACTCGTTTTTGCTTAAGTTAATTAGCTTTTCTGTTAAAATAGCATGAGGGAACCATGGCCTACTGCAATCTCCAAATGTATTCTTTTATTTAATTTTCTGGTACTTATGACATCTCTCAGTTTCTTTTACCTCCTTTTCATTATGTTGGCAAGTTGTCTTTTTATGAAGAGCGTATTAGCTCATGTTCTTAATTGCTTCTATTTAAATCCTATTGGTTCTTGAACTCTGAAGAGCTGGTTAAGATTTGGTTTCTTCAGGGATCCTTGTAATAATGAAAGATAATTTGTTATCTGCTTGATTGCCTGGAACAACTGTTGATACTAAATTAGAATATAAATAGTATAATCTGTCACTACCTATGTTCCTGTCACATTTAATAAGCTCTAAATCCCCTTTTTAACATTTTTTCATTGTAAAGAAAGCATGTAAAAAATGTCCTTTTAGAAACAAATAAATGTGACTTATAATGTAACATTCATACTTTCCAGTATGTGAAATTGTTCCCGGTTAGTTTTCAAGGAAGTTTCCTGATGCCTTCCGGAGAAATACTGGCAGGGAAGGTAGTGAGGCTAGATACAAAGGTAGTTGAGTTTACTTTTAAATTGGGCAACTTAGTTGATAACCAATGAAGTAGCATTCCACAGAGTATATGTAATAAATCAGGATTCTTTGTTTATGAAAAGGGTTTGTAAATCAGATTAATGGTTTGCTTATAGCTTGTTTGAAAATAAGATTTTATTGTTAGAGCATCCTAAATGCTTTATTCAGAATGTGTTTTGAGATCTCACTCTTGATTGTTTTTTTTTTTTTTTTTTTTTTTTTTAATTATTTTTACCTGTAGTTATTTTCTGTATCATGGGATTTATCCACTGTGTACTGTTCCTACAGAATTTAAAAAAATTGGCTGGGACATCTTTTTAGTAGAATAAGAATAATATCTACTCATAAAAAATTCTGGGGGCCACAAGGAGCACTCATAAATGATGCATTCTTTGGCTAAATGAATGAGATTTTATTCAACTTGAAGGTACTTACTCGAAGAAATTTTACCAAGTTCTTAAAGATGTGAGGTCTTTGTGTGCTAATATTATAGCTACCTAACGCTTTACAACTGTTTCCCTTTGTTTTAATTCCCTAATCATTAACAGTACTGGACCCTCCTAAAGCTTTCTTATTCCCAGGCTTGATTCCCAAAGCCAGGCCTGTGCCATCGTCCGATACCAGTCTGGTCATTCGGGCCAGTTAATCCAGACCTGAGCAAGAGCAGGCTCTCTAGGGAGGGCAGGCAACTGCCGACCTTACTCTGCCCTGTGGAGTTTCTCTGCTCGTAGCCGTTGTCTTCTCATAGGCCATTTGCCAAAGGGTGGAAGCAGGAGGATAACTTGGAGGCCATGCATGTTGTCTAGCTTCGAACCCGGCTGATGAGGATTTGCCATTGCTTATTGCTCTGTTGAGTGAAGGGCCATCGATGGCTGTTATTCTGAACTTAGCCTGCTGAATGCTTGTAGAGGACAGAGTTATGTTCTGCATTATGGAATACAGAACATGTTACTGTTGCTGTTGCTGTAAGGAGTTTTCTTACAGCCTGGGTAGATGACAGGCAGGCTTTGTTTTGTCTCTAGAACTGTATCCTGTTGCACGTTTTAGCAATAGGTCAGCTTACTTACCTATTTTAAAGAAATGATCTTTCATTTAGCTGCTTATGTAAACACTTTCAAAGATGAAGATGCCATCTTAATGAACAGTGGATAGTAGGATTTGCAATGTAAGTGATAGCACAGAGGCTTTTCTGAAGAGTCAGTTTTAATAAAAAAAATTATTGTATGTGATATATACTGTTCTTTTATTCACGCTTATTAAAATGCATGGATCATTAATAAGTATGTTCATAGTTTATGATGATTAAGAACTTTCTCTTTCCTTTTTTCCTCCCATTCCACTTTGTTTCCCAATTTAGGTCATAGTGTGAGGAATATTCAAGCATTTTCAGTCCTCCAGAATGCATTTTTGAGAGCAAAAACCAACTATCTAGCACAAATCATCCTTGATGCCATCACGAATATTTATATGGCGGACAATGCCAACTACTTCATTTTGGAATCGCAGCACACACTGTCTCAGTTTGCAGAGAAAATTCCTAAACTTCCAGAAGTGCAGACCAAATACTTTGAGATGCTGGAATTTGTTGTCTTCAGCTTGAATTACATACCCTGTAAAGAACTGATCAGTGTGAGCATCCTTTTAAAATCCAGCACTTCTTTTCAGTGTAGCATCATTGCCATGAAGACACTCCTTAAGTTCACCCGTCATGACTGCATCTTTAAGGATGTCTTCAGGGAAGTAGGACTTCTGGAGGTGATGGTAAATCTTCTTCATAAATATGCAGCGCTTCTGAAAGATCCCACTCAGGCACTGAATGATCAAGGTAGCGTGTGCTCTTCCATTTTACTAATACGTGTCTGCCCGTGGCTGGGAATGGTGGAGGCTAGCACTTAAGAGGAGGAACAATAGAATCTGAACATGTACCTCAAGGGCTGAGTTCTGCCGGGGGTTGCTGTGCCATCTTAAAAGCTCATTGGCATTGCTTCTCTCTTAACGTCCTGCGAGAAGCTCAAGGCAAGCTTTAATGAAAGATGCTGTATGAATGCAAAATAGTAGGAGTTCATATTTTCCTTTTTAAATGTTTTTTTTTGTTTTGGTTTGGTTTTTTTTTGGTGTATTGGTTTGTTACTTAACATGAAAAGAGCAAGTGAAGGAGCAATGCGCTTCCTCACAAAGGGTGCTTGTGCATTTCATTGTGCTTAGTCCCAGTTTTGAAAAAATACTACAGAGCACATATCTGAGCTCTTAATAGGAGTGTGCATTCAAGTTTGCAATCTTTTTTACAAGTTGGGTCTACATTTTTCCGAGAGCATTAAAAAAAAAAATTATTAAAAATTAGTTATCTCATCTCCAGAATTGAACATCTCAGAGATAAGCTACATAGCTGCTTAGCCTGCAAAGCAGGCACTGCCAGATGCCATATGTGCATACGTACACACACATGCAGAATTTTTTTTTACTTCTTTGTTCAAACTGCAGTCAAGTTAGTGTGCATCAGTGACATGTATTTTTTAATCATAATTGTAGGTCATTTCACCTGAGTTTATTGTCTGAAACTTCATTAGCAAACAGTAGCGGCTGATTAGAGTTAGAAAGCTTTGTTGCCAGTGAAAAGCACATCAGTTCTCGCATTCCTGTAAATAAATGGACCAAACTGTCATCTGATTACGGTGCTACCGGGGTGCACATGCCGTTGTATTGTGCCTTGCTTCTTATTAGAGTTATTTAAAAAAAAAAAAAAAAAAAAAAAAGTCAGTTTTCTGGAGTGTTACTCTGTGTTTAAAATCCCACTTGCAGTATTGATTTGTCTGTTACACCTGCTGAATCATCAGCACACTTACTGTAATGATGTGAAGGTATTTTTGTGCTTTTGTTTGGAATTTCTCTTCTCAAATACTTGATACTGAACAAGAACAGAACCTGTTAAGTCTTCAGCTATGGTATGGTTTTGTGGCTTCAAGAAATAACAGTTGGGGATACAGAGCTGCAGTGTCAGCTACTGAGCTCACAGTGCTCAAAAGCTTCTGTTTAAATTCTTGTCTTTATAAATTAACTTTTCAAGTGATTCATAGTTAAGGTTCCCCAGGAATGCATGTGTAGACTGAATCTTAATTTACTTTGGAATACAGTTAGTCTACATGTTCTGCGGAGAAGCAAAGAAAATAAAAATATTGGTGGAAAGTATCAAGAAGCATCTTAGGAAACAGTGATTTTTACTATGACACTGGGTTCTGAAATTATTTTTTAGGGGATTCAAGAAACAGTTCATTTGAGGACCAAAAGCAGCTGGCCTTATTGGTTATGGAGACCTTGACAGTACTACTACAAGGATCAAACACAAATGCAGGTAAGCAGAGAGAATGCTGTCAAAATATTTATAAAAAAATACCTCAGAAAGCCATGCCTGAAAGCAAAGTAGTCTTGACTTTCAATCTTTAGGCAAGTAATCAAACGTGCTCAAAAATGCTTTTTCTCTTGCCAAGTTTCTCCAGAAAAGAGAGTAGGCAGCATAAACTAGAGTGGATAAAATAAAGGAGTACGAGTGTTGCTTTTTACCTTGAGTTTCTTTGCTATTGTTTACCTGAAGAGAACCACCACACCCCATCACTCTCCAACAATACTATAATAATTTGTAGTAGGGCTTGTAATACAGGTTATATATTGAAAAATTTATGCATTTAATTAGACATGTGGTTTGCTGTTGACAGTGTCACGTCTACTTAAAGGTGATTAATAATGCTTGCATCTTTGCTGAAAGATAGCTTTTCATTTTCAAAGGCATATTCCCAGTCAGGATGTATGAATAGGGCTCTGTTACAAGTGTCCTCTTCTAAATCAGGCAGGTTTATATTGTGCTTCATTAGCCAAGACTTAGTGACATGGACAGTATGTATATCTCATATTAGTAAAAGCTGTCTCTGAGAGCTTGAAATAACACATTGAGAAAGGATGATAACTGGTTCTCAACCCTCTTTGTTCTATTAGACAGAGAAGAAAATAAGCAGGTGGGGGGAAACAGACACCACCCTGAGGAACCAGGAAGTTTCTGACCTTGGAAGCCACAAAACATCCTTATTTCAGCAGGGCTTTTTTTTTCCCTTTTTCTCAATTCTGCCTGGTGTTTTCTCACTTCTGGTTTTGTTTTTTATTTCATTTAAGTAGGAGAAACTCTAATCTGTGACAAATGCTTAAGAATTAAATCCTGAAAATTGTCCAGTTTGGTTGACAGCTCACTGTTTAAACATTAGTTCCTGGGCTAATGATGTAAAGCTTGTAACTAGTTTCTTTTCTGCTTTTGCCCAGGCAAATTTTTTAATTTAAATTTAGGCTCAGTGTTGGAGTAACCTCCAGTATTGTCTATGCCGTTTCACTGTTGCACTTGTTTTCTAGTTCTGTTGCATTTAAGCTTGTGGTTTCAAACCACTTTCAAAGGTGGCTTTTGAATTCTGCCCACTGAGCATTTACAACATCTGCCAGCTCGGCTTTGTTCACATACTTGATAAGTAAGTTCTTTGATCTATCAGGAAAGGCATTATTAGTCATGGCACTCGAGATAAACCCTAGTTGCATGCCCTTAGTTAAAAAAGAAAGACATTGCAGTGAAGCAGAAGTTACTCCAAGCTGATGTTTCAGTTAGTTATACATTCAGTCTGTCGTGATTGCATTTAGACCATTTTGTCAGATTGCCTACAAGCTTTGCTGAAGCTGAGATAGGTGTCTCCTTTGCCACTTGCCTTTTGTCCACCAAGCTCCCGCTCCAGTCAATGGAAAGGAAAAAAACATGATCTTTGATTTGTTGAATGAATCTGTTCAATGATGAACCAAGAAGCAAGTGAATTAGGCTGAAATAAGGAGGTTTTAGAGAGGAATTGGTATAGATTGGTATAGATTACAGATGAATTGCATGAAGCAATTACACACTTGTGTATTTATTGCTCAGCTTTGGTCTTGACATGTAAGAAAAGACAGAATTAGAAATGAGTCAGAAAAGAGTAGCATGAAGGTACGTGTGGAGGCTTCCATATAAGGAGAAATTGGGGGAAAAAAACCCAAACAACCCCCCAAAAACTTAGGGTTGTTTGATTTCTAATGATGAATGAGAGAAGGTGGTCTAAGTATGTGATGATAACATCTCTGAAGGTCTGGAACTGCCTCATACTTTAGAAATGGCAGGTCTTGGTTCACAGGACTGGACTCTACTTACCTGAGTATAGTATGTGGCTCCTGTGAGGTATGAATTATGATCTGACCATGGTAGCATCCACCTGACTTGTGACAAATCCTTGGCTGCTGTTAAATGGCGTTCCTGGCCTCACCTAGGAAGCTTGAGGCAGCCATCAGTACCTCATTGCTACTTCTTGGTACTGAGTTCATCTCTGAGTATCCACCAGAGAAACAACAGAGGGTAGCGTAAAACACATCAGGACTGTGGGATGATGTTTTTGAGGACTCCTGGAGAGTTCAAAGGCCTCATTTCATCAGTAGTCGTTCAAGTTCAGCACTGACAGATCTGTACAGGAGTTAAAAAAACATTTCTCAGACAAGTTGTGGTTACTATCTGTGCAGTGTGACTGGGGTGTGAGTCCAGTGGCACTGCATCCAGAGGCCAACAGAGGTTTTAGGTCATCACAGAGAAGCATCAGTAGGTGTTATGCAGCTTTGCAGTGCTTCATACCACATTCAAAGCTTGGTTTCTGATCTTAAACCAATACCTCTGATAAGCTTTCCTGAATATTGCATAACTGATAACCTAACTTCAAACGATAAATTTGGGTGTCCAGACCCAGACAGGTTCACTGGATAGTTGAGAATCTAGACGGAGAGTGGGAGAAGTGCACAGTGTTTCCTTAGTCTCTCTGAAAACGAGACCTGACCACTGAGCAGATGTGCTTTGCCTGTAAAGGGATACAACCAGCTTAACTGTCTATGGATCTAAGAGCTCTCCTTTTCCCTTGTCCAAGTCTGTATCTCATCCAAAGAACGTCAGAGAAAGAAGGAGGCAGGAAATCAGAAATGGATAGTGGGACTAAGGGTTGTATAGTACATTGGAGGGAATAAATATTGTCCTGACTAGCTTGTTAATCCTGAACTTGGTCATTTAAACTGCTCTGTTAGTTTATGGTCACAAGGAAAATAATCCCTTTTGATGCAGTAATGGTGCATTGATCCATTTCCCTACTGTGTTTTCATCTTCAGTAATTAACACAGGGCAGTACTCTAGGTGCTGACACTGTACTAAACACGTTATATGTGCCATATATATTCCAGTTTGTTTTTTACAATGTTTTCAGAATCAATTTTCATTTCATTTTCAGTTAATGTTCCACACATGTTGTTCTGAGTATGCAGTAAGCTTGAGAACCATTATTTGACTTAAGCTTTATCTCAGCAGAGATAGGTCTTGCCACAAGAAAACTTATGTAGAATCTTGCAGATCTTGTGGAGAAACGGAATCACTTCTCAACCAGTGCTCCTAGTTTGCTCATCTTGTCCAGAAGCAGCCTAGTTATATTTTTGGCAATGAACTAAATGTAATATAAACACTATCCTTAACCAAATCATCATATAGGCTTCCATAAAGATGGGGGGGGGTGTTTTCCTATATTTTTTTCTTTGTTTCATCCTGTCACTCTGAGCTCTAGCATGAGAAGAATAATGGTTATTGGAGTAACAGAATTATTGAGGAAATTCTTAGAACTGCCCCGCGTCCTTGTACTCAACACCTTTAGTGAAAAATATTGTCAGAAGAATATCATTCAAGTTCTATTTGTATTTGTGATAGGAGAGGAAAAACAGTAGTAATTCATTAAACACTCAAAGGGCTAAAACCTGCTACTCAATCTGTAGAAATTAAAATAAACACCCTTCATGTTTTGTTGTCGTTGTTACTGATTGTATTTTTCATACTCCTTATGCACTTATCCCCATCCCCCCACTTTCTGAGTAGGTATTTTCAGGGAGTTTGGTGGTGCAAGATGCGTGCACAACATAGTAAAGTACCCCCAGTGCCGACAGCATGCCCTGATGATCATCCAGCAGTTGGTGTTATCACCTAGTGGAGAAGATGATATGGGCACTTTGCTGGGACTGATGCACTCGGCTCCACCTACGGAACTGCAACTGAAAACGGACATCTTAAGGGTAAATGAAGTACTGCTCAGGACATTTGCTCCTACACTTTTAAAAAAGAAAACACTGAGATGGGGATTGATTTGGATGGATGGTATTTAGCTATTGAATGTAGATTGTCTCTGGAGTTGAAACGTATACATTTGATGCATGGTTTTATTTTTTTCCATCTGTCCATGGCAAGTTTCAGAATCAGAGTTGAAGTCTAGTGAGTGAGTATAAGTTTTTAGCATCATCACTTCTAATCAGCCTCAATGGTTAGGAAACAAGGTTCCACAGTTATGATAATCTTCCCTGGTGGAGTTAAAAATAGTGAGAATACATGGAGGGGGAAAAAAGCAAGCATGTAACATATAAGCTTATTTTCAGTGCTGGCTTGTGTTTTCCTGGCTTACTTTATTTTACCAATTTGTTGGTTATAAATGCTGAATTACTTAATATAAACGTAAATTGTAGTGACCATAGTAGAAGATAAAGCCAAAGAACTTGCTTGGTTAAGCAAAGTCATGGAAAGGTGGGAAAGTAAGGCTGCAAGTGGAGGAGGAAGAGAGAAGACTCTCATCTGTTTTCTATCATATTAGGTTTTTTGGCTGCTAATCTAGACCCACAATTTTTCCTCAGAATAGCTTATGTTATTTTTGTAAATTGACATAATAGTGTTATTTTAGGGTAGACAAGCTGAGGCAAGTAGTAATAAGTACAATGAGTCTTAGCAGAGAGAACTCTGAGACATCTAGGTGCATCTCTGTTGAAAGAAGCTGTAATATTTCTCTGACAGATGAGCAGCTTCATATTATTGCAAAAGACAGAAAGGAAAGCTAGTAATAAAAATATTCATTTGACGTGTTTTCTCTATCGGGGTCTTCAGTCAATTTTGAGCATGTGTCATTCATGATAGTTAAGGGAAGAGAATGAATATTGGAGTTCCCTAGTGGATTTAACATTCAAAGTCAGGGTTTCTCTCCTTCATCTGAGCTGTTGTATTTGTCTGACATTGGTGCTGTTTTCAGAAGTTTTGGTTATGGAACTGACAGCCCAGAATGGTGCAGTGATGTGTCTCTTACTGTTTATCCAGGTTTGGCAGGAAATGAGATACTGCCTTCAAAGGAATGACAGTCTAACTATTTCACTACCTATCTTCTGAGAGCTTGAAAAAAAAAAAAAAAAATCATGATTCTGAAGTAGTAAACTCTTGGTCATGAAAGATTCCTGCTGCCCCCCCAGCCTATTTTTCTGTATAAATAACATTTTTCTGTTTGTGAAGCTTTGTATAAAGAGACTTTTTCTTCTGTATTCCATATTCACTTGTGGGTCAAACTTCCCGTGACATCCGGATTTTTGTTTGTTTTTGATTGGGTGGATGGGCTTCCCTACCTCCTGATTTCACAGATAAATGGGTATTATTCTGTAGTACCTAGATTCATGTAGTTTCCACTGTTTATACTGTGGCTTTGTATTTCTTCAGCAAGCAAGATTTTATGCATTTTTGTTTCTCAGGCTTATTTTTGAACAGCAATTCCTAAAATCAAGTGTCACCCCATTCAGAGATTTACGGGTTTCATTATAGAAGAAGGCTAAAACTAAGTGGGTTTTGGGGGCTAATTCTTTGCTGCTTTTGTTATCTCTGAGTGCTGTTGTGGCTTCGTAGCTCCCAAGTCCTTATGCATTGTGGTTTTCTGGGAGACCTGTGTTACAGTGCTCCAAGGTTTAGATTTGTCATTGCTACAGGCAGTTATTTGCCCACTGCGGTTCAAAATTGTGAAGTATGATGGCAGAGTAGATACCTTTCCAACAGCTATATACTCTGCCTTCTCACTAATGGAATTACCTGGGGATTTTGGGTTCTAGGCTTGGTCAAGTCTTTTCTCTTGGCAGGTTTATCTCCTTAATTTCTTATTTCTAAATTAGTGGCAATGCTTTACTTTTTCCCCCACTCTTTCTCTTTTTATTTTGTAAGCTCTTGAGGGTGGGGACTCCTGCAGTACAAAATTGATCTTTGGAGACTTCAGGCATTACCAAATTCTGACAAATTACATGAGGATTTTGCTAGCATCTCAAACAAAAATATTCCTACCTTTTTTCAGGCTGTTTGTAATGCTGTTGGTTTGGGTGTTTTCTTCTTTGTTTTGATTGTTTGTTTTGTCCATAGGCCCTACTCTCGGTGCTGAGAGAAAGTCACCGCACAAGAACTGTTTTTAGAAAAGTTGGTGGATTTGTGTATGTCACATCTTTACTGGTTGCTATGGAAAGATCTTTGTGCTCGCCACCTAAGAATGGCTGGGAAAAAGTAAACCAGAATCAAGTGTTTGAACTGCTTCACACTGTGTTCTGCACATTGACTGCAGCAATGCGCTATGAGCCAGCCAACTCTCATTTCTTCAAAACAGAGATCCAGTATGAAAAACTGGCAGATGCTGTTCGATTACTTGGCTGCTTCTCAGACTTGAGAAAAATAAGTCCCTTGAATGTCTTCCCTTCAAATACACAACTATTTCAAAGGCTTTTGGAGGATGACCTAATATCCCTGGATTCTGTGTCACCTACGCTAAGACACTGCAGCAAACTTTTTATTTACCTCTACAAGGTAGCAACAGATTCTTTTGACAGGTATGACCTTTACTCTTTTTTTTTTTTTTTTCCTCTTCCCACCCCACCTGTCCGCAGTGTTCCCCAAAATAGTTTTCTTCAGTAAGTTCATTGCAAGCTTTTATATTTCCATTTTAATCTATTTCTTTGTTCCTTTCGCTCCAGTGAGAGGAATATAAGGTGTCAACATCTAACCAAATATTGACTTAGCTCACTGGTATTCTCCAGGGTATGCCGCATTCTCTCTGATGTTAAATGTTTTTGTCATGGCAGCAATTAAGATGGAGATGTCTGTTTATGGTTATATTTGATGTGTTGAAGCAACCTGTTGGTTTATAGTCAGACTGTCTGGTTGCATTATCATACAGAACTACTAGATTTTTGTGCTTTTATTAAGTCAAATGAAAAATTAGTTCTTGAACATCACACCTTAACTTCAGGTTTCCTTTGGTATGGGACTTTATAGTAAGTAATTAGATGATAATATGATGAATTTAGAATCACAGAATTGTTTAGGTTGGGAAAGACTTTTAAGATCATAGAGTCCAACCCTAAACCTAACACTGCCAAGTCCACCACTAAACTATGTCCCCAACTGCCACATCTTCATAGCTTTTAAATACCTTCAGGGATGCAGACTCAACCACTTTCCTGGGCAGCCTGTCCCAATGCTCGACAATCCTTTCAGTGGACAAATTTTTCCTAATATCCAGTCTAAACCTCCTCTGGTGCAACTTGAAGCCATTCCTTCTCATCCTATCACTTGTTACTTGGGAAAATAGACCAACACCCACCTCCCTACAACCTCCTTTCAGGTAGTTGTAGAGAGCAATAAGGTCTCCTCTGAGCCTTCTTTCCTCCAGACTAAACACATCTAGACTAGACTTCTTGTTTTAGATGGATTGGCATGTTATTTAAAGTTCTAGCTAGTCTGTAAATTATTGTTTTTTAAATTTAACTGGGAGACACTCACAGATTTAAACAACTAAAATTTAAATTAAACTTGAGATTTAAAAAGAACCATAGTGTGTGTGTGTGTCTTAAAGTTGATTCAAAATGACGACAAAACTTACCAAAGTATGTATTCAATACTGTCTTGTCTTAAAGTAGTTCATGCCCATAATTTAATGTACAAAAAAGTAAAACACAGACCTAAGCTTCGTATCTGGGACCTTGGAGCTTCTACACCCCAGATATTTAATGCATGTGATCCTGTTTTAATAAGACAGGCCACCTAGTTAGTGAAACACAGGGTCTGATCTTTCAGGTGTTGAATATGTGGCTGTGTATTTTGAGACATTAATAGAGCTGCCAGTTGGTCAAGCTTATTTAAACTAGGTGACCAGTAAAGTACAAACTTCATGTTTTTGTTAATGAACATTTTGCCTCCAAAGCAGCAAATCTTAATGCTTTTCTCATGTTTAAAAAAAAAAAAAAAAAACAAACAAAAAACAAACCAAGAAAAAGAAACAACCCAGAAACAAAAGCCAATTACAGAAGTCCATTTACTTAATCTTGTTTTAAAGGCCTGTTAAATCACTCAGTTAGGGGGAGGAAAATGTGTATTAAAAATGTGTTGCGTGTACCGTAGAAGTTATTGGCTAACAGTAGAGTATGAGGAATCAGTGAGGTAAGTAAATCCCATGGTGGTGTTGCATAAGCTACCTCATAAAGTTCCATATTTTTTGCTGTCATCTTCAGTGACTGCATTCTTCCTTCTTTCTTAAATTTTCTGATCATTGTTCTTTGTAAAGTTTACATTGATTTTTTTGTACCCATGTTGGTTATAGTTAATTTACTGAGGCTTTACTTTCTCCTCTCAATTTCTGCTGTTTAACATTGAAAGACATTTTGTTTTACTAGTGCGGTCATATCAATAAACTTCTGCGGAGTAATAAATAAGCACTGTAGAGTCCTGCCATAAAACAAGTACACGCTTTGCACGTTCACATGTTTACCTGATGTGTGTTGTTCAGTCGTGTCTGTCATCTGTGTTGTTTCTGAAGAATGGATCCTAGTAACGATTTCATTGGCGCTTCTGTAGAACTAACAAGCTTATGGCCTCTGATTTCTTCTCTAACCACTCTGTCCTACCCCTGTCTGTTTTGTCTGTAGTCGTGCAGAACAGATCCCTCCTTGCCTGACAAATGAGACTTCTCTCCCTTCTCCCTGGGGTACGCCAGCTTTGTCCAGGAAAAGGTACCGACCCGTCAAAGAGAAGTTGATCTCGCTTCTGATTTCTCTCACACTGTTGTGTTTCTTAGTTGGGGGCGGGGTGGGTTTCTCTCAAGTTACTATTTATTTCTGAGGTGTACATTTTCACTTGTTTGTTTACTGGATTAAATAAATGTAAAGTTATATTTCATAGTGATTCCTGGGTAGTGATGCTAATGGATGGGATTAGAGATGTCTTCAGACTCCTGAAGCACTTAATGTTAAGTTCATGATTCAAAACCAAATAAGGTCTAGTATAAGATATTATCTGAGGGAGGAATAAATGACACTCTCAGGAGCAGTTCAGAGAAGTTCAGACTATGCTAGCAGATCAATTAATGCAGCAGGATCACTTTTTTCTTGACTGCTTTTTCAAGAAAAGGTACTTTCATTAGGAAGGTGGATGGCCTGTTAAGGTGCTTATTTGTTAGTCATTGCACAGAATAAAAATGAAGAATGAACCTGTCAGTACTTGACTACCAAATGATGTAGAGGCATGCTAAATTTAAAGGTTTGGAAAGAAAGCACAAATGTCACAATTCAGAAATCCTAGTACCCACTTCCCCTCCCAAGTTACTAGTGTCTTGTAGATTATTTTTTCTTTAAAAAATTTACTGATTTGACAAGTGTGATTTACAGGCCTGTGCAAATGATGAAAAGGAGATTTTTCCCAGAGCCCCTGGAGAAGGGGGCAGCTGTTTGTTATCTGAAGATGCAGGTTAGGCAGAGGTTTACTTTTGAAGGCTAAAAGGATGTTGGAACGACTGTGGGTTATCTGAGGTTCAGGTGCCACGTGTAGAAAATAAGGTCATTCTTGCTTGGTGTGCGGCTTAAAATATGCCATCAAGTTTCATGTGTGGAATGTAAAATATTTTGCAAAGGGAAGCAACCATAGCTGCTTTTGGAAACTGCTGTGAAAGGAAATGTTTGTACTTGAGCAGGTTAGTAAAGAGAAGACTTGTTCTGTCTTCCTGAGTGATGTTACCCAACTCATACCTGAGTATTCTGCAGGGACTGGCTTGGACAAGGCCACTTTCCCAATAATCCAGAACCTCTTAGACTGTTGTTTCCTTTCTTTTCTAACACTGAGGCATTTAGAAACAAACAGCGGTTGCAGTTCACAGAGAAAAGCCTTAGCTGCCAAACTCCTTTCCCTCTCCTTTAATCCAAAGAAACTTGAAAGAAAACAGTGTTGCCTGTGGAGGCTTTCTACATCTTCAGCCCTGATATTAACACACTATCATTATGGATTACCCTATCCTTTACTAGATTTTGCTGTTCTCCCAGGTGTAACTGGCATGGCTGCTCAGATTCACTGAATTACGCAAATGCACAGGTATGCGAAGGCTTGCAGAAGACATGCAATGCCTGTCAAACAGGAGTTGGTTACAGGGTACACCCTGATAAAAGAGTACCAGATGGGTAGTTGACACATCCTGGTAATGAAAATACAAATATACCTATATATGAATCAATATGCTAGGCTTCCTTTGTTTGTTTTTTTGTAGTTCTGAAAATATGAGAGGTTATTTGAAAACTGTGTGGTATAAGTCAAGGTAAAGATTGGGTAGTTTAAAAAGTCAGTAATCCCTGTGGGGTGCTTTGGGCAATTCAGATAAGAACCAGTATAGTAATGTGGGTACTTGCTGAGGTAAAAGAGTACATTTGACAAGGATCTTCACAAACAAAAAAGGCCTTTGAGTGATAAGAAGTTGTGTAAGACTCAAAGCAAAAGTGGACGGAAGGAATGATCATGCTGGCCTGGGTGACTTTTCAGATCCTTCTGTAAAAGCATGTATTCAAGTGAAAAAATAGGCAGGGCTAGGCTTTTCAAAAAGTCTGTTTGAGCAGCTGTCTGCTTTCTCACGGTTGTTCAGCACCATGTTTGTCATTCCTAGTGAATTCAATGCCAGTAGCTGAGATCTTCCTACTTTCAAAAATAAGCAACTTGGTTTAATAGTCCAATATTACTTGATTTTCTTTTTTTTTTTTTTTTTTTTCCTCTTTTTAAATGTCAATTACGGTCTGTCGATGTTGACTGTTCTGAGATGTGTTTGCTCTTCTCTTATTGTTTTCTGTCTCCTTTACTTTGCTTCCCTGGGATCTCCCTTGTTGATGTGGCCTGGCTTTCTGCCTTTTGACTCATAAGACGGGTGCCTGAGGGAGAGTCCTGTGTAGTTTGGCTAAAAGAGCAAGCAGGCACTGGTGCACACAAACAATTCTTACAGACAACAATAGTACAGTTCTGGTTTTGATGCACACAGTCTAGAACAGTTCTGGATACATAGATATGCTAATAATCTCTCTCAGGCATGCCTGCCTCTTCTCAAATCTGTATTTCCCTGAGGAGTGGTACCCTCCAAGTGTTATCCTTTATGTAGACAGAGCAGGTAGGATTCCTCCAGCACATGGCATTGGGATGGCAGTACGTAGCTGTCCTCCCTGTTACCTGGAATGTATTGTGCTTCCACTCCTCCCCTGTAATTTGAATCAAGACCTACAACTTCGCTAGTTGTTTCATTGCTGTAAATTTTGGCAGAGAAAACATAATTTGACAGGGCCTTCTCATACTTATTTTGAGCGATTGTTTTGGGCCTGACAAGGTAGAGAATAGAATGTAGCTTTGATTTTAAAATACTTTTAGCCATTATAAAAGTTTGGAAGGTGATCACTCTTGAGGAATGATATGCAGAGGGTTTATCTACAATAAATCTTACTTATTTTTTTTCCACATGAAAATTGATGATGCAATTCTCATCAAGAGTTGTACTTAACAATATAATTTAAGTTTGAATTTTTTCTCCAGGTTTATTTTTTATTAAATTAGACAGATCAATGTGTCATCTTTCCTTTTTCCATTGTCCACTTCTTCCTTTCTTCTCCCTTAAAGGGATCATACAAAGAATGTAGAAGAATGGCTAACTTCATTTACTGCAGGTTCTGCACTGACCCATAGACTTGTAGTATTCAATGAATACTTTGGCAAGATTTTGTAGGATCTATTTTCTTTTCCCTGCCTAGAGAAGTCTTTTTGAACTGTTTTGTGGTTTGTTTTTCATTGTTTTGATAACAGTACTCCTCCTATGAACAAAATAAATATAGTCGGTATTTTAAAATGAGGAGGAAAACTTCCTATAATATATACTTTAAGGACATAACTTTTATTTAGATTGCTACCAGAAAAGCAAATTGCCTAGTCTTGACTGTATCCCCTTTTCAACTTATTGTATGTAAATGTTGAAGCATGGGCTGAGATCAGGATCACACGCTTGTTCGTGAACCATACTGAGCAGTGGCTCGGGTTTTGTCACACTTTCCCCGTACTACCGTGTTATAGCCTCACAGTTTGCCTAATGAGGTGACTGTGATAGTGCAGATCAGGATGCTTAAAAGTAAAATTTGTGCTGAAAGTGGTTGGAAGCTTGATCTTTAGGAATGTCTTGGGGAGTGGAGTTTTGCTAGGCTGAAGGGCATTCTTAAATACAAATGGATATTTTGTTTTTAAACTGTATCCTGTAAAATTTACATTGGGATGGTCAAGGTGACATTGGAAAGAGGTAGCAGTTTTCTTCTTCAGATGAAGAGCACTGCTTTTAAGGTGCATGAGAAACAATTGTCTGTGTTTAAATCTCTGCATTAAGATGGAGAAAAGGGTTGAGAGAACATCTCTCCATGATAGTATTGCCAGATGTTCTGCTGTTCATAATTCCATTTAATTTTAAGAGAGACAGGAAAGCTTTCTTCTACCTGCCAGATGTTTCAATTAGTGAGTCTGCTAGAGAAGTTTAGGGAACTGATGGTTAGAGATTTTGTGAAAACACCAGAAAAATTTATTTGGACAGATTTTTTTCTTAGTGGTTGGTTACAGTAGTATTGCCATACTATTTCAGGTTGGATGTATTAGCTGAATGAGTAAAGCATCAGTGTAATTTCATCTTCCTTCAAAAACTCTTGTATAAAAAGTGCTCTTGGATTCTTCAGATGCCAAATTGTTGTTGATCTGCTACGAGCCTTTTTAATAGGAACACTTTTGTTGGAACATTATTTATCGAGCCCGTTTTCCAGCTAGCACAAGAAGATTGTGCTGTGCTTTCTATGTCCTATTTTAGGCTGAATAATCCATTGCCTCATCCTTCCCCCACAAATGATGCTTCTTGCTGGGGTACGTGTTTGCATGTTTGAGATGCAACTTCAAAGTGTTTAGGACAGAATTGCACATGCAGCCTTCCTCATCTCTCATCTATGTCCTGTTTTTCCCAGGAGAAAAGATTTCCTAGTTGGAAGTGCCTAATGGGTGAGCCACAGTGGGTCTCCAAGTGTTATTTCTGTTAGGGTTAAGGGCTAGGTAAATCTCTGTCACTGAGAACAGGAGAGAGGAAATGTCTCTTCCAACTGATTTGATAGGAAGAGACTCATTTTTAGCTGGATTCACTTCTTGTAAAACGGCCAGCAATATTTGACCTTCAAGAAAAAATTGTTACAGTTTGTTTTCTTGCTTATTTGTAAGAAGTATATGTAATAAATACTGTGAGGGTATGGGTTGGGTTTTGGGGGGGTTAGGTTTTTTTTTTTTGGTTCTGTTGTTTTGTTTTGTTTGTGATGAACATGACCCTTCCAAGCTATCTTTTGCTTCTAAAATAACATCTTGAAAGCATATGTTCAGTAAGCTGCTCATGCTGTTTGTGTGTTGAATTTGTGCTGAAAGAAAAATGGAATCAAGCTGATACCTCCGAGAGTCTCAATGAAAAACGTGTCTACAGCTCTCAGCACAAGTGATTGCTTCTAAGTCAGTGTGTCAAAGCCTCTTTTCCCTGGATCAAACTAAAGTAGCTTAATGTAAAACTAAATTGCCGTAGCAGTCATGGAGAGACTGAGAGCACGCAGACTGCTGGCACAAGTGTACACTGAGACCAACTTTCTGTTCCTGTAGGCTAATTAGAGATTGCTGAGAGTTTTGTGATAGTTTTATAATCAGTTGTTAATGAAAAGTGAATGGGGGGAAACGTATTCAAAGCTGTATTTGTTCCCCAGAACAGGAGCAGTGGTAGCTTGCATGATGCTGTTGCTGTGTGCTGCCACTGCAACTAGAATAAAAAGAGGGAGGCAATAAAGTCGACCTTAAGGTTCTTCAAACTGTGTAGCACCTGAGGAAAAGACTTCTGAGTTCAAGCATGATCAAGAAATTGAAACGTTTCCAGGTCGTCTTTGGGGAAGCATGCCCAACAGGTTTGAGGAAAATATTTGGTTTATTTAACTGAGTGAAGAGAAATGAGAGGAGAGTAACATCTATAGGCCAGTTCAACTTTACAGCTGTTTGAAAAATGCAAAGCTCATAACAAATGGGTGTTGTAACCATGGGATGTTTTCTGTCCTGCAGGCATGCATATCATTCTGTTTCAACACCTCCTGTTTGCCCTCAGAAAAACATAGCTGATGTGAAACTCCAAACAGGACCCACATCTGTACAAAGCTCTGATGCGGTCATTATCCACCCTGGTGCTATGCTCGCAATGCTGGATCTTCTGGCCTCTGTTGGATCAGCTACACACCCAGAGGTAGGGAAAAGAATTCTGCTGTCTTAAGCTTTGAGAGTGACTGGGAAGAAGGATATCTATGGGAAATATGAAAACCAATGATGTCCTCTCATTCTGTGCTGAGGAGATAATACATTTCGTAGGCTTATTGAGTTGAGTAACTGGTGACATAATGAGTTCTAATATAAATTGTTTTATTTCATAGGCTTTGTTTTGTTTGTATCTTTCAAAATTTTGTCAACAATGTAAATATAAAGAAATGTCTGAATTGGCCATCAGGTAAGTTTCCAAGCACTGTGATTAATTCACGTTTTCCCTGATGTATCAGGTGTTAACTCATAGTACGAAGAGGACATTGAATTGGACATTATAGCTCAGTGTATATCAGCTGTTTGAAATAGCTGGAATATGTTCTAGTTTCAAAATTGTACTGCCTGCTTTGTACAATTCCCAAACCACAAGTGTCTACTGGTGGTCTGTAGATAAAGGATTTGTTGAACATTTTTTGAAGGTGCTGAAGTATTTTTTGTTTGAGATGTTGTCCATGAAGAACAGTGGTTTGTTTGTTTTGTTTTGTTTTGTTTTTTTTTTTTTTATTTTTAAAAAAAAAGGTTCCAAAAGCTTTCAAGAATTACTAGACTTGATTCTTGATTCCTCTTTCTTGTCCTCTACCAGTGATGAGTGTGGAGACTTTCTGGTTTTGGGGCATTAATTTGGCAGTCATTGTTCCATATATCTTAAATGTAGTAGAGATGATAGAGATGTTGATGGGGAGCAGAATGAAGCCCTCACAATCCAAGGGGAAATGGTTAGCAACCTGCTACACCACTTAGACACATACAAGTCTATGGAGCCAGGTGGGATCTACCCAAGGGTACTGATAGAGCTGGTGGAAGTGCTCACCAAGACACTTTCCATCATTTATCAGCAGCCCTGGCTAGTTGGGGAGGTCCCAGTTGACTGGAGGTTGGCAAATGTGATGCTCGTCTACACAAAAGGCCAAAAGGAGCATCTGGGGAACTCCAGGTTTGTCAGTCTGATGTCGATGCTGGCAGGAAGGTTATGAAGCAGATCATCTTGAGTGCCATCACACAGCTCGTACAGGACAACCAGCTGATCAGGCTTAGTCAGCATGGGTTTATGAAAGGCAGGTCCTGCTTGACTAACCTGACCTCCTTCTGTGACAATGTGACCTGATTAGTGGATGAGGGGAAAGCCTGTGGATGTTGCTTAGCTGGACTTCAGTAAAGCATCTGACACCATTTCCCACAGCCTTCTCCTGGAGGAACTGGCTGTTCATGGCTTGGATGAGTGCACTCTTCACTGGGTGAAAAACTGGCTGGATGGCCGGGCCCAAAGAGTGATGGTGAATGGAGTTAAACCTAGTTGGCAGCTAGTCATGAGAGGTTTTCTGCAGGGGTCAGTACCGGGGCCAGGTCTGTTTAATATCTTAATCAGTGATCTGGGTGAGGGGATCGAGTGCACCCTCAGTGAATTTGCAGACAACGCCATGTTGGGCGGGAGTGTTAACCTCCTTGAGGGTGGGAAGGCTCTGCAGGGGGATGGGGACAGGCGGGGTCGATGGGCTGAGGCCAGTTGTATGAGGCTCCACAAGGCTCAGTGCCGGGCCTGCGCCTGGGTCACCACAGCCCCCGGCAACGCTGCCGGCTCAGGGAGAAGTGGCCGGAAAGCTGCCCGGTGGAAAAGGACCTGGGGGGGGTTGGTCGACACCCGGCTGAATACGAGCCAACAGTGTGCCCAGGTGGCCAAGGCGGCCAACGGCATCCTGGCTTGTGTCAGCAATAGTGTGGCCAGCAGGACTAGGGCAGCGATCGTCCCCCTGTACTCGGCACTGGTGAGGCCGCACCTCGAACGCCGTGTTCAGTTTTGGGCCCTTCACCACAAGAAAGACACTGAGGTACTGGAGCGCGTCCAGAGAAGAGCAGCAAAGCTGGTGAAGGGCCTGGAGAGCAAGATTTATGAGGAGCGGCTGAGGGAACTGGGGTGGTTTAGTCTGGAGAAAAGGAGGCTGAGGGGAGACCTTATTGCTCTCTACAACTACCTGAGAGGAGGTTGTAGAGAGGTGGGTGGCGTTCCATTTTTCCCAAGTAACAAGTGATAGGATGAGAATGAACAGCTTCAAGTTGCACTGGAGGAGGTTTAGATGGCATATTTGGAAAAATTTTTTCACTGAAAGGGTTGTCAGGCATTGGAACAGGCTGCTCAGGGAAGTGGTTGAGTCACCATGCCTGGAGATACTGAAAAGCCATGTGGATGTGGCACTCGGAAACATGGTTTAGTGGTGACTTGGCAGTGTTAGGTTTACAGTTGGACTTGATGATCTAAAGGTTGGTCTTTTAGGTAGGTCTTTTCCAACCTAAATGATTCTATGTTAAGTTACAAGGAATAGCTTAGCAGTCACAAAAATAAAAGTTCTTAGTACACTCTAAGCACTTGTAGAACTTGTAAACTGACTCACTTTTGCTGGTGAAAAGGAGAGGTTAATTTAACCATCCCCATCTGAATTGTTTTTCTTTACCATGGTCATGGTAATCCTTCATATAACTTATTATACTTTTTCATATAGAGATGGAAGTGTCTCTTCACACAAACATGTGCATCAACCCTCGGGACGCATGCATTCGCACATATATTTAATTCTAGGACATTTTGTGTATTGCTAATGGTAGTTTCCTTTTCATCATTATGCATAAGGACTTTCTTTTACTTGCCTTGACGGTTTGCGTCTTCTCAAGTTGTGCTGTTCATTTTTTCAGCATGCGCTGGATCTCCAGCTGGCAGTAGCCAATATCCTGCAATCTCTAGTGCACACAGAGAGAAACCAGCAAGTCATGTGCGAAGCCGGGCTCCATGCACGACTTCTACAGAGATGCAGCGCTGCTCTGGCTGACGAGGACCACTCGCTGCATCCGCCGCTCCAAAGGATGTTTGAACGGCTGGCCTCCCAGGCGCTGCAGCCGATGGTGTTGAGGTCAGAAAGATAACCTTGCAGTCCAGTTGAGCCCTGCGCTGTCACCGGCTGGCTGTAAATGGAGTGGATTGGTAGAGAGCACGAGTGACCTTGCGTGTGGTAGTGATCACATGGGATCCCATTTTATTTCTCATCAAATAGATCGTCTTGCTTCTGTTAATCAGCATGTAGCCATAGAGACGTTGGGAATTGGAGGGCAGGGGAGAAGTGTGGAGTAGGGGAATATGTGTGGTGTTTTTCAGAGATTGTACTGAAGTTAAGTGCTTGCTTTCTTGCTGCAATTCTCGAGAGGCTGTCAAAAATGCCATTCATGGCTAGGTGCTCAGGAAGAGGATAGATCCCTTGACTTTTCTGTGCAATGTTAAATATCTCAGATTGGGAAAGCTTTGGCCCAGCAGTTGTATTTAGCACTTTAGTTTGTGTGAAGGGAAGTACAGGAATGCAGTACAAGAGGTGTCTGGAAAAACCTGGGACTACACAGCTTTAGAAAGTTGATCTTTCTGCATGTTAATTCAAGTAGGTTTGTACATCTATGCTAGTACTAGAAAAGCAAGCTTGAAAAGTTTATGAGCATATTTTGAACCATTTCTTAAATACCCACTCAGTTGTATGATGGTTAGGATTGCTTGCTAGATTCTGGGAAGACCTTCTTGTGGCCTTTCAATATAAAAAGGGCTTACAAGAATGATGGAGAGAGACTCTTTACCAGGCCCTCTAGTGACAGGAGCAGGGGCAAGGGTTTTAAACTGAAAGAGGGTGGATTTAGATTGGACGTAAGGAAGACATTTTTTACAATGACTGTGGTGAGACAGTAGAAGAGGTTGCCCAGAGGAGCTGTGGATACCCCATCATTGGAAGTGTTCAAAGTTAGGTTGGATGGGGCTTTGAGCAACCCAATAAAGTGAAAGATGTCCCAGCCCACAGCAGAGGGGTTGGACTTAGATGATCTTTAAAGGTCCCTTTCAATCCCAACCATCCCGGCATTCCGTAATGTCAGATGGATTAAGAAATTTAATTTTATTATTTCCTATAGATCACTGACTGGCTGACCTGTAGCCAGGACAACTGTTCAGTGCATTTCAGTGGCGTGTAGCTGTGTCAGAAATGATTCTGCAAGGAGCACACTTGCTGGTAGTCACATCACAGGGATTTAAGCCTCCCTAAGCATAGATACCAGTAGCCTAGGTAGCTGTAGATATAGATACTATAGTTATTTATATATATAGATGTTGATAGCTATGAAGCAGTCCTCCAGCCAAATGGGACACATGGATAAAACAAAGCTGAAGTCATTTAGTTTGGTCTGTGGTCTGCCTTTCCAGATGAGTTCAGCATGCTGAATGTGCATCAGTGAGTGTCCTGATGTTCTGCTACAGCATGGGGCAGCCCCCTGCCAAGTCGTTGGAAGTAGGGGAAGGGAATTGGGAGCCTTATCAAAATTGTTTCATTAGTTAAAATAACTTTTGAGAGCATGTGTTCAAATCTTAAATAATTTCAAATGGATCAAATGTGCTTCTCGTAAATATGCATTAGCTTATTTGTTTTCTTAGTTAAAAGTTATGTTTATTACAAGTAATTATTGTCTTTTTAAAAAAAGGTATTAGATTTGGTGTCATTCTAGGCAAATAAATAGACAGAATGATTTGTAAAATTTTTATTCTTTTTCTTAGGGAATTTTTACGCTTGGGAAATCCTTTGAATTGTGGAGCTTGGGACAAAAAGCTGTTGAAACAGTACCGAGTGCACAAACCCAGCTCACTGAGTTTTGAACCGGAAATGAGAAGTAGGTGCTGAAGTGCTAGAAATCTGTGTAAAGAATGCCTTGCTGACATCCCCCGATTGCATACTTACGTAAAATTTGTAGATAAGCATCTGTAAAAACCTAAATTTGCCCTGGCATTGTATGAATGTGAAATCATCAGAACAGTTTGATTGGTAGAGGGTCTAAAAGCACAGGGAATGTAGTACTTGTATTTAATATCTATCCAGTGAGGTAATTATAATTTTTTATTTTAGGAACAGTAACTATTAAATATGGTAGTAGTTTGCTTTTAAGTCTTGAGTAGATTCTGAGTTTGTAGTTAGTTAACAGTAAAAGGAAAGATATTTTTCATGTGCACGTCACGTCATTAAACCTATGTAGTATCTTTGATGGGTTCAGTAAGGTATCAGATAAAATAACTGAAATTCCTACACTTAAGCATAATTCCATTTATTTCAGCTAGACTCAAGAACCTGGCTCATTGTTAGTATCACTAGTAATGAGAAAGAACTAGGAAGAATTAAAAACAACAAAAAGCAGTTTACCTAATCTGGCAGAATCTCAATCTAATAATCATTTCTCTTATAAAGATATAGAATTTGGAGTTGGAACACCCACTCAGTTAAAGTTCAGAAGTCCGTTTTTAACCATTCATTAATTTTTCGTGGTAAATATTTACTATGGTTTTACTCATTGCTCACTTTCAATATGTTTACTTTCCTAGTATATTAAAATTGAAATCTTTAATAGTATGAGGTAAGCATGTGTTGAATTATGAGTGCATCGTAACTTAAAAATTTTAAAGAAAAAAGACAGACTTCTATCAGCTTAAAAAAAAAAAAAAAAGGGAGGGGGCTGGGTAGGAGGGACATCGTGACAAATCAGTTTCAGTTTCAGTCCTGCAATTAACACTGTGGGAAAGCATTCACGGTGTATTTTGATAGGATACTCGCTAGATATTCCTAGATGATAGATACGCATATGTGTATGCAATGGAAATTTTCATTCTACCTTTGTCTGGTATCCTGTCATGAAAGTTCATCCATCTGATAGAATACTTCATATTCTATCAGCACTTACACATCAGCTCTGATTTTCACACTGGAAAGCTGCATTTGTTTTCAAGTCATTTAATGAATTGATCTGATAGACTGCACTGAATGTCTGCAAGTGATGGATTTCTCCAGCTGATCCGAACCTCTGTTCCACATGCGCTCTTTCCTTTGTTATTCTTGAGCTGCAGGGCTAGGGAGTAGCTAGTCATGTAGTATAGGGGAGTCGCAGTAAATGGTAATACAAAGAAATTATCGATAAATTTCCAAAGCATGTGGTATTTATTTCTATGTGTCAACTCGTTTGTTGTATGGCCAGTTGTAGCACATAGTTAAAAATACTTTAATTGAAATGTTTTAATTATTTAAAAGGAACTGGAAAGTATTCTGGATGGTACTGAATTACAAGCATTAAATAATGAAATAAAATAAAATAACTGAATTTGTTATGTCATCAGGTCCTTTTAAGAAAGCAGAGAAGGAAAGATTCAACTTATCTCTTGGCCAGCACTTTATATGTTTATTTTTAATAGGATATTATCACGGGGGAAAGTAAACAGTGAAAATTGTGAAAATGTGAGTCTGAAAAGTTTTTAGCCTGGGAAAGAGAGGGCAAAGCTAGCTTCTGAATACTGCAAATTATGTTAAATTTCCGAAGCTAAGCTTACTGAGCCTTTCTGCTTATTGGCAGCTCTGAGACTTTTAGCTTAGAGTTACTGCATCTGAAAAACATGAAGCAGAGTTTTTCCTGCCTGTTAAGTCAGGCAGCTGAAATGCACCTGAAATGGAACCTCTGCAAAACGGACACTTTCCTGATGTTAGGTAATGGGATGGCCTCTTGGCTCAATTTTTTGGCTTTACCACGGACTTCCTGTAATACCTTCTGCAAGGTGCTCATCTCTCTGCCTCACTTAAATGTTTTTATAATGAGAACAATACTTTCCAACTCATAATCTTCTGAGAGTCTGAACTAGTTGATGATGATTGACAATTCAGCTATTGCATTGGAAGCAGTACTTGAAAAGTCCAAATAAAATGCCTGAAAATGCCTCCCTTTTGCAATGCTGTGTTGTTTCTTGGCTTCTACTGTAGATAGCATGGTTACCTCAATGGAAGGTCTGGGTTCTGACAGCGTCTTCAGTTTGCATGAAGACAGCCACTATCGGATAAGCAAGAGCCTGCTCAAGCCAGCAGAAGGGAGCACAGTACCCCTGACGAGAGTGAAGTGTTTGGTCTCCATGACAACCCCACATGATATCAGGCTTCATGGATCATCAGTTACGCCAGCATTCATTGAGTTTGACACATCTCTTGAAGGGTTCGGGTAAGGTCCTGCAGTGCTCTCCAATAATATGGGGCACAATGCAATGTTTTCTTACTTCTTTCAGTGAAATACTTGTAATTTGTAATGGACTGTTTGCGAATCAGGAACAAATGAAGTATTTAAAGAAAAGAAAGGAATACTTCAAGCCACATAAGTTTCCACTCTGTCATTTATTAATGCCTCAAAACCAAATTTGTGCTTGCCATGTGTGAAAGTAGAAGTAGGTATGTTCTAAACATTGATAGTACCCTCTCAGTTCTGGATTTCACGTGCCTTTTAAAACAAAGGAATGCCAACATACCCTTGCAGAAACACACTAGTTCTCAAGATTTATGTGCGACATTTGGATGGCCCAAATGCTCTGAAACCCACTTAAAATTGCTGAAGAACTTGGAAATGCAGAAGTGGGCAAATCAGAAATACAAGTAAAGCAGAGAAGGCAGCTATGTTGAGTCCAAATAACTGGAAAAAAAATATTATTAACTGGAGGTGTAGCCTGAATATAATGCTTAACTAATTTTTTCTTTTAGCGTGCAGTATCGTCCTCACTTTCTGTTTTTCTCTCTCTAATTAAACACCTGCTGAGTGAGGTACTTCATGAGGATCATGTAATATGATTTAAGTTGACTGTTCAGAAGATGAAAACGTGATACCATTCTGAGCATCTGTTTAAGGAAGATGTTTTGTCATTTTGGTTATAAAAATAGAATTAAAACCCCATCAAAATGCTCATTTTGTTCTGTGCTAAGTGGTAAATATCTCAAAAATTGCTGTGAAAATTCAAACCAGTAGTATAAGAACAGGTATTCCTTAACTGCCTGCGGACTAATCCAAAGGTGGAGGCTTGCAAATAGGCCATTATCTCAGTGAGGGCAGTGTTGTGAGGTACATGCAAGTCAGACAATTGTGAATGGCACCTCAGGTGATAAGTAATTGTTCAGAATTTCCCAGAAGCTTGGTTAAAACCTTAAAAAGCTTGACTAGAATCTTTATTAAAAAGTTTTTAGGGACATGAACCACCAAAAATGACAACTACTGTGAAGACCAAAAGACTGTGACAAATTCTTGTAGGAGATGAGTAGCTCTTCAATGTTTTTTTTTCACTCTCTTTTAAAAGAAAGAGTTGGGAGAAGAGGTAGAAATGATTTGTTGTCTGCAGCTGTACTACAATTTCATAAAACTAGAAACAGTTCCACCTGACAGAATCATTAACCTTGCCTTTTTCTTTCCTGATACTTATACTACTGTATTTCTTAAGTCTCTTTCTGTTCTGAGGTGGCTTTCAACAGAACTGCTTGCATCTTAGTATACTTGTTACAGTTTATTTGGGATGACTGGTCTGAGAACAGAGTCCAGCCTGGGTATTTGGGAGCTCTGCCGTTTTGCATTCTCTTTTAAACTTTGTGAAGAAAGGATGAAGGACCCATTTTGCATTTAGCCTTCATACCCAGTATAGTCAGGGACAGACTTTTCTTTGAAAACAAATGGTGCTCAAAGCTCAGTTCTACGTCCTTCGTAATAGAAAATAAAATGTTTTGGACCTAAGAGCAACTTGAAAGAGGCTAGCAAAATAAATTGTCACTGTGGTTGCTCCAGAAGATTTGTGGATGCTGGTAACATGTCCAAAGGTAATCCACATAATGCAGCTGTGACTTGTAATTTCAGCAAGTCACCTAAGAAGGCTGCTATAATCGATAAAAAAAATCTGAAAACTTCTTGGTCTCTTTACAAGTGCCATGGCGTTTCATGAATTCAGCAGTTGGTGGACCCTTGCAAGTTACCTGCTTAGAGAGAGCATGCTTGTAACACCATTGACCATGGGGGATTCAGCCAGAGAAAAACATTTTCCAAGATGGAGGAAGAAGTATATAAGCAGAACTATAATCAAAAGGAAGATAGTAGTGACCAGAATCATGGACTGCTGTTGCTTCTAAGATGGGTGGTCGAGTTAACTCTTAATAGCTTATGTGAGAACAAAATAACTCCTAGCTCTGTCAGACAACTCAGCTACAGTATACTTAAACTAGCCTGCTCAAGTATAAATGTCAAGAAAATTATGATTCTTAAAACCTTTTAGTACATAAGAAGGTACCGCTTATATCAGTTTCCATTGTGTCCACAGCATCAGTGGCTCTTATAAGGACCAAACATAGCTAATTTGGTGAAATATAACATTACTGTGATTATAACATACTTAAAATAAGAACACGATAGTATGCAATCACCAGATCCTTTGAATGTTTAACTAACCCAGACTCTGAGAGTCCAGAACATCTCAAAGGCTGCAGTGAGTTATGGTTGCCCACAAGGGAGTATCTTATGCTGTGGAGCCATGTAGGCATAAGTCTCTGGACCTTTGCACCAAAGACATACACTGCCAAAGCTCTTTGCACTGGAGATAATTTAGCCTCACGAGGAGAAATCTTGAGGTTCCTACTTTTCATGAATACGTACAGTCAAGGAGAGTAATGGTGCGCTTATGTTACATTTTCTAGCTATATTTTGTTTGTATTCAGCTCCAGTTATATTGAATTTCATAAACTCTAGTGTGTTACTGGTCTTCTGTTTAACAGCTGCCTGTTCTTGCCAAGTTTGGCTCCCCATAATGCACCTACAAATAATGCTGTTACAACAGGACTTATTGATGGTGCAGTTGTCAGTGGAATTGGAACTGGTAAGTACTTGAGTATGACTGTTAGCAGTGTTTCGTATCTGATGTTTAGTTCTCTTATTTCTTTGTTAGCAGTGAAGTGATATGATGTTGGATGTTGTACGCTCGTAATTGAGAACTTCTTGTGTCTTTTTTTTGTGTGTGTGTTTCTGTTGCTTTTTGCCCCCAAGTCAATGAAAAGCAATATAAAATGCAAATGTGTGATTGTTTTAAAATACAAGGCTTTCAGCAGAAGATTAAATTGTAGTTGAGAAGTGTATGAATAATGAATCTGGATGCATTAAGAACAAGTTGAGGTAGTAGTGTGAAGAACATAGGAAATGTGGAGTGAATTGTAATGCTGTACTTGTGGCTTTGTTCTGCTGAACACTTGACTGAGTTTATTACAGGTGTAGTTACACGCATCATCACAAAAATCCTATCTAAATTGTTTGCTGTCCCCTATACTTGTTCACTGTAGGCTGCTCACCCTACAGGAACCTGGTGTGCTGCAGGGCTAATTGAACATGAGCACTTACTTAAAGAAACTGTTAAGTCTAAAAACTAAGTTTGAAAGTTAGTGCAGTAGGACGGTATTAGTGTTAGACAGTACTTGAAGTCTGTGAGCTCTTTGTTCTGTGGGAGCACCCTGGGAGATGAAATGGACTCAGGTGTGTGTGGTGGAGAGATCTTCAACAAAGGCTTCTTCTGCAAGTCACACCTATGGAAGAAGGATCTTATCATGATATTAGCATTTCCTGGGGGCCTGATCCATTTCCACTTTTTTTTTTTTTTTCCTAGGGAACTGGAACTGGGTTGTTCTGAACAAGCACAGCTTCAGAGTTGATTTTTGTTTTTGCAATAGGAGGGAATAGTGTTCAATTCTTGCTCTACTTTGTTTTGAATGAAACCTCTCTGAGCTAGCTTTATGTGACTTTTCCTCCAAGCTTGAGTCAGAAATGAAAGAAGTAACATTGAAATCCATGAAGGAAAAGTTTGAGAAAGTACAGCTGGTATCAACTGAGCTGATACAAAAAAAGGAACAGGAAGAAGTAGGTATCCTAAGTACTAGCTACTGCAGCTATATAATGGGCTTTCATTTTTGTTTTTAGGTGAAAGATTTTTCCCACCACCATCTGGTTTAAGCTACTCAACTTGGTTTTGTATTGAACATTTTAGTACGCCTCCTAATAACCATCCTGTGAGACTTCTTACTGTGGTGCGGCGTGCAAACTCCTCGGAGCAGCATTATGTATGCCTTGCCATTGTCCTCTCAGCAAAAGACCGATCACTGATTGTTTCAACTAAAGAAGAATTGCTTCAAAATTATGGTAAGAATTGTATCGTTTCATCAGCTAATTCTGACAATATTATGGGGGTGCAACAGCAAGTTTGTTTTGAACCTAGTATCTAGAAGAATTGTGTGTGATGGAACTTCACTTGCAGCTTCACCAGCTTCTTAGGGGTGTTGATAGTGGAATAACACAACATGAAAACATTCATGTAGAAATTAAGGAGCTTTTATAATTTCCAAAGAAGATTTGATATCTGCATATAAAGAAAAATTTTTGCCAAAACCTCAACTATTACAGATTTGAAGGAGAGATTACATTATTGGTTTTGGAAGGTTTTTGCCTTTTATTTATCTTGTATTGTTCATCTTAGTCATCATCTCTTGAGGTGCAAATGTTAACTATCTTTGCTTTGAAGAAATTTGGAAACAGTAAACTAACAGGTTGTGAAGGCTTCTTCAGTCTCAGTAGTCCCAATGCTGGAGGGCTATTTGAAGGCGATCAGTCATTCAGTTAATCTTTTAATGCTGTGATCAGTTTCCAGGAAGAGTTTGTAGCTTCATTCAGTATCCGTCATCAAAGGTAGAATTACAGGAGGTAGAGTGAAGATCTAAGTGAAGTTTGTAAGCCTAGCTAATTTGCTAGAGCACACTATCAGTATGGTCAGGGGCTTCAGGCTTAGTCATCTCCTGTCTTCTGCATTGTGCTTCACCAGAGCCTCCAAAAACGATCAGTTTTGACAAGCTATTTATGCACCGTGGCTGTGGAGGCTCTGAGAGGAGCAGGGCAGCGTTCTGCTCATGTCTCAGGCTTAGCTCTTTACCAGACCAACACAATGGGTTACAGGTGTTCCTGCTTCTGTTCTTTCCTTCTGAGTAGCAGGCAGTAATAAAGAATTTATACAACTGTTATTATTAAAAAAAACCCAAACCAAACAGCAAAGCAGACTGTTATGGAATATTCTTTATTTTCATAATAAGTGGACATACATGTCATTAAGTGCAGTAGTTTCTCTTAGTAGAAGTCAGGTTCAAAACCTAAACCTTGAGAGATGAAGACCCATAGTGTACGTTGGTTTATCCTTCACTGGAACTATAGAATCATATGTTTCTATCTTGTAAGCCTCTGTTATCTAACTGTTTAAAAGGGATTAGACTTGAAGAGACTCTGTCAGAGAAGATCTGAAGGTCTCTGACTACAAAGACTGTTTTTTAATAGAGTGGGGTACTTTGCTTTACTGGAATGCCACTCTGTCATGGCTAAGTCGTAGCTGGTGGTGTATCGTCTAGTGCTGAGCAGGTAAATACCTGAAGAACTGAGATAGCAGCCGGCCAGCGCAGTGACTGGAAGTGCTGACGGTCTGCTGTAAGAATAAATGGGGTGGTTTAAGGATCCTTCTTGTGAGCGAGAATTGTACTCAAAGGCTGAGAAAAAGAGCTTGAGATTATTTTTGTATCTGACAGTTAGTTCCAAGTACTCTGCTTTTATCATGTTCCTTCTGCTATTTCTAAAGAAATGAGTGTTCTCCCTGTTCAGGTGGCTGAGGTAAGAGGATTTAGTGGTTTCTGTTCCTTCAATATGAAGAGTGAAGAGAGATCTGAAAAGCTTCTGGTTATGTTGAAGCATTCACTGGTGGAGAATTTTGGAGCTTTGTCTTTTTTTTTTTTTTTCTTTTTTTTTTTGAAAGGGGGGCTGGGGGGCAGGTGGGGGCAGGCTTTTGGGTAGAGTGTGGGTCATTCTGCTTTGCTATGGAAAAGCTGATGCACCTGCAAACTGATCATGCCCCCTGGTATGAAGTCAAAGGATGCATTCTAGAGAAATTTTTAAATTTTGTGCTAAGAACTAAAGTGTATTTCAACATCCAGGAGAGGACAATTCTGCACTCATTAGGGAAAAAAGACCTGGGACATGCTTGAAGAGTATAGGTGGGTGAATTGGGGATGGGTGGTCAGCAGCTTGTGGTTAGCAGCCCCTGCAGAGAGGCTGGGAGTGGGTTCCTCTGTCCGTGTGTCTGGCAGGCAGGCAGGTGTCTGTCTCCAACTCCTCTCACTGTAGGTGCGAGGGTGGCCGGTGGAGCCGCCGATGTAGCTCACCTCACCCCACAGCAGCCAGGGCTCGCGTCGAGTCTGCGGCCTTACAACCCAGGCTCCACTGCTGATACAGTGAAGGGTAGGCAAGAGCAACTCGCTGCGGTTACAGTACTGAAATGGAATAGATGTCGTGAAGTCTTTGTTTTGACTTGGACAGAAATGTCTCAGCCCTGAGCTTAATTTTCCTTAGAACTGCAAAAGGAGAAGAAGAGAAGCAGCCACTGTGCTGAGGCCTGAGTTATACAAGCACCCGCAGCCTGTGCTTGCTGTGTGTCTTGCTAGCCAGATAATATTTGTGGTTTTGATTAAGGAAGAAAAGTCTCAGGCTTTCAACCTCATCTTTAACTTTACTTATGCTTTGTAATTTAGCATGATTCTGACACAGATGTTTTGAAAGGCAAACACTTCACTTGTATCTTTGGTGTGTGACCTAATTGTTTAAGCAAGATTGTGATGAGCTTTTACTGAGTGTCTGTGACCAGGTGCTGGATGGGAAAGAGGGGGCTTCTGTGGGAAGAGGCCAGGGCTGCCCCATGCCAGGCATGGCCAGTCTGGCCAGCTCCGCAGCTGCCGCCCTGCAGGACACAGCGAGGCCCAGCAGCCAGGCTGGTGGCTCCTCTGGGAAAACACATGTAAGAGGGCAAAACGCTGCATGGAGTAAGGAGCAAGGGAAAAAAAAAAAAAAAAACCAAAAACGTGAGAGAAAGCACCCTCAGTACACACAGGTGAGAGCAGAAGGAGGGGAAGGGGTGCCCCAGGCGCCGGAGCACAGGTCCCATGCAGCCCTTGGAGAAGATCACACCGGAGCAGGTAGTGGGGCCTGTGGAGGAGACCACAGTGGAGCAGGGGAAAAGTGTGAGGAGAAAGTCTGGGAAGTATGGGTGTCTTTCTCTCGACAGTGTGAGAAAAGTGAAAAATAGCTCTGTAGGTTTGGAGACATCTGTTATTTCTTGCTGACGACTGCTGTAAGAACCTTTTTAGAAAAACAACAAAAGATCTTTCAGTGACTTTCACGGTGGCATGAGAAAGTAAGTAAAAACTTGAGCAAACTAGTCATTCCAGCTGAAATTTCAAAGGGACGACAGAAGGGGAGAAGTAAAACATAATTATCAAAAGTCTAAAAGTATCCTGATAATTTTCCTGGAGAAGAATTAAGGCAAAGAAAGAAGAGACGTGTTGTTGAGACTACCAAACCTATACTAGTTTATTAATGAGCAAGTATTTAAGGATGTTCAGCCTGTCAAACTGTGACAACTTGTTCTGAATACTTTCTCAAAAAATCTGATTTCATTCTTTCACTTCTTGTATTTGAAGGTCTAAAGTCATTCTTGTTAATTTTATAACTTTATGCATATCTAGTTAGTTGTATTTTTGTTAACTATGTGCTTTCTAAAATTCTGGCTTTAATATTTTGCTGTAGATTGCTTTGCATAAGTCTAATGACACAGTCTGCTTTAAGTTTCTTAGAACATTTCTGCTGGTGTCCACTAACTGTTACTTTTCCTTTAGTCGATGACTTCAGTGAGGAATCATCATTTTATGAAATTCTTCCCTGTTGTGCCCGTTTCCGCTGTGGTGACCTCATTGTGGAAGGCCAGTGGCATCACCTAGTTCTGGTCATGAGTAAAGGCATGCTAAAGAACAGCACAGCTGCACTCTACCTTGATGGACAGCTTGTTAACACTGTTAAGGTAAAATAAATCTTTAAATCCTCATCATTACTGGTTGGAGTGATTTCTTTCTCTGCATGTATACATGCACAAAAACCCACACGATACAAACCAATGCACCCCTCCCCAGCCCTAAAAACAACAAAAAACCCACACCAAACAAAACAAACAAAAAAACCCACAAAATGCAGAGCCTTGCAGAAAGGGGTCTTTGCTCACTACACAGCTCCAAGCCAGCCCTGGTCCTGTTAAGAAGAGGAGATAATATTTTCTCAGGCATGAGCAGTAGTAATGCTAAAGTGAAGCGGACATGTTGCATTGAATGTGAGGCAAGTGTGGCACGGCTATGCTGCTGACTAGATTAATTAGAAGGATCATAAAAAGCTAAAGACGACTTATCTGAGGGCCACGTAGCAGGTCTAACTTTGAGAAGTAAGGAGTTTACAGAGTAAGGCAACTTTGCCTATTTATTCAGATTGTTCCTTTACCAACCCTCTTGCCACCCCAGAAATAGCCACCCCCTGTCAGTGATAGCCACTGAGATGTCCAGTGTTGTTGTTAGTTGGTTGTAGATGAAACACGTAGCTGTAAAGGTCAATATTTTGTTGTTAGATGGAAGAAACTGAGAGGCCAACAGCAGAGAGCTGTGAAGAGTGCTGTGGACTTGTCCACTGAGCAGAAAATACTCCTGACCTGTAACAGCTAACCAAAAAGCATTTGGCACCTCACAGATGTGGGCCTTAAGGGAGTAAGCTAAACTCGGTGTAAGGTGTAAATTAGCTAGTGTTACTGTAACACTGTTTTGACTTTCAAAGTTCACCTTTCAGTATTTCTTTTGCAGAAACAGGACTATAGTAACTTTACTTGTTATGCTAATAGCTGTAATACATGAGCGTATATCTGGCCATACATGACTATATTCAATAGCTGGTAACAGAGTTTTTACATGGTAGATAGAAAATGCCTGTGAGATTGTTTTTGTCATCATATATAGGCCAACATCTTACTCGTGTATTTGTTTTATCTGTCTGAAATTCTTAACAAATGAGTTCATCACATTTGCACTTTAGCTTGAGCAGTATAATTACCAAAGGCACGCATTCACTGGCTGAAAAAGAGGAGAAAAGAACACAAGTTTATGAGATCATCTACTGCTTTTGCAAAAAATAATGTCCGTCGTAGAGCACCTTGTTTTTAGAATCAAGATACAGCCTCATTCTTTAGTAGTTTTAAGCACAGAACTTGCATGTTCTCATCCTGTATTTCCATACAGACCTTCATCTTTTGAAAGCCCCTTAACTTCTGATCTTTTGATTTATCTTCTGGATAATGTTATTCACTGACTTTCGCTGTATGGTATCAGAATACCATGTGCTACATAGCAGTCATTCAGTGTGTCCCCTGGTTTGTAAAATGCTTTCCTGAATTTTTGATCTGCCTACTTTCTTTTCACAGTACCCATGCTCGCTCAGTAACTTCACCATGTTTTTCTCCCTTACAGCTTCACTATATTCATAGTAGTCCTAGTGGGTCTGGTTCTGCCAATCCACCTGTAGTCAGCACTGTTTATGCCTATATTGGCACACCACCAGCACAGCGCCAGCTCTCCTCTTTAGTGTGGCGTTTGGGCCCTACGCATTTCCTGGAGGAAGTTTTGCCTGCCCTGGGTATTAGCACCATTTATGAGCTGGGACCAAATTACGTTGGAAGCTTTCAAGCAGTATATGTACCATGTAAGTACAATTCAAATAGCAGCTAGTAACTTGGCCGGGGTGTAGTAGAATCTTTTGTGTGCATATTGGCAGAAGAGGGAAGAAATGAGAGTATGCGGTAGCGGAGAGGAAAAAGTAGCTATTCAAGAGCAGCTACTGATCATCTTCCTATGAAGAGGATGATAGAAATCCAAATTAATGTTTTAACATACTTGTGGTAGTTCTTGTACTGAGATATGATAGAAGTGCTTGTATTCCTCACTTTGACTTTAAATGAGTTAGAAATGCCTAAGGCTGTCATTATTCATACTGTATATTATATTTATCTGTAGAAAGTGAAATTGGACAGACATTTTAACTTGTCAACTTACAGTGATAGCATTCATTTGCAAATCTGCAATGTATTCTGTACTTTAAACAGCTGTATTGAAATGTCATTGTTTATATGGCCTAAATGGGTCAACTGAGAAAAAAATGAAACAGAGCGCGTGTATGGTGCAGCAGATAGTCTTTAAGCATTCATTGTGAACAAATATGGGCAATTCTTTTACATTTTTAAAGGGTTCTTGTTTGAAATTCAGGAGAGTGCAACACAAAAAGATGTGAATAACCTTGTTAAGAATGTGTGTCCATAGCCCTGTTTTTAAATATTCAGACAATGGATTCTTCATTAACTCTGGTAAGATGTGAGGTTTTCCTGTTCTATAGAGATTCCTGTCTTCCTGTTCAGTTAGAGTACCACCTCACTGACTCAGTATTACATCACAAGATGCTCTTCGTTCTACCTGGCCATCACAGGGCTTTTCAGTGAAACATAAATAAAAATGGAGAATGTATCAAGTCACCTTGTCCTTCCATTTTCTTTCCCCATGAGAACCATAATGCTCTTCAACTCTTCTGGAGAGAGACTGTCACCATCTCAAGGAAGGAGGCAGTGAGTGATGAGAGTGGTAGGAAAACAAAAGTATGTACGAGGAGTGCACAATCTTACTTTTCATCGTGAAAGGTTTCCCTAGAGTGGTGGCAGACCTCCCCAGCACCCAAATGTAGATGATGATCAGGCTGTGAAAGAAGGAAGTATGAAAAAGAAGGTAGCTTTCCTTGCCCATCTTAAGTGAAAAACTTCAGGGAATTTAATTTTGTCAGGTACAGATCTATGTCATGTACTTGCTTTTTTGACAGCTAGACAAACCTGGCAAGCAACCCAGGATTTAAGTATCTGCTAGTCAATTATAATTTCTACTGAAAAGCATTTTGAGTGGTGACGTGCAAGTTTTAAGTACTGAATTAGCCAAAGCAAAATCTGTGAATGTGAATTTGTTCATTGGCTTCAGACAAATAAAGATCTTCATGCTGTTATGCTAAGGCCATGTTCACCAGGAACTCCACAGTAACTTAAAAAAATTCTTAGTTTCTTTACCTACTGACTTTTTCCAGTGTGGTAGTGTATTTTTCCCGCACAGGCTTTACTCAGTTCGTTGTATTTCAGGAACAGTCTGCTCCAGAACAAGGTGCATATTTTCTATTTGGGGCTAAGCTTCTGTTCATGTCATGTGCACTGAGCCAAACCCTAAGGAATTTAATAGGGAATTCAGTATGAGCTCTGTATCTTACCATTTTATCTTGGCCCCTCTTTCCAAAATGCTTAGTTTTCCTTAGTGTAATGATTATTTGTGGGAATCCTGGAGAAGGGAAGAGCCCTTGCAGGCTTCCACTGTTATCTTTTACAGGGGAATTGTATCTGACTTGCTATTTGCCCATGAAATGCTTCTTTCAGATGTTTTGTCCCTGGTTTTGGTGACCAAGGTTGCCATCTTCTGAGAATTTGTCATGTGTTTGAACAAAATGGGAAACCTAATACTCTTTAAGTCTTGGAAAGACCCCTCAGAGAGCAGTTACTAGCTCAGGAGAAGGAATTCCTTTGTCTGTTTGCTGAAATGGAGGAATGTTCTTGGGGCATCTGTGTGAGCAGAGAATCCAATGAGGATTTCATTTATGGGGAAAGTAGGACTTCTGAAACTCTTTAAGTGAGGCCTGACAGAGACTAGACCCTGCTTCAACAAATTACGTAGACACCCAGCTTCTCACTTGTTTCAGTGTTAGGTGAGGAGTCTTCATGATTTTTCAGTTCCATTAATGTGTTTCACTGGAGTTGCAGACACCTTTTGACCTGAAATGAAGATGCAGAAGTGAATCTCTGTGTTGAGCATTACACACTACTTCTGAGTGTTGTAGACACCTGTCAATCATAGTGTTTTCAGTGCCTCACATGAAGCATCCATTTTTGGAGCAGTGGATACAAAATATTAAAGACAATGTTTTATATTCTCTTTGATGCCTGGGCTTTTTGGTCTTGATTCAGTCTTGCATCTCTTGTACCATGCTTTAAGGTGGTTTTCCTAGCAAGCCATTGCAAAAAGCCTGTTGTCATAGGCAAAGATACAAGGGTACCAGATACTTCTCTGTTTTTTTGATTACTTTGTTTTTCTTCAGGTGGGAAGTGAACAGCCCTTAGGCTGTATGCAAATTGAGTACAGGTGTAATGTTGCCTTCCAAAAATTCAGATGAGGAAGCACCACATCTTCCATTGCTTGGCCAAGCCAAAGGCTGCCAGTTGCCATCACAGGTTCATCTTGTAGACCTTCTTGAAAGGAAATGTTTTCTGTGTGGTGCCCTTTTATCTTAAATAGCAGATTTATTGCATGACTTATATGCTATCAAGCTACTCTTTGGTACAACAAGCAAGTATGCAAAGAATGTAACACATCTCAGCTATTCGTAAAACCTTTCTTCTGTATCTATTCTGCAATATAATTTGCTTAAGATTTTACTCTTGAAATTGGAAAGAAAAACAGTGCTGTTACTGAAATGAACTTTTATTTTGTCTTTAAGGCAAAGATTCAAAGTCTGAAGGAATCAACCCATCTCCAGTATCTTTGGTACCAGAAGAGAAGGTCTCTTTTGGTCTCTATGCACTGTCAGTTTCTTCATTTACAGTGGCAAAAATAAGGAAAGTTTACAACAAGTTGGATAGTAAAGCTATTGCCAAACAGGTATGTTGGGAAATGAGTTGGTTAATGTGTACTACTTGTTTGTTCCTGTCTTAAGTTATTTCAAGACAATTTGCTCAATGCAACCAGGAACAATAATGTCGGAAGAGTTGCCCATAATCACTTTCATGTTTTAAAAAAAAAAAATAATTAAAAAGCTGAGGGAGATTGTACTCGTTGATTTTATTCATATTCTTGAAATTACTAGTAGCTGTGTATCTTAGCACCCTTTGGAGATATTTTGACTTTTTAATGTAGATGGCAGTTTTAATCCTGTTGAAAACCAGTTAAGATTATATCATTGAACAGTATTTTTACTGTTGCACATGAACAAATCTGATAGCTTAGTCCTCTGAGTGTGATTTACATTTGCAAACCTGAACATTGGTTTACATTTTTCTTCAAAGTACATTAAAAGTCAGTAAATTACTTGTTCAAAGGACCATCTATGAAGAAAGGCTGAGAGAGTTGGGATTGTTCAGTCAGAAAAAGAGAAGGCTCTGAGGAGGCCTTATTGCAGCCCTTCAATACACACAGGGGGCTTTTAAGAGCAACTGAGGGAGACTTTTTACCAGGGCATGTAGTGACAGGACAAGGAGCAGCGGTTTTAAACTGAAAGAGGGTGGATTTAGAGTGAGCGTAAGGTTGAAACATTTTACAGTGAGGTTGCTGAGACACTGGAAGAGAGGTTTCCTAGAGAAACTGTGAATGCCACCTTCCTGCAAGTGTTTGAGGCCAGGTTGGACAGGGCTCTGAGCAACCTTATTCAGTGAAAGGTGTCCCTGACCATAAGAAGGGGATTGGACTAGATGATCTTTAAAGGTCCCTTTCAACCCACACCATTCTACGATCCAGTGGGATTATTTTTAAAGTCCTTAAACTTTAGAGACTGGAGATTGATTTTATTTTTTTTTTTTTCTTTAGTTTAGAGAATGTCTTAATGACTCTAGCATAGTTCTGTTTTTTTATGTTATTCACTCTTTATCACAGGAGGAAAATACACAAGATATGTTCAGGCTAGCATAAAAAAACCTCTTCCCTTTAGCCTCTGCTTTTTTTCTTGTTTTGTTCAGCTGGCGATTTCTTCTCATGAAAATGCCACACCTGTGAAGCTGCTACATAATTCAGCAGGACATTTGAATGGACCAGCCCGCTCCATTGGTGCAGCTTTGATAGGATATTTGGGTGAGTTGAGCACTTGGAAATTACTATGTTTAAAAATTGTTGATTGCTTGTCAATAAGAACTTAGGTCTAGAAAATAAATCTTGTAATTAGTGAATATTAATGGTACATTGTTAACTTTAATTAACATTTTTGTATTTTATGAACATATTGGTTTTTTTACTAACATGAGATTCTTGTTTCAGTTTATATGAGTTATCATTATGAAAATATACTTAATTATGTTAGGTCATAAACTATTTCCCAGTGCAGTATTTCCTTCACCTCTTCTTCTGAGATGTCATAGTTCTTCTAGTGCTATTCTTTTCATAGTTCAAGCAACACTAGAATGCAAATTTCTCTCGTGTATTCACAATGATTTCCTGCAAGAATTAGATCTGATTTTATTTTGTTTTCTCTGTCTATGCTCAGGTGTAAGAACATTTGTCCCCAAGCCTGTTGCCACTACACTGCAGTACATTGGTGGAGCTGCTGCTATTTTGGGACTTGTAGCCATGGCATCAGATGTAGAAGGGTTGTATGCAGCTGTGAAGGCCTTGGTCTGTGTGGTAAAGAGCAATCCACTAGCCAGCAAAGAAATGGAAAGAATCAGAGGTTATCAGGTATGTAAGACATGTCTTAAAACAGAGCAGGCTGATTGAATTTCACTGTCTGTCCTAGCAGTTCCTGTGGAAATCCTTGTTGCGTTGTGGTAACCTGAGTTTCTGCTTTTAAGTTTACTGAGCTCTTGACTAGTTAGCGTAGATGAGTTATTTAGGATGGCTTTTAAAAGAGAGGATGGAAAGTTTTGCTAAGCAGTTGTGCACATTTAGCTGCTTTTATGAAACTGAGCCTTCATTAGTAGCACAACTGTGGCACCTAGATGATTCTTCTTCTGTGATTGTGAACCCATCCCTGCAAGCCTAGGAGATTCTGTCTCCATGATCTGACAGCAAGAGAGGAAGATAGAGACACATGAAGAAAACTAAACTAGTGGGCTCCTAGAATCATCATTCTGAGAAGACTGCACAGACTTTATAGTTAGTGATGCTGTTTGCTTTCAAGCTGAAGACTTCTTAATTCTCTGTTGTATGAGGAAAGCGTAATCAGTTATGCAGAAGGATTGGTTGACTAACTTGAAAAGATCTTCACATGACCAATGCATTTTACATTTCTCATGAAGACTTCTTCATGAAGTCAACTTCATCTAGTCAATCCATTTCTTTCAAGTCAATGAAATAGAAGGTCCATGCTGTGATTTGGGCAGCATATTTACAAACCTTGTAATGCTAATGGCTAGTATAATTGTGTCAGAATATATTATTTCATGTAGCCTGTTGCAGACCTTGGCTTACTTGCACCATAAGCAGTCAGTGGATCATCACATACGAACTTACATTCCGCTTAGAATGACCTCAGCAAATAGCACAGTTTGAGAGAGATTGCCATAAATCTATATTTCTTTAGTAATGTTTCAAGGAGGATGGTGAAGCTGAACAGACCAGTATGTTAAGGGTTTAACAAGTCTGTATCAGAAGACAAGAAACAGTAATAGTACATCTTGCAATCTGTTCTTTCCCAACCCACATGATAAGAAGCTAGAGCAGAAATGAGGACTGAAAGGACGACATCTACAGTCATACATAGGGCATCAAAGGGTAGCAAGAAAAAAGAAAGTCAAGCTTATTCAGATTTTTGTTGTCATGACTACTTTTCTCCAGTGCCAGAATACCTCTCATCTGTGCATGCAGTAATTTAGGTGCGCTCTGTTTAAGCCTGCCACGTCCACAGTTGTTGTCCAGAAACACAATTATCTGAGAATGTATCATGTGCTGTTTTAAACAGTGACTAGCTACCAGAGAGCTGAGGGGGGGTTGTGTGTGTGCCTGCCTAATCCTCTAGGCCCAGATCATGTCTTCAGTGTAGAACAGATGTTTCATGAGCTATAGAATGTCCTGCATGTGCCCCTTTTCTAATCAACCATAATGCCACTTTCAAGCTTTTTCAAGAGTATCAGCTATGAGACATACTTTAAGGGCCTTTTCAAAAGGGACACAGTCATTTCATCCATGCTTCTTTGTGCTTAAGCAATGTTGCTGTGTGTTCATAGGCTACTAATTCCTTTTCTGTTTACTTTTTCAAGTTGCTGGCAATGTTGTTAAAGAAGAAACGATCCCTTCTGAACAGCCACATACTCCATCTGACCTTTTCCTTGGTGGGAACTGTCGATAGCGGGCATGAGACGTCCATTATTCCAAATTCTGCTGCCTTCCAGGATTTGCTCTGTGATTTTGAAGTATGTAAAGATGCACAGAAAAGTGAATGATGACACAGGGTAGCAATTAAGTCAGATGCCGATAGCATGCCTTAAATATTGAACAACAGCAAACTAGATTGTTATCCTGAGAACTTAGTATTTTATATATCTGTTGTACAGTAAAGAAGCTGAGCAGCAAGATTATTGGTAACTTCTCCTGCTGAAATGGTTTGAATTGCTGTAGAAACAATGAATGGGTACCACAGATGTTTCTGCTTTTTGTTGTCCTAGAAGATATGTTTTGTAGTGTTCTGTTCAGCAACTTCTTTTAACTTGTGTGCCTTACCACAGTACATATGTTGAGGCATGAAAGACATTGAAAATAACAGTAGGAGGTAAACTTGCAACATAGCACATAGCAATCACTTTATCATGTGTCTTCTGCTAAGTTAATAGTAAGGCTGTTAAAATTCTGGTTAAACGACCTGTGAAAGATTGAAGTGTTGTGTCAAACTAAGAAAAGTAGAAAAGTTCAGAAGGAAATGCTAATGTAATAGAGGCTGATAAATGATGCATAGAACTCATTGTTTAGTGTTTTCTCCTTTGACGTTATCTGTACCTGACACAGACTGAGTAGCAGTATTCTGATTCACACATACTAAAATAAATAAATAAAAATAATACTACTACTAATCCAGCTGTAAGATACTGATTTAATAGCACTAATCTTGCACAAATGGCTGTCCGGAGTTATCCATTTCCTTTTTTTAGATGTCTATTTGAGTATTTTAAAGCACTCCTGGAAACTTTATGTAAGGGTCTTGTCTATGAAAAAATTCCTGCTGCTTACTATAGCCTTTATTTTAATAAGAAGGCCAGTTGATTTTAACTTTGTTTTTTCGAGAGCTGAAAGGTCTTTAACGCACCCCACTCCCCCCATGCCAGCATCAGCAATATGCTATAATTATGGCACAAAGAAAAAGGAAGTGAAAAGGGCAGACCTGAACCTCTGGGTTTGGGTTTTTTTAAATTTTTTTTTTATTTTAACCTTAGTGGGGCTCTTATAGAGAAGAAATTTGTCACCCACCCGTTTCCACTTTTTTTATTTTTTGAGGCATAACGTTAAAACTAGAAATAAGTTTATGCCGTGTCTAAACATAAATTCTTTAGTATCATGTAACTAGTTATTCTTTAACAAAACTTTTAAATTACAGTAATGCTTCCTTTGCTCACAAAATTAAACATAGATTTAATAAAAGTTATAACATCTAAAGAAGGTAATATGTGTCATAGAGGTCTTAAGGTAGATGAACTGTTTAGCAGAGAGAAGAGTGTGAATTGCAGCCCATTTCCTTTTACAGTGGGGCATGAATTCTGCTGAAGAGAATACTCTTATCTCTCTTTTTTTTTTTTTTTTTTTCCCCCAAATGAGAAATTTCATAGATGGTATATAGACACTCAGGCAGCAACTACCGTACAAACGATCCAATTACATATTGTTTAGTTCATGTCTCTTTTTTTTCCCTTAAGAAACTAAAAAAAAAAAAAAAAAATGTGCAAGTAATAAGTCTGTAAGTCACTAAAAAGAAACTTATCAAAAATCTTAGGTTTTGGCTTTTTTTTTTTTTTCCCCCATTATTTATTTTATTTCTGTATTCAGAAATCAGTGACCCAAACATTTCACTTACATAGGATAAATTGGATATTCTTACTCTTATGCTAAACAGGGAAATTAAAAGATTTGTTCTGATCATTTTAGATTAGAAGATCAGAAGAGAAGCAGAAGCTAAAAAGCTTTTTGTTTAACCTAGATTTATACACCAGAGCACAAGTATTAATTATGCTTTGTTCAATAGCAAGTGAATTTCAAGACTTACAGCAATAACTGAGGTTTTTGGCTTTTATATCTTTTATTACTTCCATTGATTGAACAATCACTTAAAATGGTGTGCAGGAAATGATGGGTAAAAATAAAAAAATCAAAATTAGGGAAGACCTTGAGTTTAATCTTGGCAGAAGATAGTAAGTTAATTTTACAAAGAGAAAAATCTTCACTTAAGCCAAATAAACTTAACATGGCATTTCACATCTGCCTTGTAAACCCCAATGACTCTTTGGGAGTCATCTCATCATCTGTTGAAAGATAAATTCCAGATAGTGTGCAACTTCTTTGTCTAAAACTCTTTAAAAGTTTTCTGCATGATACACTTACAGGGAATGTTTGGTGCCAATGTGTGTTTCTTCAGTCTTTGCTAGTATTTTTAATACTTATCTGAAGTTGAAGAATAAACAGCTGAGAACCTTGCAATGAGCTTTTGAGCACAATGGCCAGGTAAATACTCATGTAGGTGAACAGTTTTAGTATCTTCAAGCCTCACATAACTTTTGGTATGTTAATGTCAGTTTTTAATCTTAAAGTGGATTTGTGTCCAAAAATATAACATTGTTTATCCTCTATTTCAGGTCTGGCTTCATGCACCCTATGAGCTTCATCTGTCATTATTTGAGCACTTCATCGAACTTCTTACTGAGTCAAGGTGTGAGCCATTGCCAGCCTAGTAATGAGACTTACAGGATTAGATAATATGTAGAGGATGCTCCAATACTAAATTGCCACCTCCTTTCTTTCCTTCTTCCAGCGAAGCAGCGAAGAATGCTAAATTAATGAGGGAATTCCAACTTATCCCAAGACTGCTCTTGACTCTTCGAGATATGTCTCTGTCCCAGCCTACTATTGCTGCGATTAGTAACGTGCTGAGCTTTTTGCTTCAAGGCTTCCCTAGCAGCTATGACTTGCTCAGGTAGCCCATACCTGTGATAATTCCTTTTTTCTTGTTTTTATTATGTTGGTGATCTTGATCAAAAATACTTAATGGTCATACTGTAGAGTAAGTAACAGGAAATGTTCATGTACTGAATTTTTTCCTCTTAAGAGCTAGTCTGAACTAGGCATAAGCAGTAATTTTTTTAATGCCTTGATTTGCATATTAAATTCAGATTGTATCTAAACAGGTGTGACTGATTGTAAATGATTAAACTGGCTTAATGTTCTGCTGGCGAAAAGCAAAGATGCTGTATTGCAGCTCCCTTGTTCATCTGAATCACTGAGCACTTTTCTTAAATACCATTGAGTATTACTTGAGATGGAGTATAACGATACTTCTGGTTAAAATGCAGCTTTGATTACTCTCCTGCATGAAAGATTTAGTTCAGGATTTTTTTCTTAATCATCACTGTGTAAAAAATTATTTAAGGCTGACAGATATAGTACTATTAATTCTGACTGATGGAAGTTACAGAAATAATTGCAATTCATACGTACAAGAGTATTTGAAATGCTTTCAAGTGAGTTCAACTCCTTGATAACTTAATTTTGCTCATCTCCGATTTCATTCTAATGACAATGGATAAAATATTGCAGGGCTTGGGAGTTCTTTGCATACGAGTGGTCATATTTTCAGCTTCTCACTTGAGGTACAACTAAAGGGATCAGAAGCATCAACCAGAACGCCTTACCAGTCTTTGTTTTAATTATAAAGGACAAAAAAATGATTCAAGAATAAAGCCATGGATTTTATGGCTAAGTGGTTACAGAACAGGTTGCAGAATACTTATCAGAGTGTTCCTTGTTCTATCTTCCTGGAAATGAAAAAGAAAAACACTGTATAATTTGGGAAAGTTATACTAGCTAGGGACTATCTCAGGTTAGTTCCAGAGCGAAGAGGAATACACTACATCTCCTTTCTTTGAGTAGCACATTATCGTCTTGGAAAACCATGACCTTCTGTTATATCACCTCAAGCTATAGGCGTAAATGTTATACCAGAGTCAAGTAATCACTGGTTTTGACATAGAATTGTTCAGCTGTAATGATTTGCGAATAATGTTTTGTTCTTTCTTTACCTTGTGGTGTTCCTTTTAATAGGATTTGGCCGTATCATCCAGTTTCCTTTCTTGAACCGTAGCATTTTCAGGGTCCTTTACTTGCAGGCTTGTCTGCAAAGATTCCTTTAATTACTACATGTTAATTTGGGTTTTGGCTAGTAGCTCAAGATGGAGACCATTTTCCTCAATCTTCAGATATGAGAAAGTTGTCTTTTTTAGGTATCTCCCTCTCACTAATGCTGCGGTTTTATATTTAAGGTGAATTATTGATAGGTGAGAGTTCATGTGTCATATCAATGAATGATATTTTTTTCTGTATACATCAAGGTTTGGACAGTTCATCTCTTCCACTTTACCTACGTTTGCAGTTTGTGAGAAGTTTGTGGTCATGGAAATAAACAATGAAGAAAAGCTTGACAGTGGTAAGTGATGGCATGGCTTAGAAGCAGCAGATGAGAAACACTTTGTGATCTCTTCTGTGCTTAAATATGTAAAATGTAGAAATAGTGTCATTAGCAATATTGTAATTTTGTTATAGCCTGGTTGCCCATTAGTTGTGGTACTTTAGTTTTCGATATTGTGTGCAAAGCAGTGCAAAACCCATGTACTCTTGTTTTCTTTCATTTAACAGTGTATGGTTTTGTTCTGTGTCCTCCACTTGCTCCTTCAAATCAGTTATGCACCTCTGCTTTTTTTGTGGGGAAAGAAGAAAAAGACAAAAACAGATTATTAGGTGTATCTGCCCTCCAGGTGTGGAGGAAGTGAAAGAATTAGCTAAGACAGCCTAGTTATTTTGTTAGGTAAAAAAAAAAAAAGTTTTGCTGTCCTTCAAGAATGCTTATATTGAATTGTTTTGAGACCATTTCTACCCCTGTTTTCCTAAAGAAAAAAGCCTTATGCAGTCGTGGTTTTGATCAGTCTCCCCGAAAGAAATGTTTTAGCCCCACAATGGATGTCACACAAATAACTAGAAGGGAGTCCCCAAAGATCCTGTGTTCCTCCATCTCTTGGGAATATAGTGGTGCACAGGGACAAGTGAGAGAGAAGTGTTTTTACTTTGCAGTTAGCTTCATTGGTCTGTTTTCCCAAAGAAGGTGGTTTAGGCAGTCTGCACATTCATCACTTTCTTCTGAATACTTTTGCTTATTGTGGTCTCAAAGATTATTAAATTTGAGCTTTTTAGTGAAAAAGAGGGAGTGAGTATTGGAGAGAGATCCAGATTGATGTTCTCACTAGAGGCCAGCAGTGGTTTTTTCCCAGGCTAACCACAGCCTGAGCTGCCTTTTGCCTACCTGGAGGACTGAAGAACCTTGGGGAGAAATTTAGGCTGTGGCAGGAATGGAGAGAGAAGCTTTTGAGGCAAAGGACATGAGATTTTTATATTACTGATCTTCACCAGTTCTGCCATATTTCTGACATAGAAGATGCTTTGTGTTTGTGTCTGTGACTTGTGCACAAAACTTTGGCCCAGAAAGTGTCCATTTCTCTGTCTTCATTTTTGCACGTCTCCTCAAGTTGTGATTTTCTGTTTTTTTTTTTAAATAATGTAAAAACATGGTCCTCCTTTGACAGCATAAGGTACAGTAAGAGGGATTTGCAGAACTGCAAAGCTAATCCTGATCTGCATGTATTGGTTTGTTTTGCAGCGTGTGTTTTTCAGCTGATGATGAGTTTGGGGATCTGTCAAAAGGAAAGGAAACTAATTTTTTTAGATTTGGAGGGAGTTGGGACATAATAGGGTTTTTTACCTTGAGATCCCACTCTCCCCCCTCCTGATTGCCTAATGAAACATGTTTGTCTAACTATGATGTTGTGGGATTTTGGCAGGGGGACAATGTTTGATTGTTTTTATGTCTCTACCTGCCAGGAGTGACCAGTTTAGCTAATCTGGACCATCTCAATTTAGAATTATTGTCTGAGAAACTGCAATTCCCTTTTGCCCATTTTCAAACTGACCAAACTGTGTGATGATGATAATGGGGCAGCAAGCATTTCTCAGCAGCATATAGCAGGCTGCCTGCACTTTAGAATTGCTTCCTCACAGCCTGAGTGGGATCGGGTTGCATGTGTTTATGAATAGCCTTCAAAATGTCGGAGTTCCAAAAGCCTAATTTTGCCCCCCTCCTTTTTTTTTTCTTATATGTGTATATATATATTTAGGAACAGAGGATGATTTTGGAGGACTTGTTTCAGCTAATCTTATCCTACTGCGGAACAGGCTTTTAGATATTCTTCTGAAACTTCTTTATACATCTAAAGAAAAGACAACTGTTAATTTGCAGTAAGTACAAATTGGGATAGAGAAAGGATATATTTTTTTATTTCAAGGGGAAGAATTATACAGTCCCCATTCAATTCACTAGTAGAATTGCATAATTTTATAGGAACTATTGAATGATTTATGCAGATGTCACTGAGTTAGTTTTGGGTATGCTAGCAGAAATGGAATGCACGATTATTAAGTTGTATGCTGTCAGTTATGGTAGCAAGAATGATAGTACTAAGCAGATGCTAGTGTAACACGTATCTTTCGACTATCACATTAACTGGGCTTTGTTTCAAATTATTTAAAATAAAAGTTTAAGACTGTGATGCTTCAAGTTAGAAATGACAGAAGTAAATATCATCAGGAGAGAAAAATATGTGGTAGATTTGGGAGGAGGTTGCTTGCTGCTCATTGTTACTTCATGGAAGAAAAATAGCATTTGTAAAATTGTTGATTTGAAAACTTTGAGGGACAGAGGGTCACAAGTGAGTAGGATGCAGTGGGAGAAAGTGTGAATGTCTGGCTACTTTGATTTTTTTAAGTTTTGTTGGCTGGAGAGCCAGTTCTTTAACCCTCTATGCTCATTGTGTACTTCTTGGTGCTGTTTCCTCATAGCTTCATGGGTGGCTATAGAGAAAATAAAATCTGTTGAAAGAGAAAACTTGTGTTTCTAGAGAAGTGGGGTAGTCAGCTTCACATTTGATTAAGATCAAATGACTTCAGTGGGGGTTATTGTTAGGATCATTGACCCTAGAATGCCCCTTAGTTTCTTAAGATTGCATGTGAGGGAGCATGATAGTATAGTTTAATGAGGCACTAGAGTCATATGGTGAGTTGGAGATGAGAATTTGAAATGCTGTCAAGTTAGACCTTGACAAAATACAACTTTCAGGCAACTGCCCAATAGGCCGTATTGGGTCTGTTGGAGGCATTTTGTGAATGTATGGCATATGCAGATTATGCAGTGACTGACTGAGCGTTGGTTGACATAAAACCCAAACCTGTTTGAGCTTTACAGTAATACTGCTTTAAAAGAGAAACAACCGTATTCTTTCAGATATTCCCAAACAACTCTTTCCTTAATAAAAAAAAAAAAAAGCCTTCATTTTTTAAATACCAGTTTATCAAAAAGGCTTATGAAAACTCTCTACCTATGTATGGCTCAACAAAAAGTATTTGGAAATTATAATTTGTGGGCAAACATTTCCAATTCAGCATTTCACATTTGTTATGAAAAGCAGCAACTGGAGAAATCTCATGCAGTGGAATAGTCCTAGGAGCTGTATTTAGTCTTCCCTTTCTGCTAAACAAATACACTCTATGTGTTCCATTTAACAAGATTTGTTGAGCAACATTTCTTGTTTTGCAGCAAAGAATTCAGTTACCTTTTCCATAGATCTGAATTTTCTCTGATCTTGAAGTTTACCCTACAGTGGAGGACACTGATTCTTGGTATCTAGTAGGAAACTAAATGGTGTAAAATGTGACTTTTTTTTTTTTGTCTTTAATTAGAGCTTGTGAAGAACTGGTCAAGACACTGGGTTTTGACTGGATTATGATGTTTATGGAAGAACATCTGCATTCCACCACGGTCACAGCAGCCATGCGAATTCTTGTGGTCCTGTTGAGTAATCAGTCCATCCTTATCAAATTTAAGGAGGGTCTCAGTGGCGGAGGCTGGCTGGACCAGACGGATTCTGTCTTGACCAATAAGATTGGTACTGTGCTAGGTATGGCATCCCAGCCCCCTCATGCCTGAAGGTTTGCATGGAAGCACGTGTACATATGTGTTGAGGTGGGGGTTGTATGGATACTGTCTGACAGATGCATCCTTTCTGTTACTACTGTCCGTGTTGCAGTCAGATGCCTCTGCACTTCATTTTCCTTACAACTTTTCCCAGGCAAAAGGGAGTGGTTTTACAAAACTGACCTTCAGCTGATATTACACAGATTTCATTGTAGTTCAGCATTACCTCATCATCTGCATGATGCCTGGGTAGCTGATTGTTTTTTCTGTTACCATCATGGTAAGGCTAAATATGTCTTGTGGGCAGGCACATCTGAACTAGATGTAAAGGTAGCATAGCGTAGCACCTTACGTACACAGCTAATAAAGATTCAGTAAAATTTACTTGTTTACTTTTATTAGAGCATCATGTGGTGTTACACCTGAGCTGCTTTGTCTAGTGAGTTTGTGCCAATTAAATTTACAGTTGGATTTTTGCTATCTTGGGAATTTCTTTGTTCACAGTATCATCTCAGCCTTTCTTTTCCTCTCCGTCTCCTGCGTTCTCCACATATGCATGCTTGTGCGCTCTCTCTGATTAAAGACTTCCTTTGCAGGATCTTAAAGCCTCATTTATTCAGGTTATCAGACATTTCCATTACCCTCTGTGATCTAGAATTCAGTGTATAAGTCTTTAGTGCTACAGGACCCATGTTGAGCACCTCTAAGCTGTCTGAAATAACAGATGTTAAATCCATGTAGACAGGTGTAGTGGTGATTTCCCATGGACTTGGTTTTTTTTAGTCAAAGTAAGATCGTGCTTTTCAGATGGATGTCCATTTAGACCCCGACACAAACCCATTAACATTAATTGGGAGCCTTTCATGAGCTTGAGTAGGTTTTAGATCAGGGCAGTGGTATTAACAGTACTTCCAACTTAATTGTTGTTCCTAAAATGACTGTACAAGGAGCCACCTCTCTGTGTTGCAGCAGTTTATGATATGTTTGCTAAAGATGTTTCCAAATTGGTATATTATAAGGGAATAATTTTGAAGTGTTGTTGAAGCGATCTCACTTCAGGAAGAGGGATTTTCCTGTAAAGAAAATATGAAGTCCATTTTTTTTCTTCTTTTTTGTCTCTTTGAATCTATCAAAGTAGCTTATGCTATCTTATTATTTTTTTCATAAATAAAATTGTCCATTAAGTCTGTCTATTTACAGTGATTTCTTACAATATATCCCTCAGGATATGCAACTAGGAACATAGGGTTGTTCTTTGCATTATTAATGAATTAGGAAGGTTAAGGAAAACAGTTTTTCTGAAACCATATTACACATGCAAACTTTTATTGTTAATATAGCATCTGTTGTTTGGCTAATTCTGATTAAGGTTCTGCATTTTATTTAAGAAACAATTTTTGCATATGCATGCACCTTGCATATGCCTTAAAATTTGGAAACTGTTGATGTTTTAGGGCATTGACTGTTGTTTATTCAGTATCCACATTTTCTTCAGTCACAAAATCTTTCTAAAATAAGATTTTGATTTGCAATCACATTTGGAGAACATTTATAGCATTTTCCTTTTTTTCTTATTACGGTAACATTTTAATTGAATACAAGCTAGACTGTGACCAAAACAGATATTTTTAAACTGTTTCTCATCAAATGATAGTGACAGATTATCTGATTTTCATACCCTGTGGTTTTTAATAAATTTCAACACAATGGTCCAAGATTTCTCATGAAACCAACTGTGAAGCATTTTGTTCAAGATTACTGGTGGAATTCCTGCAACTTTGTAGCAAAGTTTCATAATTTCATAATCTGATTCCTGGTAGATGTTTCCTCTTTAAGAAGTCAATTTCTGGTGGAAACAGTATCTATATTAGAGCCTCAGAAAGACAACCCCATCTCTAGCAGTTTCAGAAGAATGGCTCACTGTTTGTGCTGATGTGGAAACTGAACTGTCTTCCTGCCTACTTCTTCACTTGAAAATAAGTTCTTCTGCTGCCCAAGTGTATTTTTTTTTTTTTTAGTAAGAAAAACAAATATGTAGGTAGAAGCAGAGTCACACAAAAGGTGAGTTTTGTGCCTCTGGCAGGACTTAAGATAAAATAGGAGCATTTAATCCTTTATACCAGCTGATTAATCAGTAACAAAACAGCTGAAACAAAATGCCCCTGAAACATGTTTGGAAACAAATTATCCACCCATCTACTTAAATGTGCCATGAGATTGCTGTTTGGTAATATAAATCTGTAGCTGAGATTAAGGTGATACTTCCCTTTTAGCCAGCGAAATATATTTTTTCAGAAGCTTGAGTGTTTTAAAAGTCAGAAATCGGGGTCACGGTCAGAAAATGGATCTGTGTGTGTATGCAGTAGCATTAGGCAGTCTGCATAGAGCAGTGTCATCTGTGTGGTACTGGAAGTGAATAGTTTCCTTTTTTTTTTTTTTTGATTAAAGAAATTAGACATCTGAAGCAGAATTGCAGAATATGCTTGTGATAGTCTGTATGCACACAATTTTTTTACATCATTAGTTTCTGAGGGGGTACCCTCTCAAGTTCTCTACTTGAGTAAGAGTGAGCTTCACAGGCGTTTCCCTATTAACATTGTTGGCTTTTTGGTTTGTTTGGTTTTTTTTTTTTTTTTTTTTTCATTTTAGGGTTCAACGTTGGCAGGAGCGCTGGTGGCAGATCAACGGTCCGGGAGATTAACCGGGATGCTTGTCACTTCCCAGGCTTTCCTGTTCTGCAGTCCCTCCTCCCGAAGCACACTAACGTGCCTGCACTCTATTTTCTCCTCATGGCCCTTTTCCTGCAGCAGCCAGTCACTGAACTGCCTGAAAACCTGCAGGTCAGTGCACCTGTCGTCAGCAGCCAGTGTAATCAGGGTTGCCAGGTAGGGATTATCTAGTAAAGTGTAAATGTAATTCTGTCTGTCATGAAAGAAAATAATGGATTAACCAAGCCCCCTCCTTCTTCTCTGCAGCTGACTCACAGTCACGATGTGGTGTTTAGTGCTGAGCCGTTTGGGGTGGGAGGACGAGGTACCATGGGAGTGTGTGGAAGCCAGACAGTTACAGCAGAGCTGTCACTGGTGTCTTTCTGGTCTGGTTTGGGGTCAAATGAGAAGCAGATCCCTGGTTTGAGCTGTCATGGTATGGGCAGTAAAGGGGGCATAATTTTTTGCTTGCTTGCTTTGTTGTTTTGTTTTTTAAGAGTGGTGAGTTGCTGTGTTAGAGTTCACAAGGTTACAGGCAGAACAAGGTAGCTTTTATTTCAGAAAGTCTCTGTTTTTGTAGGGGGGCATCTCAGTTGTTGCTGGCAAATGCTTCTTGTTCTTATTCTGAGCAGGTTGATTCTGGACTTGTTTTAATTATATGTAAACGAGCAGATATTACATGGTCTACAACAGAGTCCTAGGAAGCCTTACTATGGTGCCTTGTGGAGAAAAACCACACTCCAGATAGCCAAGGTGCTTGGTTAGAATGGATGCAGTGCTAACACTTATTTACGAGTGGGAACTAGAAACTAAAAATTTCAGACTGGAAGGTATTCCGCCAGCCTGTTTTCTCAAGAGGAATACTTGACAGCACATTCAGCATTTTGCTACAGGGAGGTAGAGGCAGGAAGCTCATCTCCGGCTTACAGTATTGAAGTATGATGCTGTTAAATCAAAACTAAATTCAACTACTTAAAATATTTAGCAGTAGCACTCAATGTTAGAGGTGGGCACTTTGTCCTTTTTTATTTTTTAATTGATTTTGTTTTTTGGACTTGCTGGAAAATGCAACTTGGTTTGGTTTTTGTTTTGTTTTGTTTTTTTTCCTGTGGGATACCACATGGGTTTTGCTGCTAGGTGTGAGTGAAGTAAACTGAGGTGATTGTTCTGACAGTTCTCTTCTTGTTTCAAAACAATTAAATGCTTTGAGAAGGTGAGAGTTGCAGTACGTTAGCCTATGGTTACAATTAATTTTCTTCAGCAACATGTGACCTTCATATGAAGCTTTTGGGGATAGAGTTTGGAGAATGTGAAACGATTTTTTAGATACTGCCAAATGAATGTATTGTAGGTCTAATAAAAAGCAGTATCAAATTGCACAGGAGAAAGGGATTATTTCATGTCTTCTTTCTTATCTTTTACCTCTTACAGTTTGATTTAGACTCTATTTGGACATTCATATTTGGAGTTCCTGCCTCCTGTGGCACCGTTACCTCTTCAATACACAGTGTTTGCACTGAAGCTGCCTTCTTGTTACTGGGGATGCTGAGGAGCATGCTGAATTCGGTAAGCATAAACAATTTTGCTCATGTTTGAATATACAGAATTGTTTGAGTTCGCCGTGTGGTCAAAAGCCAAATTAGAAAAGTTGAGGTCTTGTTAATGTCACAACAAACCCATGTGAATGAGGCTCATAATACTTGGGTGAAAAACATCAGGCAATGGGTTATTCTATCTTACTTTATTTTTCAGTATCTGTAGAAATATTAGTAGCCACAAAATTGACTCTGCTTTTTCACAAAAAGGCTGGGCTTTGTGTTTTCCTGCAATTAAAACAAAACAAGAAAGCAGAAGGATAAAATGCCCTTGGCAGAGATCATTGAATTTCTTTCCTGATTAACATCATGGGGGAATGTTTGAGATTCTATATCCCATCTGCTCAGAGGTATGTAAGTTGCAGATTTCGTGCATGAACCTTCCACATGCGGAGAAGTCCCCTGACTATTAATAGCCACATGCTGGAGGAAACTAATTTACTGCCAGAAAAATGTGTCGTCTTCTCATCTTTGAATCTAATGTCAAGAGTAGTGAAAGCTGGTTTCTCAGTAGGAAAACCTTATATTTCCTTGGATCCAGAGTGTGTTATCTGCTGAAAGTTACCTCATGAAGTATTTGAAAAGCAGCACCCGTTTGGTCGTCGCCTGTTTGGTTGTCATGTGTTTGTGATACACTCTGAAAAGCATTGCTTGCATGTCTCTCCCATGTTAACATGTTCAAAAGTGTATTCTGGTTGTGTGTTCTAGGAACGTGTTCATGACCTTCTGTGGTACACGTTCCTTTTGTCACGTGTTCTGTCTCTTACTGGTGACCTGATCTGTCACATATTTGATCCTCACCTATTTGGACACATTTGTGAGATGCTCAGAGACATGTGCTGTCTCTTGCCTTGCTATCTTGTGCTGTGTCATCAGGTGTATGTTCAGATGTGCCATCACATTTTAGGTTGAAATGAGTCAGGTCGTGGTTGGCAGCATGATTTGAATCATTACATGTTAGGACACATGTTTTTTTATGGTCAGTCTCCTGTTTGTGACATGCTCGAACTCATGCTCAGGCATAGGTTACCTAACACATAGCATGTGTTAGGCTGCTGTGTGTTATTGCTATGGGTTTATCACATGTTCAGTCACGTGTCTGGTTACATTTCATCATGTGGTTGCAACCTGTTCCAGCCTTTTTTGTCATGACATGTGTTGTAATTTTTGTCATGACATGTGTTGTTGTAATTTTTGTCATGTTCAGTTACATGTTTCTCATTCATTTATGGTATTGTGGCTGCTGCATGTTCAGTCACATGTTTGTGGTGGCTTAAACACATGTTCTCTTATCGCATGTTCTGATGTCACCTTTTGCAGGCACATGGTTTGGACATGTGGTTTATATGTTTGTTAGGAGTTGGTGTCTCGTTTGATTGTCACACATTCTGGAGGCAAGATTAGCCATGTGTTTGGTCACCTGTTTGGCCAGGTGTTCATCGTATGTGACATGTTCAGACGTGTTCTGTCATATTGTGTCATGTTTGTCACATGTTGGTGGTGTGTTCAAACACTGTCACTTGTTTGATCAGATATAGGTCACACATTCAGACACTGTGTCTTCAGTCATGTGTTCTAGACACGTGTTTGCACTTGTCAGAACACAGTGACCACCACACACATTTGACATGTTCTGGATGTGTTTTTCCACACTTGGTCATGTGCTTAGCCACATGTTCAATCACTTATTTCTGCTCTGTTTGAACAAATGCTTGTCCACATGGTTGATCACGTTTGGCCCCACTCTGATCAGGTGTCACGATCACATTCTTTACCTGTTTGACAATATGTTTGATTGCATATTTGACCCTACAGCGCCTCTTCCTGCAGCTCCCTTCTGAAATGAGCATTCTTCAGTTAATGCCATCTGTGCTAATGTGCTGTTTGTTTTTCAACCCAGCCTTGGCAGTCAGAGGAAGAAGGCTCTTGGCTTCGAGAATATCCAGTCACCTTGATGCAGTTCTTCCGATATTTGTATCACAATGTGCCAGACCTAATTTCCTTGTGGATGAGTCCAGAGTTCCTGTGTGCGCTGGCAGCGACAGTGTTTCCTTTCAACATACGACCTTACTCTGAGATGGTAGGAAATCCAACTAGTTAGCTGTTTTGGTTTTCCCCTAAATGTTACTTTTGAGGATTTATCAATTAACTGTCACATAAAGATAGAGCTCTACTTACCCTGCAGAAAGAAGTCGTTATAAAGGCTGGGCTGGATGTTTTGTACTTGGGTTGTAGAACTGAGAGAAGTGCATGTTCAACTGAAGGGCAGTTGCTGTTCAGTGACATCTGAAGCCGCATTTTAGCGGGAATGTACATGGTTTATTTGCTTTCTAGTGGACCATTATTTTCAATCACATAAACAATGTTAGCTAAGATTTACAAAAATGGAAGAGACTGAGACAGCCTATGCTTTTCAGCCCTCTGCTCTGGAGGATGTGATAAAATCTAAAATTTCCTTTTCCTCCCACTTCCCATTTCTTCTTTCGTGGCTTAACTACAAAATAATGTTCTTTTACTACCTGGAACTACTGAGCTCAAGCCAGGAAATGGTGTGAATTCAACTTTGCTTGCATTGCTGCCTGAAGTATTCTTTGAGCTTAGTGTCATTTACAGATTATACTATTTCTAGAATATGAATGGAAAGGAAACAAATAGTTATTGTTAGCCAACAACTAAAAGTAATTTTACTAAGAACATAGAAGGATAGTTAGGCTACAGGTTGGCAAATGCTGGAAATAGGGGAGGGTAAGATAAAATACTTCAGGAAATACTTACTGGTGGCATGCTATCTTTATGTTTTCAGTAAAAGAACGAGATCAGTTTTTAAAGGTGCATGCTGATGAGTCTCTCATCAAGATAGTTTATTTTGCTTTTAAGTTAAATTTGCACATGAAGTAGATGCTAGGAGCACACTCTCAAAGGAAAAAAAAAAAAGAAAAAAGGTGTCACTTATAAACTGGCAATGCTGACTTGGCATTCACCTGTATAGAGTTTTTAGAGGAGCTTTGTGTCTCCAAGCAGGTTTTACTTTAGCTGCTTAGGGCCCTTGAAACTGTGTAGCTGCCTGGCAACTTGAGCTCTTCACTGTTTGAGTGATCTCTTGACTGAAAATTGGTTCACTCCTTTAGCATTTCCCTCTGCCTGAATGTATAGAACTGATCAGACCCTTGAGAAATAAATGAATAACAGCCAGGTTCCTGCAACAAAACAATATAACCCAAATTCAGCCTTGAGAGAAAATTCTTAACTGATCTTTCAGCCTTTCTGAGACTGCCATTAAAACCAGAAAGAGTACACATTTGAGCTTCTCTTAATTTCTTGGGGAAACTCTCCTACTGAGGCAGACCAAATGTTCGTTTGGTTGCTTCACATGTAAGCTGGTGATGTGATAAGCTTGTTGAGGGAAATCATGTTGTCTCCTCTTGCGTTTGGAGAAGGGCATTGCATAAAGTCTTTTGGATTTGACAGCTTTCATTACTGTTTGCACATTTGTTAAAGCCCTCCTTAAGACCTAGCCCCTCAAAGGTTCTTGTTCATCACAAACAGAAAAGCTGTAGACACTTTTTTCTTTTTTTAAGAGAATTTGGGAAACAGGCTTACCCATAACTGCACTCTGATCAAGGTATTCTATTAAAAAAAGAAAAGGCTCAGTTCCCTTTTTGTTTCCTGTCATGTAAGCTTGATGGCCTTTTTTAGTTGGCTTCTGTCTTGATTTTGGCTGCTTTAGTTAATAACTTTTTCAAAACTTTTCTTTTTTGCCTTGAGAAAATTTATTTTTGCAAAGTATCTGGAAATCACCTAAGTACTTTCTGTGGGCAAGTGAATATGAAATGCACATATGATCTCTAACTCAGGTTTCCTGTGCCAGTCTTCACGGATCATTGTTTGCCTTGGGAATTGGAAACTAGAATTTGGATGTTTCTCCTGTTGTGTATAAGGAAACTGATCCTGAACATAATAATGTTGTAAAAAGGCTCATTAAGAAGCAAAATGTGAAGTGAATAGCCTTAGAAAGACAAGTCAAGAATGGAGTAGCGAAAAGCCAGCTGTTAATTTGCTGATCTTAAGAGTTTTACCATGCTGTTTCTCACAGGTCACTGATCTTGATGATGAAGTTGGGTCCCCAGCTGAAGAGTTTAAAGCTTTTGCAGCCGATTCTGGCATGAACAGGAGCCAGTCAGAGTACTGCAATGTTGGCACCAAAACATACCTAACCAACCATCCAGCCAAGAAGTTTGTGTTTGATTTCATGCGTGTGCTGATAATTGATAACTTATGTCTCACACCAGCCAGCAAACAGACTCCACTGGTAGATCTTCTGCTAGAGGTAGTTCCTTTGCTTTTTGCAGGTTTTTTTTTTATTATTATTTTAATTTCTTGTGACACTTTATTCCCTAAAATATTTTCCTCTATGTACCTTTCAAAGTAAGAGGAGCGATGACCTGGGATTCAGTAGAATCCTGTAAATTGTCATGAAATAAGAGGAAAAGGAAAAAAAAAAAAAAAAAAAAAAAAAAAAAAACAAACAAAAAAACCCAAACCAGAACATTAGTGTCTCATTAAATAGTAGTTTGCTCACCTTTCATTAACAGCTTGGAAAACCTAAGAAAACAAATGCAGAGGTTTTATCTCAGCCTACCTTTAAGAATATTTTCTGGACTTCTCCTCCCTGTCCCTGCACCCGACCAGCATTTTTGTGTACTGGTGACCATCTCAGATGCTTGAGCTGACAGTCTGCGTGCTGGTTACCTGGCCTTTTTCTTGCTGTGCTCTGTTCTCCCCTCCACACCACAACCCTACTACTGCTTTTGTTCGTGGGCTCCTTACCTTTCATTTGGCCGGTCAAATGACTGTTAGTTGCTGAGCACACCATGTCAGCGTTTTATTTCTATTTTGTCCTCACTTTAGAGCAGCTATAATCTTGTTTTGGCATTTTAGCCAATACCTTCTTTTGTCTAGAAACACAAGTAGTGGATCACGACTCTTGATGTTCAACAGTGCAGCATGAGAAGTTACAGCTTTGTTTAAGTTTTATTTTTGTGGGGTGTGATTCATTTGTTAAACACCTTTCAGACCATGACAGCTATATTGGCTTTGTTGAAAACATAAAATCCCTGCAGAAATATTAAGGTTTCTATTTTATTCATATTAGATAAAAAGAAGTGGCAGGACATATGGCGCCATATGCTATAAAAATTCACAAAATAACTGTTATCTTCCTGTAAAATATCTTTTAAAGTTCATGACACCTGCAGAAAGCATCCTTCTGTTAATGATGAGGCAGGGAATGAGGAGTTCAGTTACTGTTTAACTGCCCACACCTTCTTCAGACAGTATATTTTGATATGTTCAGTTCACGTCAATTCACATTCTCCCTTGACCTGCCTATTTGTTACTTCACCATCTATGTGTTGCTGAGTCTCCCTGATTTTTTGATAGCTGCAAGAGTTTTGGACTGTGCCTGTATAATTCCTAACAAATTTCCTGGGGCAGTTGGGCATCTCTTTGCTGTGACACAGCAAAAAGTGAATTGTCAGGAGATGTCAGGGAGCATATCTGAGGCCCTGTTCAATTGGTTGCAGTTGCTTTACTGCTGGTTAATCTGTTACCACTCTTGAGTGTTACTGCCCCCTTAGCTTAAAGAGGGAATTGGGTGTGTACACACTGCTAAAGTGTTACAGGGCAAGACAAAGCAGGTTGAGGTAATATTCTATTGCTTTCTAGGGCTGTTTAAGTGGGTCATTAAGTTAGGTGTGATTATGTATTCATTGAGCAACATAAGGTGATAAAGTGGTTTTCCCCTTTAAGTGCAAAGGAAATTAGAAAGGTTTAAGGTGTCCATCTATTATATGACTATACCAAGGCTGCAGTAGTAATATGCAGAACCCCACATGAAGTGATGATCAACTACATATTTTATCTGTCCTATTTACTATTTTTTTTACAAAGGAGGTGATTGTGTGAACTGAGGAGATCACAGTTTAACCAGGTGTTTAGTTGGAGATTTTTTTTACACCTTTTTGGAATGTGTTCTTTTCCAGTTCCAAATATGGTAGAAGATAAATTTACTGGATTTAAATAGGAGTAATTCCTACTCTGTAAGACTGTCTACAGCCAATGTATACGCAACATGCATTCTTAAATTTTTAGATAAAACCAAGACTTCTTACTTGAGACAGAATATTAAGGGAAAAAAACATAGTTCATGAGAACTAAGAAGAGAGAAATTCACCTAGAAGGCCTTTCCCCTCCCTATTTTTGCTCCCTTAGATATACTAATTTTCTTAACATTGTATTTATTTTATCAGGCTTCCCCTGAAAGATCAACACGAACACAGCAGAAAGAGTTTCAGACGTATGTTTTGGATGGAGTGATGGACCACTTACTTGCAGCTGACGTTTTATTGGGTAATATAGCAAAGTTTAGTTATCAATCTATTGATTTGGGCAACAAAGTTTTGATTATTTTACTTTCTTAATTAGTCTCCTGTTTTGTTACAACTTGTCTTTATTTTTTTCTTCCCTGCCCTTTCCTTTCCTTTGTGTAAATGGTGTTGCTGTGGTTGCATGTTCCTTCACTATTTTGATTGTGCCAAAGCTGTAAAATAGGATATTCAAAAAAGCTATATGGCATGAATCTTTCAGATATGTAAGCCAGACAAATTGCAATCACATCAAAAAGAACTGAAACTGGATCTTGCATCATCTCTCTTGTAAGGCTCCCCTTTGCCTCATTGCCACAATGATTTGTCTTTCTCTGGGTGCAGTGCATTAATAAAATAAATCCAGAATCATGATACATGAAGCTTTGGTTCAGGTTCTCAAGAGAGTCTGCTGCCCTTACAAGTACTTCTCTGCAGCCCCGGAACAGGACTTTGGTTTCTCCAGGCATTCCTTCATCAAGGTTTTTCCAGCTTCCTCCAGGTGTGATACTATCAGTTGCTTTCAGCACAGATGAGGCAACAAGTGAATAAATGAAGGTGAACTTCCAGAAACATCAACACCACTGATGGATTTTTACTCTTTTTTTTTTTTTTTTTTTTTTTTTTTTTTTATGGAAGCACTTGCACTTTTCAAGCTTCTCTTAATATAGCTGGACTGATGTTTGCATACACACAGACACATGCAGCTCATGCCCATTGAGTCTGTCTTATTGAGCAAAGCACAGTGAAGGAAAAGTAATTCCAGCTGGTAACACGTGTCATCTTGAGGTGTTTAAAAAGGTTTTATTTTTGAAAAAGCAGAAGTATAATTTAAAAAAGCTACAGATGATTCTGCACATATGCAGAATAATAAATAATAAATATGATGCCTCAGAGTCACAGGAGTACGATTTCTTCTGGACTCTTTCTGTCCCAGCCCTGCCTTTTTTGGTCTTTGCAACTGTCTATTTCAAACATTCACTTGCCATCGAAAATCATTGTAGTGAAGCCATGAGGTTTTAGACTTTTCTTTGACAATCTTTTTCTCTTTTACAGAAGTCAAGAAAGCACAGACTAATGTCAATGTATTTCTGCAGATGTGGGGTTTTTGATAAATGAAGAAAACTTTTGAGTTTTTTGTTACCTAGGTGAAGATGCATCTCTGCCTATAACGAGTGGAGGAAGCTACCAAGTGCTGGTGAACAATGTGTTTTATTTTACGCAGCGTGTGGTAGATAAGCTTTGGCAGGGCATGTTCAACAAAGAATCCAAACTTCTTGTGGAATTCATAATCCAGCTCATTGCACAGGTAACAGCGTTCTTCTGTTAGCCTGCTTGTGAGAACATTTTTGCATGTTATGTTAAAATCCATGGAGTGATGTCACTAGGCAACCTGCTAGTGACACATGTCAGGTCAACATAGAAGTACGCCTTTCTTCCCCAGGCTTTCTGTCTTTACTGAGCTTTCTAGCAAATCTTGTCAGTGTGAAGTGCTTTACTGTGGGGTAGTTGAGTAAAAACTGCTTTCAGATGACATTATTTTTTAGAAATCCCCCAAAATAAACAGCAAAATTTACCCCACCTGAATTTCGGAAGCTTCCTAAATTTACCTTGACGTTTTTGGGAATCTTCCTCATGCACTTTTATTTGAGACTGTTAGAAGACTTTTACTGTTGGAAATCAGCAGCCTCTTTACAGATGTTAAAATTACAAGTGTATCATCATGTGTTAATGTCATTTTGGTCCTTGAAATTCATGGAATTGATACTTTTAGTAAGATAGTGATTATGACAAAATGAGCGTGGGTCAATTCGGGGGAAGATTATGTGCCAGTATATTGATTTTCTGCTACTATCTGATCATGGTTTTTTTACTTCACATCAGTCAAAACGAAGATCTCAGGGACTATCACTGGATGCTATTTATCACTGCCTGAACAGGACCATCTTGTATCAGTTCTCAAGGGCGCACAAAACTGTTCCTCAGCAGGTGGCTCTCCTTGAGTCCCTAAGGGTCCTTACTGTGAACAGAAACTTAATTTTGGGACCTGGAAATCATGATCAAGAGTTCATCAGCTGCCTAGCTCACTGCTTGATTAACCTGCATGTGGGAAGGTAAATATCCCAGACAGAAGTTCATTCCAGAACCAGGGCTGTGAAGTATTAAAATGACCTGTTCTCTCTTGGCAATGACACTCACCTTGCGACTAGGTCAGCAATTTCTGGATATCTCTTTATAACTTTCCAGCCAGTGAAGTGCAAGTAAGCTAAGTGGGATGAATTTTGAAACAAAGTTAGGTTTAAAGAGGCCAGGTATAGAGAACATTCTTACCTCCTTTTACAGAAGTATTTTAAAATACTGACACAAGTGCTTATCTAGCAATTTCGTTGTTATGCTTTGGTAATTTGAAATGTTTTCAAGTTAGAAAGAAACACTGATGCTAAGTAATTAATAGTCAAAGGGATTTGTCACTAGATTTATTGTCTGTTGAATCATTTCATACAAATCACAAATCTTAGTATGTGGATGCATAGCATTGAATAAGTCCAGTCAGGCATTAAATCAGATGCCCGTGATAAATGCTGTAGACACCCACTTTTCTGCATTGCTGCAAATGCCTGCCTGGCATTTTCATTTTTTCTTTCCAAAAGGATGTAAAACTTGTGTTTCATCCAAAGGCACTTAGGAGGCATCATCAGCAGAAACTCTAGTGTTCTCCATTTGTGGCCTTGTCTGTTTTTTGTTTCTTCCAATATTACCATCTTCCTCTAACAACATCAGTGTCTATGGCATGTCATTTTTCACAAACCTGCAGTTCAGCTTGTGACTGCAGATTATCAGAAATCAAGTGGACAGAAGTGAAGATACGTTGCTGTAGTAGGACGTACTAATGTTTGTGATACTGTCCCAGAGAATCAAATGCTTTAGCTTTTGGGGTTTTTTTTCCCTGGCTGTTGTTAATTTGTTGTGTATTTGTAGCAATGTTGATGGGTTTGGACTGGAAGCAGAAGCCAGGATGACAACTTGGCACATTATGATCCCCTCTGATATAGAACCAGATGGAGTCTACAACAATCAAGATGTCAGCGAAGGTAATCTGGGAGTGACAAAACCACAGATGTCTGCTAATGCCACTTCTGTGTTGTTGTCACTAATCTTTTACTTCAACTACTCTTAGGACTGGGGGTGTGTATATAAAAAAAATATATAAGAAATAGATGAAAAAACATTTAGAAACACCAAGAGAGAAATATCCAGGATAAGTCACCGTTTTGTTAACATAGCAAGAGCTTTTCATTGTTTTCTGGACATGCACCAGAATTAGAAAAACTGCTTTGTGTGCATGGAGTTGAATGCAACAGAAATGGGTTATTTTAAGTGTGCACCATGGTTTGGTATCAGCTGGACCTTATATGAGTGTAGGTAAGAAATAATTGGTGTAAGATGCAAAATTAGTATTCATTGATATCCTCAGGATCTTTCACTCAAAGGAAATTTATGGACTATGTGGAAGAAAGGATTCAGTGATTTTACTTTATTTTTCGTACATATATATATTGAATATTTATGCAGGTATGTACTTACATACACAGTCATATGTAAAAAATATTAAAGAGTAATGTATGTATGAAATTGTGTATGTGTAGACATATACTTCTATAAGACTCTTTTTTAAATCTCATTTTGTTAATAAATGGATGTGGGAAAAGGATCACAACTAATCAGATCTGGTGTTTCATATTCACAGAGTAAAAATGGCCAAAATTAATGGTTAGATACCTTCTGATAGCATATAAATGTCAAAAAATGACAGTCTGGCCAAAGGCATTTCACAAATCATGCAATAGGGGAAAAAACTAGAGTATAATTGCAGAAATTATTCAGTTCAATACTGTAAAAATACTAATTCTGTAAGCACGGTAGAAATCTTGCTGTTTGTGATCTTGTACCTATGCAGGTCGCCAGCTTCTTTTAAAAGCCATAAACAGAGTGTGGACAGAGCTGATCCATAGTAAAAAACAGGTTTTAGAAGAAGTTTTCAAAGTGACACTACCTGTCAATGATCGTGGCCAAGTAGATATAGCTGTTGCAAGACCTTTTATTGAGGAAGCAAGTTTAAAGTGTTGGCAAAATCATCTGGGTAAGTGTAACTGAGGATTTAGCTGTCCTGAAGGGTCAATTTCCCTGAAGTGAACCATATGCACTGCATGTTTTAATACGGGCTTAGCTTTTGTGTGGTAGTAAGTACTCCAAACTGTTACCCTTTAACATCTCTCATACGGAAACTGTGCCGTGTATAGGATATACTTAAAGTGCCCTGCACACGGGGCCTTTCTTCAACACTGTCAGTGGTCTCAACAGCATCCTCTGTGCGTGAGTCAGCGTGCACCAAGTAGCATATTGAGCATTACAGTGAGAGAGTCATTCAGCTCCTTCCCATGAACACTCAGATGAGGGTGACCTGTGTTACCAGTTCTCAGGATTGGATGTGCCAGTCAGGGAGGAGAACCCTGCTTGAGCATGTCTGGGTGCAGCCTGCAAATTTTTGGTCTGGTAATATGATTGGAAATGTGTGACTGAGCAGTTCTTCTCTAGCAGCTATGACGACTTCTTCTTCTTACCTGGGAAATCTGTTCAGCATAGGAAGCAGCTTTGCAGGAAAAGGACCTGGGAATCCTGGTGGACAACAAGTTAAGCACAAGTTAGTTCTGTGCCCATGTAATAAAGAAGGCCAACTGTTGCTGGACTGAATTAGCAAGAGTTTAGACAGCAGATAATAAAATTCCATCGACGTGACTCCTTAGATGATTACACAGCTCTAAAGTAATTTGAGGTTAACCTGGATGTACAGAAAGCATTTCTGGAAATTTGGAATACTTGTTTTTGTGGTCTTTGTATTTCTAGATGTGCTTTGTCTCTGGCTGATGTTTGCTCAAGTTTCCAGTATTTCCCTGGTAGTCAGTCTATTTGCAGAAATGTTTTGAGTAGAGTGAAGGATCTTTGGAAAAATTACTGCTATAAGAAAGTAGTAGTGGTTTTAAAAGAAGAAAAAGAAAGCTCAGAGGTGGAGTGAATTAAAGAAACAGTGAGGAATGTGAACATGTACTTTCTAAAGTAAAGGTAACTGGTATACAGTACAATCCATTAGCTGAATATTGGGAGAAATTTAAACTGTTGAGAGAGTTGAACTAAGCTGATATTTTCTTATTTTTTATTTTTTCTTCAGTTTTAAAGTAAGCACACCAGTTGTGTGGATTTAACTGTCAACTGGAATGGCTGTATGTGCACAGAAAGGTGCAGTAGGCCCACCTAGCTTCTCAGCTCAATAAAGTGTATTTTGCTGCCAGATTGGTTAGTGGGGTCATGTTGTAGCATGTTTTTGGGTACAGATATGGTGCTTAGCTGCATTTTTTTCTGCTAGTATCTAGTGTTTATAACTTAAATGATATAGATTCTGTTACCTTTGTAACTGTTTTGAGACAAAGAATATTTCTCCAGACACTGTCTCCCTTCTTTAGAGTGTCCACTTGTTCTGTAAGGTATGTAAACCTTCAAAATTAAAGGTGATGGGGGTAGAGGAAGGCTAGGTGATGATTTTGTTTATACACAGCTGTTTTTCACTTCTTCAGATGAGGACAGAATTCATAGCTCATGGATCCTGATTTTGACAATCGATAAAAGTAGTAACAAATCTGTTTGTCACGCTTCATTTCAAAATGCAAACAGTTCCCAGATTTCACCTGGGGGTCTTTCCTCATACAGATCGTGAATGTTTGATATTAATGTGAGTGCTGCTGGGTACTCTTAAATAAGAACAAAAACCCCAAAACGAAAAAACCACACACACAAACAAAAAAAACCCACTCTAATTCCCAAAACACCCACCTTTTTAAAGCAAGAGGAAAGGTTGTTCTGTTTAAAAAAACCCAACTATAATGGGGGTAGGAAAAAAAAAAACAAACCACCACCTGAAAAGTGTTTGCAACACTTCCTCTTTGTTTTTCAGCTCATGAGAAGAAATGCATCAGTAGAGGAGAGGCTTTGCTTCCAACCACACAGTCCAAACTTTCACGAGTTAGCAGTGGGTTTGGCCTCTCTAAACTAACTGGTTCCAGGAGAAACCGTAAGGAGAGTGGGCTCAATAAACACAATCTCTCCACACAGGTAATTTCTATCAATTAATAACGTGCAGTCTACAATTCAGCAGTGTATGTATGTTCAGGGTTTGTCATAAATATCTCAATGTTAGGAATCCTTCAGAGTGTGAAGGGATATCTGGTACTTGTTTTTTTTTCCCCTTTCTGAATAGCCAGACTGGACGTTTTGCTTCTGTGTATCTTAGTAGGTGCATCTAATCCAGTAGGTACCTCTGCATATCTGTAACATTAAGCCAAGAGTTAAACTGTTTGTTGTTGGTGGGACTGCTTAGCTGCTTCTGGTTACATATACGCTTTACTGCTTTGCTAGTCCACATCTTAAATTCAGTTTGCAATACTGCTCTGAAATGGAAGCTGTGCGATGAATGCTTGTCCTTTTTTTATCCTGCCCATGAGATTATGTGGGTTAGGAAGATCCCTATATGAGCGTGTATGTATCATAACTAAACAAATTCTGCTTTGCATTGCTTTTGTTGTACTACAGAGAAGAGTTCAGTAAAACAATATGTGGTGGTAGAACTGGACATTTGCTTTACAAATCTACTTGCTTAAAAAAAAAATAGTATTTTTTTTAAAAGTTAGATTGGAGTAGCACAGCAGTGGTGCTCTCAGTAGGACAGTACCCAGGGGAGCATTGCAAAGAGTTAATATAAAGTATTTGATGCACTGAAAACAAATGAAAGGGAGGGGTTTGAAAGTTTTGCAGGATTGAGTTCTTACTGTATTGAGCACTTGAAACATTGGGGACGTGTTGGGTCAAGGGGGCCAGGTGTATTCCTGCCACAAGGAAATGTATAACCCCTGTTGAGTTAATCAGGAGCTTGTATCCTGTGAAAAAAATACATTTCCAATTCTATTTCTGATCTGAAAATTGTTCAGTGGCTTTGATAAAGTAAAGAATTCTCAGGACTGTCAGTCATTTTCCTGGTGAGCAGGCATACACATTAAAATGAAAAGGAACTCACAAACTGAGCTGGCAGGAACCATTGCTGGCTATATCAGTAGAGGGAGCAAGAAGTGAAAACAGGTATATTATGGTACAGGGTGAGGTGTCTTGAGGATTTCCAACAAACTAGGGAGCATCTATAAAATATTACATAAAAGGAAATAGGGAAAAGTAGTAATATTTGTGAGTGACAATCTTTGGATGTTTGGGAATGTTCTGAACTGTCAGTTATGTGTTTGGAAGATTTTCCAAATGTTTGCCGGTTTCTTTTAAAGGATATTTTTATACATTTATTTGCTGCCTTTTTTTTTAAAAAAAAAAAAAAAAAAAGAGAAAACACCAAACAAAACAAAAGCTTAAATACTGTTGCATGCAGTAGTATGAAATTCATCATCTAAGTAATATTTTCTTAAGAAACTATCCTTTATGAGCAAGTTTAGCAAGGTGATGTATTCATAGGCTTTTCACTCAAACAGAATCTTCGTTTGTGTCATTCTGTCTGTCCTCTTACCTTTGTATTAGGAAATTTCCCAGTGGATGTTTACTCACATTGCAGTGGTTCGGGACCTGGTTGATATGCAGTATAAGGAATATCAGGAGGTATGGTTCAAAGGATTCATTACCTGACACTGGTATTTTAACCTGTTAGGTTAGACTGATCCCGTTTCTCTGTATGAGGCTTGTAATATATTCGGTTGTCATTGGTAAAATGCTTGAATGTTTAGATACAGTTGTTATTCTCAAGGGTTTTTTTTAAATGCAATCAAATAAACAAATGAGGAAACTAATTTTAATCTGGTTGTAGATGAAAACTCTTGTAGCAGTATTACATTTTAAATCTTAATTTTTTTTCAAGAAGCTTAAGTGGTCTTTCCTTAGAAGTGTAAAAAAAAAAAAAAAAAAAAAAAGAGAGTTTGGAAATATGCTAGAATATGCTTTCTTTCTAAAACATTGTACAAAAACATAAGATAAGATGTGGAGAGGCATTGTGTACAAACACTGTGTTTATAGTAATGCAAAAATATTTTATGATACCTTTCCCAAATCATGCAGTGATGGGAAGTGGCTGCTCTATGACTTCCAGAATGAAATCATTGCACCCTGTAGTTTTTTCCAAACATCCCCAAAGGCCTTTGGTTCAAACTTGTTGCTGAACTGCATGCTATAAATCTCAAGAAGTCAGCTTCTGAGAGAAACAAGTCATTGAAAGCAATTAGTTAAAAAAACAAAACCACCAAACTTTGCTTCATTTAATCTCTCTCTCCAGTGTAAATACAGTCAGGGAAGGCCTCCAAAATAGTTTTTGTTTTCATTCTTAAAATCCTTTTTCAAAACCAATGGATTCATGTTACATTTCTATCATATTTGCCATTTAGAAATACATTCAATTAACGATACAAACCAAAAGAAGAGCTTTTACCTTATTTTTTTTCCTGTTTTGTAGAAAAGATTACAATATGATCCCTGCTTTTATACTGACTGACACTGGAAATCTCATTAAGGCATAGTAGAAAATGCTACTAGAATTATGAATTATTACATGTTTCTCTGAAACATAGTGAAAATGTCTCTGCTCACATGAGATAAGCTTAAAAGCATCACTCCTGATGCATATACAAATGTTTTTGTATTCAGCGTCAGCAGAATGCATTAAAATATGTGACAGAAGAGTGGTCTCAAATTGAATACGAGTTACTACGAGAGCGAGGTCTGTGGGGTCCCCCCATTGGCTCCCATCTTGACAAGTGGATGTTGGAGATGACTGAGGGTCCCTGCAGAATGAGGAAAAAGATGGTGCGAAATGACATGTTTTATATCCAGTATCCCTACATGCCTGAAGCTGAGCAAGAAACAAACTTGTTGGTAAGTGTTCAAGACTGCGATGAGTGATATTATGCCCTGTTGTAAAATTCCTATTTTTTTTAATAAGTTTTTCTTAAGAAACGTATTTTACTCTGTTGCTATTACTTGATATATTGTTTGTATGTCTGAAATGGTTGGTAAGGTCCAGTTGTTCATCATAGTATATTTAGGGAAGGGACTGAATCACTCAACTCAAAACTAAGTGAACTTGAATACTAGCAATCGTGACATAAGATGAGGTGTGCTTGCATCAGCTAAGTGATCATGACAGTGAACAGCAGAGGCATCTTCACAAGCCTCCAGAGGCTGAGAAGTACCAGAACTGGGAGGTTTTAGTCTGAGTTCTTGGCCTTATGCTAGATAACATGGTAAGCAGGGATCTGGGGGGGGGAAAAAAAAAAAAAAAAATAAAACAAACTAGAAAACAAAACAAGCAGGCGATGGGCCTTGGTTTGGTTCCATTTGTGAAATGTACTTTCATCTAGTCAACAAATATGAATGTGGGCTGTATAGCAGAAATGCACATGGCCTTTGAAAGCTTGGCAGTTAGTTCCTGTTAATTTTAGAACACTGTTTCTAAGAAATCTTTGTTGTTTCTTTTTAGGCATGCATGTATGCATGCAGGGTTTTTTTCCTTGAATTAAGCATAAGTGTCAAAGGACTTTAAAACAAGGAAACAAAAAATAGAATTCAACCCTTTTTGAACCATTAGGTATATTTGTCTGCTTGTAGTCTGACACACAATAGCTGTAGTGACAGTCTAATTCACGTGAAGTGGAGAACATGCCATCATACATTCTTCTTAAGTGTTCTTTCTCTGATGCTTATATAATTGATGCCCTGTTTTCAGTCTGACATCTCAAGTAGACTTCCTGAGACATCTGATGATACGATTCCTCAAAAGGTAAAGAAACAAGTACGCTGACTGAAAGAATGTAAAATAAATACAACTTTTTTTCCTCCTGCATGTTAGGCAATCTTAACAAGGCTTCTACGTTTGGCTTTCAACTTGCTCTTTCAGTAAATATTTCCAGGCCTAAAGGGTTTTTTTCGGTAATCACGTTAGAAGATGTTACTGTGCTTTCCTCAGCCTTCACCTAATAAAACTTTCTGTAGACCTTACCTTCTTTGCTGCACACTAACAGGCTGTGTTGGGCTGTGTTATCACTGTTCTCACTGTGTGAAGTGTTGTGGCTTTGGGATCTGAACTAATGGTCAGTGGAACATGTTTAGTAATGGGCAACACGATCACTTGGAAGCACTTACTGGAATAATAAGTGTTTCTGTCTAAAAGAGGATCTGGTGAGCAGTTTTTCTCCTTTTTGACTGTAATGAGCAATAACTGGCCTACTTTTGTTAGAACCCGGATTCATTTTGTCTTAGCTGATTTCTCATTTTTACTATTAATGAAATATACACATTTGTTTAAAATACATGAATCCTGCCTTGAAAGTAGCAGCTTGTTTGGAAGTGGCTGCTCTGCAAGCATTCCAGGATTGTGCTACTTCTCTGTTAATTACATTTTCAGTCTTGCCCATCACTAAGTACAATGTGTAACGTGTGTTCACTGATTTTGAATTACATTCATCAATAAACTAATAGATATAAATGAAAGTAATTCTATTATACGGAATATCTAATAGTTACTGTTTTCCTTTCTTTGTGTTAGCAATGCTAGTTAGGATTTCTCTTTGTAGGCCATATAAATGTTGTTTCCGCAACAGTTTTAAGCATCATTTAAGTGACACTTTTGTGTGATAAGGAGCAAAGACTTTGTTGAACATAAGTGAGCAAATTAGATCGCAGTGTCTTAAATGTTTTATTTTTGGGGCAGCCAATTTAATCTGAAACAGTAAATCTCTGTGTTGCTCATTGAATCCATCATCCTAAGCATCCACTTTGTAGTAAAGCTAGTTTATTTTATGGGTCATTTAGTTTCTCACTATACTATCATACAGATGAACCAAAAAAAAAAAAAAATCACTTTTTATGTATTTTGAGTTATTACTACAAAAGTGGACAAGGGAAAATCTTGACTGAAATGTTAGTGATATTCTACATAATGTAAAGCATTGAATTGAATTTATAATAATAATCATCATATTTTGCAATTATCCCAACCTAATTTCAAAATTAATGGGAAATAATGCTACAAAACAAAACAAAAAAATACTTGTGATGGAGAACTGAATGTGTTCACAAAGCTTTCTAGAGTTTGATGGTGGAGTTAAACAGTAGTGGGGAAGGAAAATTTCAACTGCAGTATGAAATCAGTGGGTTTTCATCCATCCATGTCCATCAGTGCCTTTCAATTTCAGAAGGGCTCTTGGCTCTTTTATCCTCACCTGTATCTCCTGTGATCATTCTGACTTATTTATTCTCCTCATTTAGTTCATTCTTCTATTTTGAATGTTACCTTATTAATCAAATAAGGAACATAAGAATTAGCCTGAGGTGGGGGATAGGTGGAGAAATAAAAAAAAAAAAAAGCAAAATCAAAAGAAAACCCCAAAAGCCCCCTCAACAAAATCAACCCCAAACAAGCCAAAACCCCCTAAACAAACAAACAAAACACCACACCACCACCATAATGAATTGTGTCATGATCTGTTGTCATCACCCAGAGGTATGAATGGAGCTCGAAGAGTTACTTTGGTTAAATGGGTACTCTTGTACCCATCTCCTGCCCATAAACCATCAGAATCTTTACTTAAAAAATAAACAACTGAATTAGTGAAGAATTTCTGAGTGTGAAAGCCAATGCGTAACTGCTTTTATTTCAGCAATTTTTTATTCAAACTGTTGCCTAGTAAAAAAGTCATCTGGTTAATGAATAAGCTACACATGTTGTAGGGAGTTATGAAAGATGATAAAATGATCATCTGATCGATCAATCTTAGGCACAAGTATCCCAGCCTTTTGTGACAGTTCATGACATAGTGGGCACACTTCTTATTGCCCATGTTGTAGGTTTATCTGCCGGCACTTCTGCAACTCCACTGTTACTTGAGTGGCTGAATAGCTCCCTTGCAAATTAGCTGACAGATTAGATCTACAGAAGAGTCTCTGTTTCTGTATGTGTTGGCGTATGACTGAGCACATACAAAACACTTGATGGGCATGCACTGTGGTGCACAGTATTCCTGAAACACGTTCACTGAAGTGAGTGAGGAGTTGACTGACCAAGCAATTTCTTCAATTATTTCTAAGAAACCTGCTCGTTACCGAAGAGCTATAAGTTATGACAGTAAGGAGTACTACATGCGCCTGGCTTCTGGAAACCCTGCAGTCTTTCAGGATGCTATAGAAGAGAATACGGTGGGTGAAACAACTCAGCAGGAGCCAGAACACGGGGAGGACACTATTGCAAGAGTCAAAGGTTAGATCATTTGTTCTGTCCTGAACGGTTTTCTTTAAATGTATCTGCCTTTGTATCTTCCCATACATTCACATTAAGATAAGGATAAGGACCATGTAGGGCTCGTTTTTCGGTCTTAGCATTACATCACGCATTTCAAAGTTCAATACGTTTCGCAGAGTGAATTTTTTGTGTGTCAGGTTTTTATTTATCCATCTCTCTTCTTTTCCAGGCCTGGTGAAGCCTCCGCTGAAACGATCTCGCTCTGCTCCTGATGGAGGAGATGATGAGAACCAGGACCAGTCACAGGATCAAATTGTTGAGGGCAGCTCAATTGATGAAGATGAGAAGACTGACAATACAACTTTGCTTCGACTTCTTGAAGAAGGAGAGAAGGTATTGTGTACTTCAGATACACCAAGCACTTACTGTATTGGAATTTCTGCATTATGTGTCACAAACATGAATAAATGTCCTGAGTACCTTTCCTGATCTGCAGCTGAACTTGCGTAATATTTTGTAAGTTTCTTCCTTGAAACCAAATGTGTCCTCTGGTTCAGGGAGATCCTGAGCTGAAAACCCTGTACTGGAAGCATTCTTTCGTTTTTCTTCTGCCTGATAGGAAAAAAGGAACCTGTCCTGAAATGAAAGCTATGAGCTATCCCATGCTTGGATTATTATCCTGTCGGCTTAATGAGTCCAGAGGAAAAATGCATGTTGAAAATATAAATACTGAACTTGACAGACTGTCTGTACTTAATGATTCCTTTAATTGAATGAAAAACATTGATAACTAGTATTTTATCCCCAAGAACAGTGTTGGATGACCGTTCTGCGTATTTGGTATTTCAGACTTTGTCTGAAGTATACCACTAAATATATTTGTGATCATAGTTGAGTGGACTGCATGTTCTAAAATATGCTCAAGAAGCATGGAATGAGTAGATAAGTTGGTAAATACACGAATCTATGTCATACAGAGGAGGCTTTATTTAACTCCCTTCCCAATTGCTCATCGCAGGCATTAGGCATATCTCTCTCATTAAGGAGGAAAATAGAAAATTTTTTTTTTATCTGCAAAGTGATAAAGCAGTGTCTGGCACTTGTTCTAACAAAGCAATGGTCTGAGCCTGAGCTTGTTAGCCTACTTTTGCCAAGTGTCTGCTTTTCATTACAGATTCAGCATATGTACCGCTGTGCTCGGGTTCAGGGCCTCGACACCAGCGAAGGGCTGCTTCTCTTTGGGAAAGAGCACTTCTATGTCATTGACGGATTTACCATGACAGCCACCAGAGAAATCCGGGATATTGAGACACTGCCTCCGAAGTGAGTAGATTAATAGGGAGTTTCTTCAATCTTTAATAGCTGAACAAGAAGTATTTAATGAGATTTTTTTAAGGGGACGACTCCAAAATAATGTCAAATTCAGGAAGACTTCAGGAACAGTTTCCTCCATGCTCACAAATTGCTCAATGTAGTATGGCGTCTTGTGAAAATTAGCTGTTTCTAAAACTGGTCTCTCGTATTAATTAAGAGAATAATTCTTTTATTTTATCTTCTTTTTGATCACTTCTCTCTCACCTGTTTACACTCACTTGCAGGATGCATGAGCCAATCATACCTAGGGGAGCAAGGCAAGGTCCAAGTCAACTCAAAAGAACATGTAGCATTTTTGCATATGAAGATATCAAGGAAGTACATAAAAGGAGATACCTTTTGCAGGTAACTCGGACTCCGTATTTGGATTGAGGAGCCAACTTTGGAATTATTTGACGATGTTGTCAATTTTAAAAAGTAAAATAAATACATAACTGATCAATATTTGGAAAGTGAAGCTATTCACTGTGTTGAAATTGAAGTGCTTAAGTTGGGCATCCTTGTTTGAACCTTTGGTTTACCATTGTTTAGTTTATTGGGTATATTAGTGAATGTTACTGTTCCAAAATAAAACATCTGGCCTCAATAAGCAAAGTCTGCTTCACCATAATTTGGTGTCAAATGGTGTACAGTATGACTCAACTGGTCTGCGCCTGACCTCCAGAGGTGATGAGCAAATGTCTCAGTGTTGACATGGGTTTGTCCTCTTTGTTTTCAGCCAATTGCAATTGAAGTTTTCTCAGGAGACGGACGGAACTATCTTCTAGCTTTCCAAAAAGGGGTTAGAAACAAAGTTTATCAAAGGTATTGTAAAATAAGTTAGAACATTTAATCTGTATATTTGCCAATATTCGTGTTGAGCCACATTTGAGCCTACAGTGACCTAACAACCAGAAGCAGATTGCAAGAGTGATGGGTGTTAGGCAGCGGGTAACCTGATAGCACTTGGTGCTGTGTGACAGAACAGCTAGGAGGCGTGAATGCCTGCGTGTGAAATTCGCTGTGTGCGCTCAGTGAGAAAAGGGCCGTTCCAATTTTGTTGAAGATGTTACGTAGCTGCTCAAAATAAAGTCTGTAACTGTACTAAATGCTCTCTGTTTCTAAGGAGAAGGCATACCGAGGACAGAAACACTAATCTTAATCTCCTTTTAACTGCTGATGCAGGTTTTTGGCGGTGGTGCCATCTCTGACTGACAGTTCGGAGTCAGTGTCTGGACAGAGACCAAACACCAGTGTAGAGCAGGGGTAGGTGATGCTGTTCCTCACAAGCTCTGTAGCTCATCAGTTTCAAATAAATGATGCTTGCATTAAGGTCAGGCTTCACTGGAGAGTACTGCAACCTCAATTTAAAATTGGGCATTACCAAAATAAATAACTAGTGATGTTGTGCTCCAGTTATTTTAAATGTGTGAATATCATTGGCAGCATTGGTATATCTTCTTCTGAATTAATATATGCTATCAGGATTAATGTTATCAATACACAGATAGGTTCTGAAAGGAATTGGAGTGCCAAAGCCATTAGATATGTCCAAGTTGTTAAAGATATTATCTTAATCGGCAGCCTGTTAGATACATTTTTACTTGCACTGAATTGCGTAATTAATGTTCATAATTTTAACGGTATGTGTTTAGAAATAAAAAAAGACATTGATAAAGCAAAAAGGAACAAAGCCTTGTTTTTCTAATTGTTACAGTTTATAAGTTTTAATCTTAAAACGTTGGGCTGTCTTGTGAAGATCTTACTGCTAAGTCAGAAAATGTGCTTCCTTTTTCCCCTTAGGTCTGGCTTGCTTAGCACTTTAGTGGGAGAAAAATCTGTTACTCAAAGGTGGGAAGTAAGTATGAAAATTTGTTTGGTTTTTTTTTTTTTTATTTATTAAATTCCACATTTTGTAGTGATACATAAATAATCAGTGCACAAAAGTTTCATCCTCTTGTTCGAACAGATGGATTATACTACTATAGAAGGTATATGTCAGCATTTTAGTTGGCAATATTTCACGGTACCATCATCAAATAGGAAGTAGTTCTACTGTTGAAAATGCCAAGGGGAGGGACTGTAGTAAAGGTAGAGTGAGCATCGTAATGTTGAAGTAAGATTTGTGTGTTTGGGGAGAGCTGAACACTTTTGACAGTCTGTCAGTGTAGACATTGGATTGTTGTAAAGTGAACGCTTTACAGTGCTATTATCTGTCTTCCTTAAGAGAGGAGAAATCAGTAACTTCCAGTACCTGATGCACTTAAACACTCTGGCGGGCAGATCCTATAATGACCTCATGCAGTACCCTGTCTTTCCCTGGATCCTCGCAGACTATGATTCAGAGGTAAGTAAAATGTCTTGTCAGTCTTGTCAGTAATCTTTTATGTTTTGGAGGTTTTGCAAATACTACAGCTGGCTTGTACTGCTTTGGTAAAACTGAGGCTTCTTCACCAGTTGTTTGATTTCATCAATTTTGTAATGTTTCTCCCACTTATCAGTGGGTAAGATATTAGAGATTCTTGGCTGTCCCATGCAGGCAGGTCCTTGCCTGCGCTGATTTTACAGATGTTATTGGGCTGCGCACAAGTGAGGGCCCGGATATGTAGCTTGTTCTAAGGCAGTTGCCTCTCTGTTGCAGTAGTTCCTGTGAGTCTTTACATTAGCTTTCTGCTGATTAGTTTGAAGGACATTATGCCCACAGAGAAAGCATGCATGTCTGGAAGACTTTGGTAGGGGCTACTATGAAATCTGGACCCACAGTGAAGAATTTGCTTTTGAAAAAAATGAAACATCCTATTAATGCTTTTGTGGGCAGCCGTTGCTACCAGCCAGACCATAACATTAAATATTGTCAGGGTGCATGTCGAGTGTTCAAGAACAGAATTAAGGGGAATTGGGGAACAGGATGAGGGGAGCAGGGCAAAAATTATCCAGAGCCCAGATGTGACTTAAAATAAAAAACACTGACTCTCTTAGATCAGACTGAAGGACTGTTTTAAGCATATCCAACATTGCACCTGCTGTGTGTGTAGAAAACAAAGTTGACAGCCTTGGGAGGTATGTGGTGTTAAGTATGGTAATTAACAGTGTTGAAAGGGTTTGTTTGTTTGTTTGTTTTTTTAATAAAATTGGTGTCTGTGTTACTTTTAAAGGAATTGGATCTTACAAATCCCAAGACATTCAGAAACCTAGCCAAGCCCATGGGAGCTCAAACAGAAGACAGGTTAGCTCAGTACAAGAAGCGATACAAAGATTGGGAAGATCCCAATGGTACGTAATGATGTATCCCTAAGGAAAAATCATTTTCTTAGCTTAAAAAAAAAAAAAATCAGAATGAGATGCAATTAAGCTACATATTCTTGATTTTTAGCGCTTCCTTATATATTGAAAATAAAACTTGTGTGTTTGGCAAGGCAGCTATTACGTGATACGTTTCTTCTTGTGTGCTTTTATTGAAAACACAACCCTGTTTAACTACTGTGGTGCTGTTGTGTATCAAACAACAGCAGGTGGCAAAGACATTCATTACTAGAAACGAATCAGTATGTTCGAAGTGTATTTATGCAGAGTTTTTGCCAGGGAATTAACAAAGTAAAGGCTGTACAAAATCTGTAGCCAGCAATTCTGAGTTGTATTTCTGACCAAGCCTTTAATTCCACAGTAAGCAATAAGACTAAAGGTAAAAAAACCTAAACTGTTCCTTCAGCAGAAATCACCATAGCTGTGCTGCAATGTTTCAATTAGTTAAAATACAAGAATTACTAACCATTCACTATTGCTCTGCAGAGGCCCATTGAATTAGGGCTACTGGACTGCAGCCAAAACTCAAGTGGTGGCTGTGACAAAATATAGAGCTTTCAGATTCTTGAGAATGAGAATTACAAATTCCAGGTTTAAATGTGTACAGGATCACAGAGTAATTAAAGTGCAGCAGTAATTAATTTTTTATTTTTTTTTTTAGTTAGTACTGATTCCATCACCTTACTGCTTTATTTGTTCTATGTTTATGATTTGTAAACTTCTGCAGGGGAAACCCCAGCTTATCACTATGGGACCCACTATTCATCAGCCATGATAGTGGCTTCCTATCTTGTCCGGATGGAGCCTTTTACTCAGATTTTCTTAAGGTTACAGGTAAAAATTACATCACCTCACTTTGTGTTTCTTTCCTGCAGTATATTTGATACCTAAGTGAAAAATACAAATAATTGGCTTTCCTTTCGTCAAATATGGTCGAAAAAATTTTTTTAGCTAAGTTGTTATTGACTGGGAGATTTTTGATGTTTCTTTGTAGAAGATGTAATGGAATTTACATTTTTTTCCCTGTGATTTGAATATTTTTCTAAATATATGCAGAGCAAAATATCAACAGACAAAAAACAAAGCAAGTTTTATTGTGACAAATACATTGCTCATCTTGTTTTTTTTTTCTGTTGTTGAAAGAATCATATGCCAGTTGCGTAGTTCTGTGCTGGAGGTGTTGAAAAATTGTTATTTTAAAACAGTATGTCTATCCAAAGAGCCATTTTAGTACTGAGCGTTAAAATAAACAAATGTTTGCAGAGCCTGGAATTGTTTGCTAGTTTGAAGGATAATGGGCTTTGTAACATTACATGTCAACTATTTTCCTAGACAGAAGCCATCAGAGAAAAAGATCTGTGTTTCTCTGGAAGAGACTAAACTTTGAAATAGGACTAGATGACTTCCTTCTTAAAATCCTGTATATCTGTACCTCGGTGCTTTATGTTTGCTGTTATTGTGTACCAAAAAGTAATGCAGCTATTGAAATCCATTGTGTTAGAGGAAGAAACATGCTACATTCTGTAGTGTCTTTATTAGGCAGAGGATGTTCTAATTTGCTGCCTTGGCAAAATCTGCTGTGCTGGAATACTCTGCTGCTGACACGCTTCCCACTCTGTCCCGCAGGGCGGCCACTTTGACCTGGCTGACCGAATGTTTCACAGCGTACGGGAGGCTTGGTATTCAGCCTCAAAGCACAACATGGCAGACGTGAAGGAGCTCATCCCAGAGTTCTTCTACCTCCCCGAGTTCCTGCTCAATTCCAACAATTTTGACCTAGGTAGGCAGCGGGAACCTGCTAGCGTTACTTTGGGTGTGAGAGCTGTGCCAGACAGTCCAACGTGAGAAGAGTGTCTTGTAATACGGGCAGAAAAAGATCTGTTTAGCTGGATGAGAAAATGCTACACATGACTTGCACATTCTGACATGAAAGCATAGGCAGGACTACTCCTGGTATTTCGTGATACTACATGTTTATTCAATATTATATTTGAAAGCCTGAATGAAACTCGTCAATTTATCAGGAAGAGTGCAGCAGGAATTCTTAACCTCAGATTTATTTTTTGAGATTTATCAGGCTTAAGATATTTTCTCAAGCCCTGACTGTTCATTTTAAGCAGTTACTGCAAAGTTTGTTCTGAGAATTGCTGAACAAGACACTGAACTACCCAAAAAGGATTTTTGTTTGGAGTGGCGTGGTTTAGTTGGTTCTTGGTTTTTTACCAGTTCAAAATGCACAGATAATCATGTTTAACTACGTATTTCTCTGGTTTGCATTTTTCTTTGAATAACTTGCTACTTCATGATGGTGTTCACCATCTTTTTTGCATATTTTTTTAAGCTTTGCAAAATCTTTTTGACAGTCTTCACTTTTAGAACTTCCTCTTAAAGTATTCCTAAAGGTTTTGTTGAAATGTCACAATTATGTTTTGTGAGAGTGATTATTCAACGGGAGTCAAATTTCACACCTATTGGCCATAGGAGATACATGTTCCTTAATATGTCACTCTTAACAGTGGTATTAAGCTTTTATTTTCTGAGCTCTGTGCTGTGAATCTAATAGCAGTAATAAATATCAATCAAGTCATAGGTTTTAGACAGCCTCAAATCCTTCCTTCAAAATGTATTGTAAGAGATTGGAAGCACAACCTTACAAAAGCAAAACCAAAAGAACACCCCGCAAGACCTCTCCCAGATATATTTCACGCAGAAGGGTATGGCCATTACTGGAAAAATAATTGTCCACTTAGCTCTGTATCTGATAATTTTGGACTGTGACCATCAGATTCCACGGAATTCTTCACTGATCATTTGGAGCAACGGCGGAAGAGGTTTTGTTAGGAACAACTGTCAAACACTGTGCGATACTTTCGATTGTGCTAATATGTAGCAATCCTGCTCCCCTTCCCCCCAGATAAAAAGAAAGGAAGATTCAAGATCTGTTGATGCAATCAGTGTTTCTGTTGGAGCAATGCACTTAGTACTCGTGTACCCCTGTGAACTTGGAAATTTGTTGGCATTCCTCTTGGCTAATAGGAAGCGTGGAATTGTCTCTTGGCAACAAGTGACAAAGCAAGAATATATCTGGGAAGTCTTAACAAATTACATTTTTAGTAATCACAACATGCCACTATTTAATCTTCAGAGTGGGAAGGGGGCTATCTGGGACCCAAATGAATGTGTGTGGCCAGACCATGCCCAAGGGAATCACCAATGGCCTTGGATGTGAAGCTTGTGGTAAACACCAGTTAGCTGTTCCCTGTTAGGAAACTAATATTTAGCCTGTATTCCTGTGATGTGTAGCCATCCTCATAGGTAAAACAATAATTCCATTCCCTGATACAGAATGTTGGTGTCATGAAGAAAGTAAATCCTGGGATTTACTGTTCCACCAAGGCTTCTCAGTACAGTTTGCTGTTACACTGTCTCATACTAGGGTTTATTTTCTTCAAAATAGACTCCATTGACATGCCATTGCTATATACATACTAAACAGATGCCAAATACGGCAAATAGGAAATTATATTCTCCCTTAAGTTGGGGCTAGCACATTTATTCCAGTTTTCCTCATAGATTAAGAATAAGGAAGTTGAAGAAAGGTAGGAAAATGAACCTTGCTGTGCTGATTCCTCTGGGGGTGCAAAATGGACAGCTGCTCTGGTAGCAGTTCCCGGGAGCAGGGCTGGCTGCTGGGGTGTGAGCTAAACTGCTGTAACAAGGCTGTGGGTGTGCAGTGGTTGCAGAAGGCTAGTTTACCAGCTGTTGTTTGCATTAACTTTCATGTACTGCAGTGGATCTTTCCCGTGATGGGGAGAGAAAAGCAGAAGTTTACTTAAATAGAAAATAAAGACAAAATAATGTTCCAAGAGCACTTGATGGGTAAACATACAGGTTTTGTGTTTGGACTGTAAGTTACGACGTTGTGAAGACTGAGGAGGAGTAATCTAATCAACACCTCTAGCTTGAGTGGTAATTTTTGTTTTGAAGGGAGTATGCTGAAACTCTGTCATCATCTTCAAAAGTCTTAGCAAGGAATATTTGAATTCTTCCTCCTGCAAACAATCTCACATGAACAACTGAGGCAGAATTTTTTGTGTTTTATTGTCTGACATTTAAAAGTGACACTGTTTTAAAGAAAAGACCGAGATGGCTTGCTTTATGAAGGAAAGGTGTTAGAAATTGATCTTGTTTTTAATAATTTCTTTTCACTGTTGCTGTTGCAGTGCAGTTGCAGCACTTCTCTCCAAATTTTCCTTTTTTTTTTTTTTTTTTTTCTAATAGGTTGCAAACAAAATGGCACTAAACTCGGCGATGTAATACTTCCCCCATGGGCAAAAGGAGATCCTCGTGAATTTATCAGAGTTCATCGGGAGGTAATCTACATTTTAATAGTGACAATAGAAAACATCAGTTGGGACTTTCCACTGCATACTAATCTAAGCTTGGTTCATGCAGTTACAGCTACTAGCCAGTCTGTGAGTTCTGGGTTTATGGCTAATCGTTGCAAAGGTCTGTAGAACTGGTGTTTTCCCCCCCTTCATTTTTGGCTAGGGAGTACACTGAGGCAAGACTCACTTCAATGACAAGCTTCATCGTAACAAGAATGTCAAAATATATTCTGCATTTTTCTTTGTGGCAGGTGTAGTAGACTCAACCCATGACTTTTATGACTAGTTTTAATGTAAGCCCTTTGAATTTCAGGCTCTGGAATGTGACTTTGTGAGTGCACATCTGCATGAGTGGATTGACTTGATCTTTGGCTATAAACAGCAAGGTCCTGCTGCAGTAGAAGCTGTAAATGTCTTTCACCATCTCTTCTATGAGGGGCAAGTGGACATATATAACATCAATGATCCATTAAAAGAGACAGCTACCATAGGATTCATTAATAACTTTGGACAGATACCAAAGCAGGTATACCCTTTGTAGAGATCTTATTTGCTAGATGATACTTGAATTGAAATGTATTAATATAGAACAGGAAAGTGTTTTAGGAGTGAAAGTTACTGGGAACATTTTTACATAAATATTCTTCCAGTGATGTGAAATCATTTACCTTTCTATCATAATACAATGAAGATCAACTTCGGGCTTTGTTTGTGAGATTAGAAATGTCGTCTTTTTTTTTTTTTTTATCCTTTGCACCCTTAAAATAAAGGCAAAATGAATTATGGTTCCACTCTAAAAATCAGCATCAAAAACTAAAGTCTGTTCCTGATGCCAAGTCAGAGGGGAACAGTGAAAGTGCAACTTGAAAGCAATGCCTAGTGTTTAGGTATTTTAAGTTATCCTGTATTAAAATAATTTCTAGAATAACTTCTACTTCCTTTTTTTTTATACCAGTCTCTTGGCATTCTGTAGGGCTTGGCCACATCTTTTATTTGAAGAATCTGTTAAAAAAAACTCTCAAAGCTTAAATTAAGATGATTGACTCTTGCAGGACAGCTGTAGTTAAGGAGATATATAGACACATTTCTGGTGCAGCTTTAAAGTTTGTGTTCTCTTTAAGTGATTATATTAAATTATTAAATGTAATATAAAATCTAAAGTTTTACTGTGTGGACTTTTAAGTTTTTGGGGAGGTTGAGGGTTTCTTTTTTTTTTAATTATGCATTTCTTTAGGGTGTTTTTGCTATCCAGTGAAACTTCTAAATGTCAGCAGTGAATTTTTCCAGTCTTAGGTCTGGTGGAAACCACAGATACCTTCAGCTATTCACTGGGAACCCAACCCACGTGTTGGAAGCTCTAGACTTACAGCAGCACCTAATGTTTCAGGACAGCCACGGGATATTTCCTGTGGGGACCCACTAACAGCTGTCTGTCTCTCACTGCTTGGGAGAAAGGCTAAGAACTGCTCATCTAGCCTCTGTGGCTGCTTTCCTCCTTTTCCTTCCTTGCTCTCTGTCAATAATCTAGATGTGTAGTGGCAGCGGGGTTTTCTCCTCTTAAGTAATAACCAATCACTGGGTTGTGATGATAATCAGAGATAGCCCAGCTAAAGACAGATGAACAGATAAAGACTGGAGCTGAGAGCGGGGCGATGGAAGAGCATTGCAGCTGAATTTGAAGGTCTGCCTGAATCATTGGATGCCTTTTAGTACAAACCTATGATAAGATCTACCAGAAATTGGATGAAGCTTTGCTAGAGGAAATAAGCAGACTGCAATAAACTCGAGAAAATCAAAACTCCTTCCTTAAGTCATTTTTTGGTAGTGAGTGTTCTTGGAGCACATTTTTATGTAACTTTAGAGTTTTGCTGTGACCCTCTGTGACTTTCCCCAGGGCATCTAGGGCAGGCTATCTCAGTGGCGTGGCTGCTGGGCACTTTTTCACTCTTTTGCTGCATGGAGATGTAACACGAGGACTACATCTTCTTTATCCCATCTCTTCCACCAGTAAATACTTCTGGTGGTTCTGTTTCCCATTTTATGAAGTTGTGCTGCAAAACATTCCAGAGCTGGTCCTGTGTATGGAAGAGGGCTCTTGCAGACTCTGGCGAGGGTCCTGAGATGCCACAGCCTTGGGGAGGCAGAGCAGAATGAATAAGCAAGGGGAACGGTGGCTCGAAGGAGAAAGGAGGGGTTTGGTTTTTTTCATGCTGGAATCTTGCATTTTTTGAGATGAGTTGTCCATGTGAACACTGTACAATGTGCCTTCTCTCTCCATCTTCTCGTAGCCCAGCCAGACAGGAGGCATGCTGTAGCTCAGGGAGAGCTGTGGCACTTAGGCCTGTTACCCTTCGTACCCAGAGTGGAGGTTCAAGCAGTAGAAACGTGTGTGCGTGCCCATAGCTCAGCTACCTCAGGCTTATGCATGTTCCCTCTGCTTTGGATAGGCAAACGGGTAACACATCTCAAAGGACTGTAAGGAAAATAACTTTCAGCCTTGGAATTTCAGTTCTCCTTTCAGTGCTGTAATAGCCTCTCTGCGAAAGAGTAATCGAAATCTTACAAAATATCACCCTATGTTTATATTTGCCGTTTACATGTTATAATAAATAGCATCTACCATCCAAGTTGTTTAGTATGAATTTAACACAGGATAAACCTTAGTGTGTGTCATTGATGATCACAGCTTATTAGAAGCAATGATTGGCTTGTTTAACACTGTCTTGAGATACCAGGAACAGTCACTGAAGCAATAAAATGGAAATTCAATCACTCAAGCAAGGCAGAAGATAATCAGGTGCTAAGATGTGTTTCTTGTGTGTGATGTTTACATGCCTGTCCATGCTGATACTCTGTTCTTTGGTAGCCTGGCCACCTCCAAGTGCATTAGCTGCTGTTTGTGAGGCACGGTTTGTTCCAAAGCTAAAAATTAGTTTCAGTTTGTCCCAGGTTAGAATTTAATACAGGTTATGCATCAGCTTTGAGATGTTTTGCTTGCTTTACTTCAACCACTTTTGCAACTGGACGTAGCTTTAAAAATACTTTGCTTGTTACATCCTTGTTGGATTTTGTGCTATTTGTTGAAGTCCTACTGAAATGGTTGCCATAAGTTATTAGTGAATACTGAGAACAGTTGAGTAACATTCACTGACCTGCAGATTTTTTAGAAGGTAAATTGGATGAACTGGTGCTCTTTTTAAGTTTGAGCTCTTGTAAAACTATAATTTTTGATGATAATTAATTTCTTGATGAATTTCAGCTCTTTAAAAAGCCACACCCACCAAAGCGTGTTAGAAGCCGACTGAATGGAGAGGCTGTGGGAGCCACTGTGCTCCCTGGTTCCACGAGTGACAAGATTTTTTTCCATCATTTGGACAACCTGCGGCCATCTCTTGCCCCAGTAAAAGGTAAGCTGTAAAACAACAGTAATTATTCCTGTTTCTTTGACAGAGCATTCAGAGTTTCAGGGAGATTGACCTTTCCCATGTTTTACTTAGTTCTAATGTTCTTAATGGCTGTACTTTTGTGAGAAAGACAAATTTAAAATATCCTAATGCTGTAAGATTATGTTCTTAGGTACCTTAAAGTGTACTTGGGAAGCACCAAATCTGTGCCAGTTTAATATAACTTTTTTAAAACAGAGGGATAAAATTGGTCAGAAGCACCTCTTTAAAGTTCTAATTTAACAAACAATATTCAGGGTACACTGCTTCTGGGCCTGTGATAGCCTCAGTTTTTGCAATTTTTGTAGCAAAAGGATTCTTTATCACAGTACCAAGAAATACTGAGAAATGTTGGCTGGAAAGGGTGGTGGTGGTAGCTGCACTGAGATGAAAAAAAGGTGGGTTTTGACTTAATATCTGACATTGGACTGAACAAAAGTTAATTGTCCCGTGAGGCAGGTAAATGCTGCACAGTGATTTCTTTCCTAGTTGCTTGAATGAATCTGTGCCTGCCTGCTATAAAGAGAGGGATGTACTGTTACACAGGATGTAGAAGGGCTACACTCTTAAAACAGGAAATTAGAAAGCACTGATCTATCTTTGCAAAGCATGGGGAAAAACGGGTAGGTCACCATGGGCAGCAGTCAGGAACGTAGCCTGTGAGAACGCTTGGCCAAGATGTTGGAATTGATACCGAAAACTTGCTTTTGCTTGTGCTGAAAATGGTACAATCACTTTTAATGACCACAGACATCTTGTCTGGAGAACACCTCGTGCAGCATCGCTGGGGGGATCAGAGCTATTTGTGATCCTCGGGGTGTTCTTGCCACTACTGATGGTGCTTAGCCCTGCACTTGTTAGGAATGTAGCCAGTTGCCATCGTTGCAGCTGAAACTGAGATTTGTATAACATAACCAATACAGAGATCCTACTTTTACAGAGCATCAGATATTTAAGGGGATCAGATAGTATTTGTTTGTGCTAGCAATAAAACATCACCCCATCTTCTTGTTTAGAGCTCAAGGAGCCTGTGGGACAGATCGTGTGTACTGATAAAGGCATTCTGGCAGTCGAACAGAATAAGGTTCTCATCCCACCTACGTGGAATAAAACTTTTGCTTGGGGCTATGCAGACCTCAGCTGTAGACTGGGTACCTACGAGTCGGACAAGGTTTGTGATCTGAAATCTGTTTCAGTGCTGAATATATCAAAATCAAGTAGTACTCAATAGTGAAAAAAATCTAACAGTGGAAATTTATTTCACATGTGAACGAAATAATCTTGCACTGCATATGTTTTCTTATTCTTTATCTTGTGGTCTTCATCGGAACACTGGCAGAATGACATAAACCAATTAATAATAATTTTTTATCAGGCCTGCAAAACATGAGTGAATTAAAACTATGCAGTTAAAGCTCATCTCTCATGTTCTCTTGGGAGGCATCTTATGGCAGAGGCTGGAATTGCTTCTGTTTTGGGAAAAGCTACAGAAGGGGTAGCAGTGATATCTTAGTTACTTAATGGTCCAGCATGCAGGGTGGCACTCGGGTTTTTATTTTTACCCTACCAAACGCTAATTCTGCAAGTAATTCTTCTTTGTTTTCTTTATTTCTAGGCAGTAATTGTTTATGAATGTTTGTCAGAATGGGGTCAGATACTGTGTGCCATCTGCCCCAACCCCAAACTAGTTATCACTGGAGGAACAAGCACAGCAGTGTGTGTGTGGGAAATGGGCATCTCCAAAGAAAAAGCTAAAGCCCTCACACTGAAACAGGTAAAATACGATAAAGATGCCTTTTAATTAAATTATGTTACAAGATCAAAGGAGTTATGAGAAGGGTACTGCTCATACAGAAAGGTTTGAAACCATGAGTCTGGCAGACCTTTGAAGAACTGACTAATCAAAGTACTGATCTGCATTGAAAGTGGGCAAAATACATCTTTAAAATTGCATCATTTTTAAGGATAGTTCATCACCAGGAGCTTTTTGGAGAGCTGGTAGTAATGTTAACAAAATTAGACAGGTGTGTTTTGTGAAATCATCTGCTTTATTGTGGTGTTGTCTGTAAAATATGCCTATCTGAAAACTGTGTCAGGGAGGGCAATGAAGGATACTGTCTTAAACGTTCATTTTCCTTTTTACTTTCTTAATTATTTTTAAAAATTATATATATTTAAATTACACTTCTGCACAAAAGTTAGCTGTTTGTGGCAGTGATATTTGTGGAGCAGAGTGAACTTGTTCAGGATCACCTTAAATTGTTCTTTCTTTGTTAATTCAAAACATCAACTTTCACTCTAACAAAGGAGCACCTGTGCTTTAAAGTCAGTTGCAGCTAAATGCAGAGTAAGTCTTTTGTGTTTACTGAAAAAGAACAAAAAACACAAAACCCGCCACCCCCAAACAAAACAAAACCCCAACTACCTCAAAATATTCTGGAAGCTGTGTATCATTGCTGCCAGTAGCTAGGTTGTTGTCGTTCGTGTTGTCGTCTTAATAGCAAAACTTTTTCTGGAGAAAAGCTAACACTCAAACTGAAGAGAAGAAATATAGAGAATTATTTAATAACTGACCTTGCACAGTCTCCAGCGACTGTCCAAAGCTGTGTTTCCAAAGTGTTTTACTTAAGAACGGTGTAAGATAAAACACCGTATCTTGAATTTCAGTGCAGCATATTGAACTTTACTGTACTTTATCCAGTGATTTGTAACTGAGTAAGATGCAGTAATCTGACTGTATTCCAGTCTCCTGATTCAATGGTTAGGTTAAGCCTAAAATGTAAAAGCAAGGTCTAATACAAGTAGATGCTTATAATTTTCTCCTTCTTCCAATTAACTTTGCCTTTTGGGTTGCAATTCTTGTCTATTTTATCTTTTCTCAAACATCAACAGAAGGTTATATAGGGGCCATTTTATATTTAAAACTATTTTCTGGTTTCAGAATGTAATTTCCGGTGCAGCCTGGAGCACATACTATAAATAGGCTGCCGATGCAGAATGTGTTGGAAATATTTTTTTTTTTCAGTAGAAGGCTATATAACATTAGACACTTTAAATTTAGTTTTGTGAGAGTACTTTTTAAATGGAAAAAATATTAGTCCTATAATTTTCAATTATGAAAGTAGTTGCCAACTGAATACTTGAGTCAGTTGCATTTTCTGATAGGAGGTTCATGTTTACATTATCTGAATCTTTTCAGATAAGTGAGTGTAGTGTAGTAATTTTTGTGGTCTCTCCTGACTGCAGCTTGTTCCTCCTGACTTTTGTTTTGCAGGCATTACTGGGTCATACTGACACTGTCACGTGCTTAACAGCATCGCTAGCTTATCACATAATTGTGAGCGGGTCACGGGATCGCACCTGCATCATCTGGGATTTGAATAAACTCTCTTTTCTAACACAGCTTCGAGGTCACAGGGCTCCAGTTTCAGCACTCTGTATAAATGAATTAACGGTAAGAAGCAAATACCATTCACCAGTGTCTGGCGGGAACGGTAGCAAGAGTCAGAAATTGTTAAATTGAACCAAAACAAACTGGGGTCTTCGTTAATTTGGCTAAACTTGTATAACTCATCTGAAAACTGATTATCTGGTTTAGGGAATAATTTGCATCTTTTGTCCAGAGATGCAGGTGGATTTATTCCATGCAGAGCAGCTTGATCTTGGAAGGGCTTATTAGCAGTGCTGGCAGCAGTCTAACTGGTGCGGTGTTCAAAGTGGCTTCTTGAACCCACGACAGGAGCTAAGAAAAGATTTTTAATATGTGACCTTGATTGACTTCTGTTCTCTTACTCTTAATTGAAAGGAAGCACAAGCTGCCTTAGGTGCAGTGACAATTGTCGTGGAAACAGACATATCCTAAAAGCTTGTCTCCCTGGTGGTCTATAAGTTACAGGTCGCCATTATCCAGCTCCCATGTATGTCAAAGAATTTACCTGAGCTGAAACTTTATGTAGCTGGTCCGTCAGGGCTGGATGGACCATGTTGCAACTGGAGCAGATGTAATGGTTGAAATCAAGACAAAGCGGGTCTGTAATGCAAGGAAGAGGTAGCAAGAGGCACAGTTTATTAGCTCCCAGTAGCCTGGTGGTTGCAGTGTTGCCAGTGTTTTAGACTGCAGCTCCTGTTTCTGCTCTGCACTACTTTGGACCATCTCTTGCTCTTTTCCCAGTAAGGAAGCAAATGAAATTTAAGGTGGTACATGTTCGTGAAAAAGAGTGGAGTCAATATGGGCAAAGTCTTTGAAAACTTCTCAGGGGAAGTACTGAAAATACACTGTTGGATTGTTGTGCTGTGAAAAGTGGAGGAATTGGTCAACTCATTGTATGCTGTAAATACAACAGATAGGCTGCTACTAAGTCTGGGTTTCTATGTATAATTTTTAAAAAATCCATATCATCCCAAAGATTTGTTTAAACGGCCAAACTCAGCTTGAATGGAACTCCCTGAAAAGTGCCAGCCTTGATGGCTGAACTTGGCTTATAAATGAACCTGGCTTACATTTTTGCTGAAGAAGACTTGAGACTGATGTTAAAATATGGAGGTGTTACTTGTTGTTGCAGGGGGATATTGTATCATGTGCTGGCACTTACATCCATGTATGGAGCATTAATGGTAGCCCTACTGCAAGCGTCAACACTTTCACTGGCCGAAGCCAGCAAATAATGTGTTGCTTTGTGTCAGAGATGAATGAGTGGGACACCCAGAACGTCATAGTAACGGGGCATTCGGACGGAGTTGTCCGGGTAAGTACCAGGAATCGCTGCTTGGAAAAATAAATTTATGCCTCAGTAGGTAGAAGTAGTTAGAGAAGTCGTGTGTATGCAGCGAGGTTTCCTGGTTGGTACCAAAAGCTGTCCTGCTGTACTTGGTGCTTCACCTCAACAATTAGTCCTACACGAAGGAGGGTGTCCAGGCTGGGAAGATGATGCAGAACCAGCTGGAACCAGCTGTGCCACCTCTGCCCAGGGCGATGCACTGTATCCTGTTCACATGTTAGATGGCACTGGAGTTTCATGGAAAAGGCTTTCAGTGAGCTGACATTCCTATACGGTCTTTCAGTTTTCTTTCTCCTTTTCGATCCATCCCTTGTGATGTGGTCACTAGCCATAGCCAGCAGTGTACATTTTCCTTCCTGCTCTATTTTGATCACTTTTTGGTCACTGGCTTTCATGCCTGGAGATTGTAGTTTTGGTTCACTGTTTTTGTTCTACACACCTTGAGACAGTTAATTTTGCTGCCCAGAAAGAAAAGAGGAACTTAGTGGCATCTTTGACTGTGAGTCTAACAAGACTTTCAGTACTTTGCTGTGTGCAGTCCTGGGTCTGCCTTAACTGAAGTCTACTGGTCAGATTGCTATATAGAGTGGATTTTTTTTATTTGAACAGCTAAGATGTTAAATAACAGCACAAGACTTGTTCACTTATGATGGGAGGTATGAACGCAGATATCCTCTTAGAGTATCTAGCCCCTGAAAACAAGGCTTAGTATGGAGACGTGACCTGCCTCTCGTGCTACCAGTGCTAATAAGACATCTTAACTCTAGAAGTAACTCGGTAGAAAGCTGAGTTCAATAAGTGCCACTCTGCTTCTCCCTTGTCCCTCCAGTTCTGGCGGATGGAGTTTTTGCAAGTACCAGAAACACCAGCTCCAGAACCTGTGGAGATGCTGGAAATGCAAGAGGATTGTCAGGAAGCACAAATAGGTATGTCTCCTGACAAGTGTTTTGTATTTGCCTTTTATCTGATCTTCGCTATATGTAGATAAAATCCTGTGGTTATACAGTGCAGAACGGATGATGGGGATTTTATCTCAAAAGACAATAGACATCCAGTGGGCAGAGCCCCTGAGTTCTTTGTTCACCACCTTGCTGATGGTAGTTTCATACTGCTGTGTGTAAGAAAAACATCACACCCATCGTAGCTTTTTTTCTGTGAAAATTGAGCTTTTCTGTGTATGGTTGTTTCTGCTATCAGTGAACTCAATGGATGCTGCCATTGTCCAAAATCTAGATTTAAATCATTTTTTTCCAAATCAACATATAGCATAACAGCAGAGTTAAAAAAAAAAAAAATCTACTGATGGAACAGTATGCTGTTTAGACAAGCAATGCTGGCCTTAACATTTTCCCCTGTCAGAAGATTCTGGTCCATGCTTGATGGGTGTTTCTTCTAGCCATCTCATCTTCCCGTAGCCCTCTTCATAGTGAAGATACAATCTGAATTTGGATCTGGATTGCATGATACTCATTAGTAGTTATTATATAAATGCAGCTCTCTTTTTTCAGTGTCACTAGGAATATAAATACCTTCAGCAGTTGCTTTTTTATATTAACAAAACCTGTTATTAACTAATCTGCATTATGTTTCTCAGTCAACTGGAGTTTCAGCATAGCTGACTCTGCTTACTTGTAGAAGTTCTGCTGAAAGGCAGCAGGATTTGGTTTTGCTAACTTGAGCATTTTTTTGCAAATTTTACTCACTTGTATTTATCATAGCCTACCTCAGATGGACTATCGTAGGAAATAGCTTCGGCTAAGGAGTGCTGTTTTCTGACAGACCAGTGCAAAAATGATGAATAGCATGATTCCTGGCAGGAGCTGAATCTCAACAAAGGCTTTGAAATGCCTGCATGTAGTTTGCTTCTAGTCACGCTCTGGTGGCACCTGTTGGGTTGTAGGTGGTGTTGCAGCAGAATAGGGAAAAAAGTTCAGACTAGAAACAGCCTCACTAACAACGTCTTCTCTCCTGTTGGGTGAATCCAGGGCAGGAAGCCCACGAAGAAGACAGCAGTGACTCCGAGGCAGATGATCCATGTATAAGCCAGGACATGAAACTGCAGGAGAGCCAGAGTCAACCAAGCAGCACCAGCCACAGGCCTAGGTCATCATCAAACAGAGCAGCAGCAGCATGGTCAGCAGACAGCGGCTCTGATGACTCCAGGCGTTGGTCAGACCAGCTCAGCTTGGATGAGAAAGACGGCTTTATCTTTGTGAATTATTCTGAGGGACAAGCAAAAATGCATCCCCATGCTCAGGTTAACCACCCACACCCCAGCTATGCTGAAGCACGGCACTACAGCAAGCTTAAACCAGGTAAAAGAAATTGGGCACGATGCCTCTGTCAGATAAATGTGCTCTCATCACTGGCCCATAAGGCAGTCTAGAGCTCTCTCGGTGCAGCTTTGAGCAGTGGTGGCTGATAAATTCCAAAATGGTCAGTGAAGACAAGAATTTGTGTGCAAAGGTTGCAAGTTGTTCAGGCTTTTCCTGAGAAGCTCTGGTCAGTTTACCCTGGCCAGCAGTGAGGCCACTCACTTGCCGCCACCACCAGAACCCCTTGCAGCAGGGTGGGGGAGGGAGTAGGAAGAACAAAAGCAAGGGAGCTCGGGGGTCAAGAAAAGGATACTCTAGAAAGCGAAGGAAAGAGGAAGACAAAAGTGGTGATGCAAAGGCAATCAATCCCTCACCACCGCCCGCAAGCAGAATGATGACCAGCCAGTCTCTGAGCTTTGGGCTGCCTTCCCCAAACTCCCCCCACTCAGTTTTATTTCTGAGCGCGATGCTGTACGGTGTGGAACACCCCTTTGGTCAGTTTGAGTCAGCTGTCCAGCTTGTGTCCCTTCCCAGCTTACTGCACACCTCCAAACTCCTGACGAGGGCTGGAGGGCAGGGTAGGGAAAAAGAGAAGACCTTGACACTGCAAGTACTGCTGAGTAACAGCCAAAACACTGTTACGTCATCAAAACTATTTTAGTCACATATCCAAAACAGAGCATCTTACGAGCTTTTATGAAGAAAATTGACAGTTGGAAATCTGAGTCTTGACTTTAAAAATAAAAGAGTTTAAATAAAAAATAAAAAATTAAGCTATCCCAGTTCTGTCAGCCTTTGGTATAGGATTTCCCTTGTTATGTCACCATGCTCTGCAGCTCCCAACTGGACTTAGCGAAATTGGAGGCTCTGTGCATTGTTTTGTGTCCTTTCCTTCCTTACATGCATTGGGAAGCAGTTGAAAAATATGTTTTCCCTGAGTGAAACTTAAGTCACAGAGAGTTATCTCCGGGGGGTAAATTTTTTTCTTTCGACATAAGTCACACATGCAGGTCTGTTGGGGGAGGAGGGAACAACAACGAGAACAAACAAATTTGCTGTTTCCCCTCCTACTTCCCGCTCATTTCTAGGATACAGATGGGAGCGTCAGTTGGTGTTTAGAAGCAAACTAACTATGCACACGGCATTTGACCGCAAAGACAACGCACATCCAGCAGAAATCACTGCACTTGGCATCTCTAAGTGAGTAGCTCACAAGCAATTGCTTAAAACATTTGCTCAGTGTTTTCAGAGGGAAGTGGTGCGAACCAGCCACTGTTCCTTGCATAATGCTGTCTTGTGGTGCTTCTGTTTAGGGCAGCCTTGTTCAACGACTGACATTAAAAAAAAGCAATGCTAAAATAAGTAGACTTACTCAGGCTGCATTATTTTAGGTGGACTGTTGATACAGCTCCGTTTCTCCGTCAGACCAGGCTATTTGCACATCAGTTACTCTGCCAGTAGCTTAACATTTTTACATACTCTGACATGTAAAATCGGTCATCGATGTCTGAGCGTTACTGTGCCAGAGTTGCTGCAGGAATGTTTTTGCTTTTTTTCTTGCAGGGATCACAGCAGAATTCTTATTGGGGACGGTCGAGGCAGAGTGTTCAGCTGGTCTGTAAGCGATCAGCCTGGCCGATCTGCAGCTGATCACTGGGTGAAGGACGAGGGGGGAGACAGCTGTTCGGGCTGCGCTGTCCGTTTTTCACTCACGGAGAGGCGTCACCATTGCAGGAACTGCGGACAGCTCTTCTGCCAGAAGTAAGCCAGCCCCCAGCCTCCCTTGGGTTCTTTTCCATACAGAATTCTAGGCTGGGAAAAGCTGTTGCATACCACGGAACTGTGCTGAAAGACTTGAGGCTTCCCTTACCAAAACAGAACTGATGAAGGAAAAACGCCAACTCTCTTAAAACTTCCAGGGAGGAATTAGAAGAGACATACCAGGCCCTTTATAAATCCAGTTAGCAAAGCAGGGTATCAGGTGAGAATGAAATCTGCTTGCAGTTTTGGAAATCTCCCTGTCACCCATCTGAGAAAAACTCTAGGCAAATTAACTTCTCAAAGAGGAAAAAAAACCAAAAACAAAAACAAAATTTCTTTTGCAGCAGCTAGTTGTTATTGTCAGTCTACAGGCAACCTGGTCAAAATGTAAACTGTGTGGAGGACTCTGAGGATGCTGATGTAGGAGCCAGTAGCGTGCAGCCTCAGACAGGAAAATGTATGACACAGAGGATCCATGTGAGCTCCCCTTGCCCAGGAACTGAGGTGGGAGACTCTTCTCTGGTCCGCTGGGTCAGAGGCGGTATTTCTAGTTTCATCTATGTAGCAATACTTGGAGCCTGAGCTAGTGACAGCAGCTGTTTTTAAGCTACCTCTCACGCAGAGTCACTGCACTGGGTTCTGTGGTGATCCTGCAAATTAAACTCTGCTTCTGCCACACTGCACTGCATTTCTTTGTCGAGAGAAGTCTGGACAGTTGTCTGGTATTTGCAGTCACGGTGGTAATTCCCACACCTGGATAGAAAATGTCCAGGTCAGGAGAGGACTGGTGTTCACAGCAATTTTTGTTTTCCTCTACAGGTGCAGTCGGTTTCAGTCTGAAATCAAGCGTCTGAAGATTTCATCCCCAGTCAGAGTCTGCCAGAACTGCTTCTACAACCTGCAGCATGAGCGGGGTTCAGAGGAGGGGCCCAGAAATTGATGGGGCCCTGGCAAACGGAGACCCCGTCCGGCCCCGCCGTCGCTCCGAGAACTAGCGAGAGTATCGTGCAGTGAGCAGAAGGGATTAGAATATTGTCTGTTTACACTTAAGTTTATACTGAGTTTTAAGCACTAAAAGTAAAAAGGGATCATTGAATTGATTTGTGTTGACAGAAGGTAAATGAGACTAACAGTATAATTAAGTGAAGAGCAAGACCCAGGAAGACGTGATTAATAACCAGGAATCCAATAGAACTGTCAACCCCTAAACCTATGTTGATATGGCTGTTGAGAAAATCCTCACTTATCCTAAACACCCGTTCTTGTCTTGTTTTTGTAGAGCTAGTCATCTTTATTGGGGGGAGGGAGAGGGGAAGGCTTTTTAGAAGATAGTTGTAAATCTGCCTTCTTCGCAAGCAACTGTGTATATTGTAAATAGGTATAATGGCCTTTTTATCTAAATATGAACTTAACTGCTTGTTACATGGGACTTCAGATTAACCACTATACTTTGTGTGGCATCTTTATCTCATCTATCGATTTAAATACGAATGTTTAAAAAAATCAAAAACCAGAAAACTCAAAGGCATTATGCGTATTTCTGTTAAAAATCCAGTCTGTGCATGTTTGTTCTTTCAGTTGCCCACAGTATCTTAATTTAAGTAAGGCTATTCATAGAATTACATGGATTTTTTCAAAAGAAAACATTTTTGAGAATAGGACTTGGAGTATTTTATTCTAGCTGTAAGATAACCAGGAACTAAATTGTACACTTGTGTTGCATTTTATACCAAACTATTTACCACCTCAGTGTTGTTCATATTTAATAAGGCCTCTTTTATACATATGTCAGAGCTGCAGTTTTGTTATTTACCTAATCTTCATTAGCAGCTGATTCATGCAGTGCAAGAACCAGCTTTTACCTTCTTTAGTCAATAGCAATTGGCTTACATATAGGTACAGAATGAATTCCTCGTGCATAAACTTTAACCGCTGTTGTCCTGTAGCCTGTTTGCAAAAAAAAAAAAAAAAAAAAAATTTGGAACAACAGGCATTGCTCTGAAACAGGGTGGTACTAGTCATGTCAGAAATGCTTAGAAGCTGTCTTCGTGTTTCAGCACGTGGCGTCAACTCGAGGATGGCACTAGATTTCCATTGAGGTTTTTAAGTTCCAATATGAATTTAATTGCAGTATTTTTTTACTACTCTGTCATTTGTTTTGCACTACATGTGGGATGAAGTAGAGACACTGACATCCACTGGGATTGGCATACGTGCATCGGATAGGCCCGCGGACTTAATTTCTGAATGAGGTCTTGCCAGTGGGTTTGTGGTTGGGTGGGGGCGGGGAGGGGAATCTAGGGGGGAAGGGGGCAGGCTGGTGTTTGGTTCGGTTTGGTTTTTTAACGTCTGTGTATATATTTTGTAAATGGGTGACAGACTGATCTAGATCTAGGTATATTCACAATGGATTCTTTTAAATAGAGGTAAGGATATGACCCAAGCCAACAGAAGACGGGTGGCCCTGCTTTTGCTCTGCCTCTACTTCAGCGAGTGTCTTCTCTCACAACAATGAGATGAGGCCTCACTTGGGATGGATTGGCTCCTCTGGCCCTGGGGCAGCAAGTGGTTAAAACCAGCACTGTCGTTGGAATTGCACCATCGAAAATGCCAGGCCCTCCGTGGTGGTGTGAGCTCCTTCCAGAAGGTCCCTGGCACTGCGGGGGCATGCCTGTCTTCTCTTGATTTGAGTTTCTAGCAGTGAATAACTTGTTAATCCTGACCACTTACTATTTACCCTGGTATCACACGCTTATGCACTGAAGGTTAAATATGTATTTTAATACATGTTTGTTTATTATGTATGTGCCGGTCTGTAAAATGAGATATATTCCTGTTTTGGTATGTATACTAGGTCCCCAAATGAACAGAAAGGCTTCTCTAGAGCCCTTGCACACTGTTGAGTAAATGCAGGTTTGCTGAGATTAGCTGACCCAAAGAGATCCCTTTGGGTCCAAAGAGTGGTGATCGAGTAGCCACGCTGCGTGGCTACCCTGTGACAGGTTTGTCCCTAAAAACAAGAAGAGGTCCTTGGTAAGCATGTGCGGAGCACCGGAATTTCTGTGTTCAGCTCTTCTCTCTAACGTTGCCTTCACCCTTCCCAAAATGATGCGAAACCAGCATAGTTCAGAAGACAGGCTAGTGGCCTTAACATTTTCACTTTGAAGAAGAGGCTCTTTTGACAACTTTCAAATGCCTCTGAGTCCACAGAGTTTTCTTCCCCTTGCCTCCAAATTTCAAATCAAAACCAAATTTAAGGAAGTCGTCTTTCCTAGGGACCGGAACCTGTACAGCCACATAATTAAACCCTAATAGGAACAATGTTTATGACAGTAACACTGATGCAATCTAAACGCTGAAGCAAACAGTTGGCATGTAGTACCCGTGCAGGCTCGTGGAGGCAGTGGGCCGTCAGCGAAGAGGTGGTTGGCTGTGGTCAGCTACGTAAGCGCGATGTACAGGTGGCGTTCTGCGCCTTTGATGTTTGGCAGCATACTAAAAAATCAAGGTCATTATTCTTTACAAATTCCGTAGTGTAGAGGTTAGTCCCGATTTACGTTTCGCAAACAAATCACCACAGCCTTCTGACTTCATTCTTCAGTTGCGCTGCTCCAAAACCCACGTTCTTGCTCGCAGGAGGTGGAGGGGGAAAAAACACACCTGCTCATATTTCCTCTGGCAGCTGGTGCTGTGGGCAACTGTTTGGTTCACTTGGGAGTGGGTTGGTTTTTTTCTCCGTTTCTTTCAAGCTTCTAATGCAAATACTTGCTTTGTTTTCCATGTAAAAATCTGTTGAGCAAAAATATACTCATGTACACTAACATTAGTAGACTGTATTCTCTGCAAGTACCTCACATGTCTTCTCCTGCCTTGTTCTTTGTAGTATACTTATTCATGTATTCTTAACATTCGTATGTAGTGTGCAACTGTAATGTCATGCTTATGAGAGGGGGTTGGCTGCCTCCGGCCAACATTCATCAGTTCAATAGCAAAACACTTTAGATAAGTTATTTTGCACTTTCTTATGTATAAAATTGGTAGAAACTTATATTTGCTTTGTATCATTTAAAGACTCCTTTTGTTTCAGTAAATGAACTGTGTATAAAATACTTATGCAGTTAAAACTGTTTTTAGAAAGTATTTTTAATTTCAGCAAGTTTGGTTACTTGTTGCATGACTATTAACACAGCTGACTTTTTGTGTCAGTGCAATGTATATTTTTTTTGTCCTGTTATTAACTTGTAAGCCCTAGTTAAATGGCCATTTATTTGTACAGCATCAGGAGTAAATTGAAGATAACTGGCTAAGACTGGAGTGTGGAATTTTGTACTATATTGCAGAATCCGATATCTGTTTTTTGGTGGTTACGTAAAAGGCCTGACGATTTACTATCTAGTGTGCAATCTGTGATATCTGAATGTTCATTGTATATTTGTCTCCAATGCAAAAAGGTAGAGTAACACAATTACAACAATACATGATTAAATGCAATAGTTCAGGTAATGAAGTATTTTTTTCATTTCAAATAAATACCTGCTATTTACCACCAAAAAGCTGTTTTGCATTTGTTGGAAAGATGCAACATTTGCAGCTGAATAAACGTTTTTAACATGGGAGTGGTAACTAAGGAGTAACATGTTTCTATATTGTCAGGAGGAGTGAATTTCTATTACGTGTTACAGTTTTGCTTTCTGAACGTGAGTACGGTCGCCCACCATGATGCAGTGTGAAATCATGTGTCTTTGTTTATTTTTTTTGGCTTTATAAGTGTCATTGTAGAGTGTGAAGCCAGCACAATTTGACAGTGTGTAGAATAGGCTGCACCAATACGGAGAAAGCAGACAGAAAAGAAGGATTTAAGTCATGCTGGGTAAGGGGAGGAAGTGTCAAAATCCGATTTAAATCGTCTTCCTCAAGGAGGGTAAGACAACTAGAGCAGAACTTGACCATATCTGTTGAGAAACAGCCTAAAATCCTCAAACGTTGAAGTATTTGAACAATTCTTCAATCCATTTTTATACCCTTTTCTAACCTGTTAATGCTAAAGAACGTGGGCTTTCCTGTGGGCAGTTAATGACGTGCCGACACGGGTGTCTAACGGTTCTTCTCTAACTAAAAACCAGGCGCTGGTGCCGTTGGGCCTCCCGTGTTCCTTGGCACGGAACCGGCAGTGCCGCCTTGGTCCTTGACAGTAAGTGATTTCTTTGGTTGTAGAAGAAAAGGAACGTCTACCGATGAACCTACTGCTTGTGCTTACTGTGTTGAACGCCGACCGTGAGTTCTTTGGGGTTTTGGGGTATATTTAAGTGTGCTCTCGAGCAGTAGTTATAGAAGCAATTTTTGTGGCCTTCCGAAGCCGTATCTTGGTTATATAGCATTGGGCACATCCACTTTTCATAGGTTCAAGTGCTTCTCACTTCAGAGTTTCCATATTGTGAATCTTTTCATACACTGAAAAAAATGTTTTCTCTTTAACAGTGACAGGGGAATTACTGTATTTGTCAGCATTCCTCCAGACTCTTGACAGCTGCAGCCCGCCGTGCTATTTTGCTGTGACGGAGCAGGTCACAAATGAACTTCCGTCGAAGCATTTTGAGCCAGCAAACCGTGCTGACTGGGGGGTGCGGGGTCTGGCATCACTGCCCACAGCGTGTCCTGCAGCACCTCGTCTCCACGGCGTGTGAGGTCTGATGGACGGCGTCGCTCAGCTTCGGGAAGGTGAGCCAGCCCCACGGGGGTGCTTTTGGGGCCCTCGCGTGCCCTCAGCGCCCAGGTGTGCACGTGCTCCCCTTCCCCCTCTGCCAGCCTGGGATGTGTCCCAAAACTCCCTTCCACGGGTCTCCGAGAAGCCTGCCTTGATGAAACCAAAAAAAAAAAAAAAAAAATTACATTGCCCTTTGAGTTGGGTGGGTTGTGGGGCCGGAGGCTGAGCACGGTGGGCAGAGCCTCTGGCATCCCCTGGCGCGGCAGAGAGGGGAGGTGCTGGGAGCTTGTGGTTGGGAAAGTGAAGTCCCATCCCTGCCCCACTGAGTGCAGGCTTTGCTGCTGACATTCAGTGCAATTTAGGAGTCCCTGTTGCAAATGGGGTGTTTGGGAGAGTTAGGTTGGCTCCTTTCTGTCCACACAAACAAAAGGGTGATTAATTAGGAAAGCCATAGGCTTCTGTGAAGTTCCTGCACTAAACCTGGGCCCGGGAGAAGGAAGAACGGTGCCCTGTGAAATTCATGGCAGCTCAGATGTCGGCGTTGAAGCTGTAAAATCCCCAACAGGCATCAGATGGGCCAGCGGCCAGTTTTTGAGCTAAACAAGGCAATCGGTGAGTGACGGGGCAGCTCACTGCAAGGGCCCCAGCCTTCAACTCCAGCTCCCCCGCGGCTCCTGCCAGGCAGAAGCACCTCCCAGGGCCAGGTATTCAATTTAGCAGCTAAAACGAATGTCCGGGTCTTCCAACGCATCTGCTGGGCATGCCTGGTGTTCACTGAGGATCTGTAGCTGTCTGGTTTTGCCTGGGGGAGTTACCGTGAACTGAAAAACGCAGCATTTCATTCTGCGATAGTGCCATAGCCCGACCCGTTCTTGCCACGTTTGAGGTTAATTTGCTGCCGCCAAGTTGTCTTTGATCATAGTTGTGATGACTTTCACGGTTCAGAAAAGTGAGGTTTGGAGCCTGCTTTCTAGGCTCAGCGTGTTTTGTGCTGTGTACCATTGTGAAAAACGCATATGGATTTTTAAAGAATTACTGGGAGTGGAACACGTCTGTCTCCACGTCAGGACACGGTGCCGATTCCCTAGTGAGGTTAGTGTGCCACGCACAGTGGAGAGGACGGGGTGAGCACAGAAAAAGGACCGATGTGTTGGGAGCCAAATCCTGCCCCGTCTTCCTGGGGGAGCTGAGTAACGCTGCACTGGGTGTGTGGCTGGCCCCGAGGGAGGGCAATTTGTAAGAAATGGGCCTAAAACTTGAACTCGGCCGCTGATGAGCGTAAGTGCAGTTGTGTCTGCTGAAGAGTCCACGCTGCCTCGGCTGAAGCCCTTGCGCTGCCGGGCGGGCAGGAGCTGCGACACGGTTTTTCTAACTGTGAATGTATAGACAAAGCTGTGAAGTCATTATCGCGTGGAGGGGAATGACCAAAAAATTTAATGACCGCATTAAACAAATAAAGGGTAAAACCAGGCTGCCGGGAGCCAGTGGTAGCTCAAATCCAGGCAGTTTTCCAACCCCACCGGTGCCTTCCCCAGGAGGGCGGACGGCTCCCCTCCCCACTTTTAGGGCCACTGTGGCCTGTGCTGCCCGCTCGGCTTTGCTGGAGCAGACACGACCTCTGGGCAAGAGCACGTTACAAACACAAATACCTACGTAAGGCTTATATATGTGTGTGTGTGTGTGTGTGTGTGTGTGCGTGCAGAGCACGGCTCTTGCCCCGTAGCAGTGATGAAAACTGTGTAATCAGCCACGAGCCCTTCCCCGTGCAGGTAGGCCCGGGGGGGGGTGGTGTTGACACAAGCTGCCCTCAGCTCTGGGAAAAGCTTCCAGCCCTTCCCGGGGGGGGGCAGCTTCTGCGGGTGCCCCCCCTGAGAGCCAGGGCTGCTCTTAAAGCTTGGCTGCTCTCCCGGGCGTCCCAGTGAAGCTGGGCTGGCAGCCAGCACCGGCACCGTGCTGCTGGGGCTCAGCCGCCCTCCGCCTCTCCCAGTGATGAGCCAGCAGGTCGCGGGGCGCTCGCTGCGGGACAAGCGTTCCGCCTGCAGAGTGACGCGGGGGCCGTTGCCCAACACGCCGCCCCAGCTCTTCAAACTCCCCTCCCTGAGCAGGGATGCCTGTGTGCTTACCACTACGGCACGTAGGCATCCATCTAGGAGCTGATCTGCTCCGCACTAAGCTGAGAAGGGCGTTGGCAACACGGGATAACCAAAAAAGAACTCGCTTTAGGCCTAAAAGGAAAAGCTGGGGCTCAGCTGTAGGAGACTGCCAGGACTTCACTGAAGTCGAGGCTGCGCCTTTCAGGGGAGAGAGAATAAAAGTAGGTTTGAGTTCAGCTGTAAAAGCAGGAGTAACTCAGAATAATAGTGATCTCAGGGTTACTTCTGTGGATGAGTTAAAACCCTCAGCTGTTATTTTCTCCTTATCTTTCTTGGTTCTTTTGGTGAAGTCTTGAACCATGCAGAAACCAAAATATATTCTTTTATTGAGGAGGCTCAGTTTGTTTCCTTCCACTGTGTCACAGGATGGCATCACTCACCATGACAACTACCCAGGGTGCTTTCTTGCTTCACAAAACAATTATTTTTTTTTAAGACTGACTTGTTTTAGAGAGAGGGCTTTCTGATTTTTTGGTATTGTAATATATCAAAATATAAAATATAAAAATAGCAAGCATACAACGTGTTGCCCTGGTGCAGCAAAGCCCCTGGCCGCTGCCGGAGCACAGAGATAGGAGGTACTTTGCACTGGTCATCACTGGGTGAATGTCTTTGTGGGCAAAGCCTTGGTTATCGGAAGCTTTTTATGGCAGGGGCTGAGGCTCGGGGCTAACAGGACAGTCACAGCACAGCCCGAGAAGCAGAAGCTTTTCTGCTAGTTTGCAATGCGGTGGAAGAAGAAAAATCTGTAGTGACACAAGTCTAGAAGCCAATTCTTTATTAAAAGATCTTTTAAGCATTCCAGTACAGACTTATCTGCTCCACTGTAGCTTTGAGCTGATGGAGACAAACGTTTAGAAAAAAAAAAGAGAATAAAAGGCACAATGGACACCTCTATAAAATTAAGAAGTAGATCAATTATAGACACTGATTATACCAAACACAAACATCAAACCATGGGAATTATACACAGTCCTAAGGCAACCTATGTAACAATTGTACACAATTGCACTTAAGTCTGTAGGAAGTTACGGTGAACACTGCTGCCCAGGCACTGGGTACCCTGGGTGAGGGGGACGCCCCCCGGACACCTCTGCACTGGGAGCAGCAGCTTCGGAGCGAGGAATCCCCGGGGCGCTGCTCTGCCGCACGTTCAGCCTGTTGGGTGAGTGGCCAATGGGCCCAGCAGCGCCCGACGGAATTTCTTCAAGAAAAATTCATGTTAAAGCAGTTTCACTGGTATTTGTTGTTTTGTGCTTCTCCCCTAGCTAGAAATCCCAATGCCTTTGACCACAGCACATCTGCCTGCCGAGACAGGGAAGGTGATCCGATACCCTGGTCTTGTGGAGGTCGGCAGAAATCCTAGGGTGAGTCCAAGCTCCTCACAATTTGCATCTCCCCCCAAGTATGTAAAAAGCAGTAATATTGCTGATTTCTCTCCAAACGTCCGTTCTCAACCACAAACGCTGCTCCCTGGTTATTCTCCAACCCTCGGAGCCTTTCAACCGCAAGGGACTGCCTGTACTCAGCACCCTGTATTACACAAACTGTGTCATCTCATCCCCCTCTTGCAATCTCTTGCACAATGCTCACCTTCCAGCGAGACCAGCTCTCCGAAATCAAGGCTGTAAATGACATTTTAGCGAGTTCCCTCTACAAAGCATGAAACGTCCTTTACAGGTGGCAGAGAGACTGAGCTGGAACTCCAGTTGCAGCCTCAACACCTCTCCCGGTAAATCCTCCAGCAACCCAAGGCCCTCCCCTGCTGTGCCTTCCATATTCTCACAGTAAAAATTAGTATTCAGCTGGACAGCTTTTTTTGCCTTTCTGCACCCACAGCCCACCCCCCTGTACAGTGAGAAATACCACTGCTCCAGGGGGAGCCTTCAGGCAAGAAAATACTCTTACCAGATCCAGTGGAGTTCAGAATCCATCCCTAAAAGGCAGGAAAAATGCAAATCCCTGTTGTGGTTTGCTCAGCAGGTCACCCCTAGTGTTCAGTTCAGTCTGTAATAAAAAATATCATTCTTTCCATTGAAACAACAGATGCACGGGAAAGACAGGGAGCCAGAGAGCAAACTGAGATTCTGATTTGTCTCATTCAAAGTGTAAGATACCTCTAGCAATCCTTCAGCAATAAACCTCTCTGATAGGCAACTGCTGCTCTTCGGACAATTGGCTTTTTGTCCTCAAGTAGAAAGGAGCTCTCTGCTGGGCAAGAGAATTTTGCTGGTCCTTGGGGTGTAAAGCTGTTCTCTTGCGGAGCTGCTGTAGACAGCAGGAGGCTTATTGAGTAGATAGAAAAAAAACCTGTTTGCTCAAGAAGCTGGTCCTTCAACAGAGAAATTGGAGGAAGGAGAATTCTGACAGGAAGAGGAAACTATCTGGTCCCTGACCTCATCAGAACCTTGAGCCGTGCAGAGAGATTACAGCCGCCAGCCGGGTGAGCGGATTGCTGCCGGGCTGCTGCGACACGGGGGTAGCAGGGCCGACAGTCAGCAGCTGGGAGGGGAGGAAGCCCAACAGCTGGGATCCCTTGTTAGAGACCAGGGGAATCAGGAGAGGAATTGGAAAAGCGGCAGCAATTCGCAGTCTCTGGAGCTGGCGCCTCTCAGGTGTGAGGGCGAGACTCAAGACAGATCTCGTGAGCTCCCCAGGAAAGCGGGCTGCCGCAGATGAAGGCATCCAGAACCTGAATTAGCGAAGCTGGAAGTCACCTACAGCCATCTAGACAACGAGGAGGGCTCCAAAGCTCCAGGGGATGGATGTCCCGTGCACAAAGGCCACGTGGAGGAAGGTGATTCCGGGTGCCCCAGCGCCACATTCTAACAGCTTGGCAGCGACATACTGCCCGGGCGGGGGCACACCAACTGTGGAGAGAGCGTCTTGGCTCCAAAACTTCGAAGAAAATCTTTGTACCTCCTCATCCCTACGGGCCGGCAGCACCTTGGCTGCCCCAAGAAATCAGTCGGAGGGAAAGGGAGCCCCAGGCGCGTGCCGCGCTCTGCTGCTGCTTGCGTGGAGGACGTGAAGTGGGCTGGCTGAACCTGCCTTTAGCTGGAAGCCCACGTACGGGAAGTGAGAGGGAAGAGCCGGCGAGATGGGGCCGGCCAAGGCGGCTGTCAGCTTACTGGCTGTGGGGCCACAAGGAGGCAACCAGCGATCTCCCGGACATGCAGGGATTGAGAGCACCTCCCTCCATCCTGGTGAGGGGACTTCTGCTCTGGCACTGCAAGGGTCAGGCAGTGGGTGCTCTGACCTGGAACACGAATAGATGGTCCCTTGCCCTCAGCCAGGAGGAGGAAAGGGATGACCAGGTGTCCTCTGGACTGTGTGGATTCGACAGCCTGGCCCCTCAGACCCACAGAGGTAGAAGGCTTTTTGGCAGACACCGGTGCCACCAGGGTACAGGGGCGCTGCACCCATGTGGAGTGACGTGGGGATGCCAAGAATTGTCCATACTGGAGGCTGAGGTGAGCTTAAGAGGGGACATGCGGGAAGAGCACCCCCCTGTGACCAGCCCAGAGGCCCCTTGTAGCTTTGGCACAGATTACCTCAGGAGAGGGTACTTCAAAGAGCCAAAGGGGTACCAGCGGGCTTTTGGTGTAGCCCCTGGGAGCCCCGAGAAGATCAAACAGCCATCTACCCTGCCTGGCCTCTCAGAAGATCCCTTCGCTGTGGGGTTGCTGCGAGTTGAACAGCAGGTGCCAACTGCTTCCAGGACAGTGCACAAACCGAGACTCCCTGGATCCCATCCATGAGCCGATGCATCAACCGAAGAGTCAAGGAGTGATCAGCAAGACTCACTCACCTTTTGATAGTCCCATATGGCCAGTGCAGAACTCTGACAGAGGGTGGAGATTAACCGTGGACTATCATGGCCCAAACGAAGTGATGCCACCCCCGAGTGCTGCCGTACCAGACATGTTAGAGCTCCAGTATGAACTGGAGTCAAAGGCAGCCAAGTGACATTGCCCACGGGCAGCAGAGCGCAAGCCAGTTTGCTTTCACACAGAAGGGTGTCCAATACAGCTGGAATCAACTGCTCCAGGGGTGGAAGCACAGCCCTACCACGTGTTATGCACTAATTCAAACTGCACTGGAAAAGGGTGATGCCCCTGAACATCTACATCAGTGACATCATCACACTGGGCAACAAGGCAGGAAAAGTTTGAGAAGGGAAAAAGAGTCATTCAGATTCTTCCGAAAGCTGCTTTAGCCATTAAACAAAAAAAAAAAAAAAAAATATCAAGGTCAAGGGCCCTGCACAGGATATTCAGTTCTTGGGAATCAAATGGCAGGATGGACATCATCATGTGCCTATGGATGTGGTCAACAAGATTGCAACTCTGTCTCCACCAGCTGACAAGAACGAAACACAAGCTTTCATGGGCCCTGTGGGATTCTGGAAAATGCACGTGCCAGGTTCTAGCCAGCTTGTGAGCTCTCTCTATCGAGTAACCCAAAAGAAGAACTACTTTGAGTGGGGCCTTGAGCAACAACGAGCCTTTGAGCCTATCAAACTGGAAACAGCTCGTGCAGCAGCTCTTGGGCCTGTCTGGACAGGACCAGCTGTGCCAAATGTGCTCGACAGAGCGGCTGGGGAGCACAGTCTCACCTGGAGCCTCTGGCAGAAAACATCAGAGAAACCCCAGGTTGACCATTAGGGTTTTGGAGCCGGGGGTACTGAGGGTCAGAAGCTCCCTACACCCCAACTGAAAAAGAGATACGAGCAGCATATGAGGGGGTTCAGGCCACTTCAGAGGTTCCTGGTACAGAAGCGTGTCTCCTCTTGGCACTGCGATTGCCCATGCTACGCTGGATGTTCAAGGGAAACATCCCCTCTACACATCACACAGCCGGTGCTACATGGTAGCACCGATCAGCCGGGGAAACCCAAGAGCCCAGGGATCCTGGAAGAGATCAGACTGGCCAGAAGGCAGAGATTTTGGAGTGCTGCCTGAGGAGGTGGCTCATGCCCAAGAGGCACCACCATATATTGAGTTCTCAGATGAAAGGTGTTACACTTTGTTCGCTGATGGATCCTGTTGGGTGGTAGGAAACCCATCGGAAGTAGAAAGCTGCTGTGTGGAGTCCCACACGACAAGTTGTTGAAACCACTGAAGGAGAAGGTGAGTCAAATCAGTTTGCAGAAGTGAAAGCCAGCCAACTAGCCCTAGAGATTGCCGAATGAGAAAAGGGGCCAGTACTCTATACTGACTCTGGGATGGTGGCTAATGCCCTGCAGGAGTGGCTACGGCGGTGGAAGAAGACCAACTGGCAGCACAGGGGTAAACCCATCTGGGCTGCTGCACTGCAGCAGGACGTTGCTGTCTGAGTAGAAAACATGGCTCTAAAGGTTAGAGTCATGTAGATGCTCACGTTCTTAAAACCTGCGCCACTGAACACTGGAACAATGAAGAGGTAGATGAGGCTGTCAGAATTGCAGTAGCTCAGGTGGGCCTGGCCTGGGAGTGTAAGGGTGAGCTGTTTGTAGCTCGATGGGCTCACAAAACATTGGGACATCGAGGGAGAGATGCAACATACAGATGGGCTTGTGATTGAGGGGTGGCCTGGCTGTGGAGGCCATCACACAGGTCACGCGTGAATGAGAAACATGCGGCCAGCGAGCAAGTCACACGAGTAAAATCACCCTGGAATTGAGGGTGGCTGCGTTTGCAATACAGCGAGGCCTGGCAAGGTGACTATATGGGATTGCTGCCTCAAACACGCCAAGAAAAGTGCTACACACTCACCGGGGTGGAAGCAACAACTGGTTGGCTAGAAACACCGTGTAAACCACGCCACTGCTCCAAATGCCAGCTTAGGCCTTGAAAGGCAAGTTTTGTGCCAACATGGTACCCCAGAAATAACGGAATCAGGCAGTGGGACTTATTTCCAAAATAACCTCATAAACTCCCAGGCAAAGAAACATGGCCTTGAGTGGGCGTATCACCTCCCCTAACCCCCACAAGCCTCTGGAAAGATTGAGAGATATAATGGACTGTTAAAGACTATGCTGAAGGTGTTGGGTGATAGGATACAAATTTAGCAGAAGCCACTTGGCTGGTTAACACCAGAGGATCTGCTAATCATCCTGGTCCAGCCCAAACAAAACCCCTGTGTGCTGTGGGAGGAGATAAGGTCTCCGTAGTGCACAGAGCGAAGTGGGCCGGGGAAGGCAGTGTGGACTGCTCCTCCCATGGGAAGAGGCAAACCCATTCCTGGGATTGTCTTCGCTCAAGGACCTGGGTATACTTGGTGAGTAATGCGGAAGGATGGGGAGACCTGGGGTGCACCTCAGGGAGATTTAACCTTGAGGGGAGAAAAATAATCTGCGATGCGAGTTGTAGGAAGTAATGTAGCAGGAATGACCTGAACCAACAAAGAGTGAGTTTCTGAAGGAACCAGGCAAGTGTAACCGTGACCCCAACCAAGCCAGGGTCAACACTGCCACCGCGGTATCGGTGTCAAAACAGTCCCAAAACCAAAATGCAAGGGCAGGGGCTTGTTCTAATGAGTCTTCAGTGAGAAGTGCCAAATGATGAAAAATCCATCACCCAGGAACTTTCCCGACTTCTTGGAAAAAAACAAGGTTTGGTGCAGCTGCCACTAAATCTTAGGGGAGTTCACTGTCATCTTGGTAGGAGAAAGCAAGACTGTGGTTCAGGAGGTAGAGACCAACAGTCTTGGTAATGGAGTGTTTCTACAAAATGCTGTGCTTTTCAAGCCGGCACTGAGTCTTGCCATGTGCAGCACGAAGGCAGGAATCCACACAAACCAGTGTGAAGGTACCTCTGTTCTTAATGGCAGGAGGAACGGGCAGACTACTGGGCCACTTGGCAAAGCATTTCATCTTCAGTAGTAGCTCATTTACTTCAGAATGAGATGCAGAAAACTAGAATGAACAAGCAGGGAATAAACTGTGCGTAAGAAATGCATCTCTGTAATCTCCTGTCAGTTATTGATTTGCTTTTGCTTAGAGCAAAATGGCTCATATCTTAGTTTTATGTGCTAATGTATTGGTGAAATTTATTGATAGCTATACAAAGTGCCTGCTAAATACTGGTAAGTTTTCAACTTCGATACAATTAAGTGGTTCCCCAGGTAAACTGCACTGCATTTCTATGTCAGGAGACATCCTTTCACTGCAGTATGCAGTTCTTAAGTTAACCCTGCTTTGAGCAGGAGACTGTGCTAGACAACACCCAGAAGTCCTTTCCAATCCAAGTTTTTCTGCAATTGTATAAAGGCAATAATAGCAACTGCCAATACATCTTTATCTAATCATCTTCTGTTTTGCGAAGCTCTGTCTTATCCCTTCCTTTTAAAACTTTAAAAGTTATGGCTGGATCCTTCCTCTGAGAGGATAACCGCTCTGTTAGAAGAAAGAATAGCTCTGCAACCACTTTTATTCTCTATGCAATCAGGCAAGCAGACAGGGATAAAACAAAAAACACCCCAAAACCTCCAACGAGAAGAAAACCTGTGGGTTTAAGTTACATCTGGGTCAATGTTTAGAAGCAACTCTAACTGCCGTGTCATTCCTCAGAGCATCTGCTTTTCATTTGCAGTGCTGAGCAGCCTGCATGTAATACAAAAAAAAAAAAAAAAAAAAAAAAATCAATGTGTACGTGTCAGGAACACCCCCAGCACTCTTGATACCTTCTGGCTGGATAGATGAGGGCTAGCCGGCCCAACAGGACAGTGGCGATGGAGCCTGTCCAAATCCCGGCAGCAGGGCTCAAGCCTGCCTGACACTCGACACCAAAGCAACTCCCTCTCCAGAGCTTGGCTCCCACCCCTCACTGTGCGGCCTCAGACTGCTGCGGGCTGTGATTAACCCTTTGCTAGGAACTATCGGACTTGCTGTTTTAGCAGGTCACTTCTTTGGCAGGAGAAGTTCAAGCTGCAGCACAACCCGATCATAACCACATTCCCCAAGCAGCTCTCGGCCTCTGCCGGGTGTGACCTCTCTGCAGATGCTCGGGAGAGGCTGTGTTCTGCCCTTTTTTTGCCACAAGTGGGTTGTGGGAAATCTTCAAACTTGCCGCAGACTGAGAACCTGCTCTCCCTGGTAACAACTAGAAGTGCCCCTCTGCCTCAGGTAAGCAAGGCTGAGCCCAGGACCACAACCAGCAAACATTCTGAGCTCAGCTGAAGAGTGAACCCCAACCCTAGGGAGAATCTGAGGAGAGAGGAGGGGCTACTGTTGTAAAGCAGCAATGCGCTTGTTCCAGAGGCCTGGGCAACAGCATCCACTACAACAGAGATTTATGTACACTGACTCACAAGCTCTTCGTACTTATAAACAGAATATACACATGATATCCACCACATAATACATCAAATGACGGGACAAGACCAGCATACTCTTAGCATGGTCTTAGCAACACCTAGTACTTAATGCTGTCAGTACACCACCGTGCTCCGCTGGGTGCTGCTAGGCCTTCAACCAGAGGCAAGGAAAAACATGTGGAATGACTGCCTAAGGTGTAACCCAGGGCTAAAAGTGATAAAGACGAATACTTCACACTGGAAAATGAGAATCAGGCCAGGCATATCAGAAATATTTTTCCTCATGGCAAGGTGATTTAGTATCAGGCCACTTCTCTTTCACTTGTTTTGTTTTTTACAATTGTGCTGTTGGAAGCATGCACAGAATGAAAAATACTGCAGCAAGCCTAAAAGCCCAGTTCTCTGCCTGTGTTTCATTGCAACAGGGTGACTCGGAGGCCCCGGGAGCTGCACACACCTGATGCGGAGCGGAGGGAGCAGGAGGCTGGAACAAGGCACGTGGGGACAGATCCACGTCAGCTTCGCTCTGCAGCACCGATACGAGCTGGCTCAGAGCTCTGCCCGCCCCCCCCCTCACTGCACGCAGGCTCCCTCCAGAAAGGGAAGTGGAACTGCTTCCTTTAAATATAAAACTACCTTCTGGTGTCTGAATATCTGACACCTACTAGAACCAATACCCAAAACTTATAAAAATTACTTTATTATAACGCTCTTTCCTTTCTCTAGTTTGCTTGCTTCGGGCATTTTGCAGCTTCCTGTATACCGTGAAGAGACACGGGAAATCACAACTAACTGAAAGCAACCTTCAGCACAGGGCAGGAAAATCCTCATATATTTATCAAGAAATAAACTCTCCTGTCTTACACATCCAAAGAATCTTGATTAGTAAACTCTGAAATTAGCTGGTTTTCTTTTTTAAAAAAAAAAAAAAAAAAAAATTCAAGTTGATGAGAGTCTCCGGATAGCAAAAATGTGCAGCTTTTTCCCTCCTCTGCGCTCCTGTCAAGCACAGGCACACCCAAGAGGAGACAGTGCAAGGGGCTGCTGCGTGGTCCACAGAGACCGTGCAGGCTTTGGACCCCACGGAGAATGGTTCCCATTTGTCTGAGGGCACGTGGCTCCAGCCTGCTCTGCCTCCTTGGAGCCAGAGGGTCACAGATGATGGCAGTGGGAGCACAAAGCCCCGCAAAGCAGCCCTGTCTCGGGAAGTTGTTCAGCTACGCCAAATGCCAGTGGCATCAGAACCTAAACACTTCTGAAACTTCTCCCTTATCTTTCACCTGCTTCTCCTGAAGCACAGGGGAGTTTTGGGTGGCTGCACAGCAGAGGAAGACAACACACCCTCTTTTTGTCTACCTAAAAGAACACTGTGCGTTTGTTCCCCCATGTATTAACGTACAAAGAAGCCCGCGCGTGGCTCAGACTCAGACTTACACAGCTGCCAGGTAACTGAGGGTCCTGGGTAATACAAGTAGGTATGAAACAATTGTACAACACCTCCAGCCTTAGGTGAAAGCCCAGAGCCTTGTCTATGTGAACAAAGTGATGTGCAGAGCTGCTGGGACTACAAACCCAAAGAAATAGCTGCCTCAATGCTGACCGGAATAAATAAACGCAGCAAAATGCGATCACCCATAAGCAGCAACGGGGCATTACGCACCGAGGGAGCAGTGGCATCCTCTATAACACTGGGAACAGAAGAGATGGACAAGACACCGAGTCAACCTATGAACAGATGGATGTGTTCTCCTGTAGCACGCTGTGTCCAGGAAACGAGAGCTGCGGCAGGTCTTCACGCCCACCTCCCGCTGGAAGCAAAACTGCGGCTGAAGGAGAAGTTGATCTCACTGTTTTTGTACTTTCCCCATGCTCCAAATGGCACTATGACAACCGTGCTGTTGTCTTCAGTGCCGAATTGCATTGCCTGAGAGAAGAAACAAATTGTCAGCATCATCGTTCTGCTTGGGAAAGGAAACAAGTGTCTGGCTCTAGGTGGGACAGCATGCCCTGCGGCCCAAGACTTCCTTGCCCAACTCCCAGCCCTGATGCTGCAGTCTGGTATGCCCCAGAGCTTCCCTGGGGATACGCCACCATCCAGAGCCCCAGCGAGAAACTGGCCATTCCCCTCTATGCTGATGACATATTCAGCACGGGAGTAAACTGCAGTTAATAGTCCCACGCAGTTCAGTGGATTGGGAGCTAAGCAAGTTAACTGAAATGATGCCTGGCAAGGATGTGGCAAGACCCAGGGTAAGGACAGGGCTAGCCAGCAGCACTAGTGAATGTCTCAACCAGCGTAGTTCAATTCACTTGAATGTGTGGTTGTACATTTGTTTTTGTAAAACCAAACCAAACAAAAAACACCACCAAGCATTTGGTGCCAAGAGAAGCCCTGGCATTACCTGCTCGGTGACAACATGGGCAGCTTCAGCAGGATCGTGGCACTGGTTAATGAAGTCGCAGATCTCCTGACTGTTCACCATGAAGTTAATACCGTCCGTCGTAAGGACCAGGAAGCTGTCATCTGCATGATGCAACTGCAAAAAAGGCACACGGGATGCACGACGATGGAGCAAGTGCTTCAAGGCAAATTCACTGCATTTTTTTTTTACACTCTGTTGCAAAGCACTTTTTCTAGGGGTGCCGTGTGCTCTCTGCTTTCTGTGCAAGGACTAACTAGAACCCCCAAACCCTCAGCTAGTCAAAGGCTGGCCCTTGAATCCTTGAGCACATCCATCAGCAACACAGACTGTTCCCTATACTGGAAGAGAACATTTTAAGGTGCTGCCAGTTCTAGGAAGCAGCCCTCTGAATACACTGAGGCCAAAAGACCAGATCCATACCTTACCCAGTAAACAAAATGTTTCCTTAAACTGAGGATTTCAAGGAAGACTTGATAGCACTGCAGGCATCTTCCTAAACCCCTTGAGCCTAGTGGGTAGCATTTAATTAGTACCAACTGAATAGAAGTTCCCTGGGAGGTGGTCTGGAGAAAAGGAACAAACAGAACATGAGCTGAGAGGAGAGCCCTCCTGCGCAAGTGGAGGCAGCCGTGCTGAACACCTTCTGGGTGGTTAATCTGTTTTCTGGACAACTACAGAGCTAGGGTAAGATGCAAGCAACTGCCCTTCCCTCCTCCCAAATGTGTAAACCTCTATGTATTCTACTTTTTTTGATGACAGCCTATCCATATCCCACCTAGTTCTCAGTGATGGTTTTGTATCAGCATTAACCTCAAAATTTGACCACAAGCCCCAGACAGACTAGCACCTTTGTATTTCAGGAATGGATCCCGTGTTATCTATTGTTCCTCATCCTACATTGTGCTGTGATAAATGGGATTTGGAAGCTGATCTGGTTGAATTTAGTGTCAGGGCCAGATTCTTTTCTGTCCTGCTAGTGTTAATCTGAAATGACTTCATTAGAATTGGTCTCCAGTTACTTCACCACAAATAAAAACCAGTGCTTGGCCATCAGGCTTCACCTGGGCACACGTCCTGTGGGTACCACCACGTGCGTCAAATACCTATGATGCCCCTTAGTCCGAATGTTGCTGTCCCTGTTAACCAGGCCTTCTTTTACCTGAACCCTTTTAGTTTCTGGCTGGGCTATCACACCACTGTTTTTAAGATCCAAATCTCCTATGCTCCGCGTCATTGCAAGTCTACCATTCACATGAGGTTGTCCCAAACTGTTCCAGGCAACGAAGCCACCGCACTTCCTAATCCTGTCCAGAGGCACAAAAGAAAAAGCAAATGTGAGTTACTGCTTCACACCATTACCCCTCTTTCTATCTGCAGTTTCTGTCACTAGCTGCTGATGTGGAATGAGGTACAGAGGATCTAAGCTGGGAGACTGAGGGTTGGCTTTTGCTGTTGGAAGGGTTCCACAGCAGGGATGTGGCTTGGTAGGCTCAGTCCTGACCCGGGAACCCAGGGCGTTTCTTCAGACCTCGGCTCTAACTTGGTGGTCTTGGACAAGTCTGAACCATGTGGTCAGGGATCTGTAGCGAGTCCTAGCTATGCTGATCTTACTGCTGAGACAGTTTATGCTCATGCAGGGGTTCCCACATCCCTGGTCCTCTAAACAGAACCAAATAAATTAACTGGAGCTCTGCAACTTTCTGCCAGCTCAGAGGTGGTCTCGGAGTGTTATGTTCAACTCTCTGCTTTCCTCCAGGCCCAACCCAGCAGCAAAACACAAGCACGTCCTGAGCGAGGCTGTGCCCTGGGAAGCCACGTTAGCTGACAGATACCTTTCCTTCTCCTCCTTCCTTTCTGGAGTATGGTCAATGGTGAGTTTCATGGCCTTTCCCTTTCGACACAGCAGCGCCCGACTGTCTCCCACACTCGCCACAACCAGCTCAATCCCGTCCCGGAGCAGAGCCACTGTTGCAGTGGTCCCAGAGTTCATCAGAGTTGCTATAAACATCATATCGAAGAGCGAGGTTTTAGCACTGCCTCGAAGCATGGGACCATTTATAACAGCAACAGTTTCAATTGGTAAAATGAAGACAGCTTGTGCTCTACGTTACCAGTAAGTAACTGCTTTTAAGTTTAAACTAAATCTATAAATATAAAAAAATACAGCAAACATGCATGCATGTAGGACTGGGAGGAGAGAGAAGAAGTGGAAAGGATAAGTATTTCTGTGCGACAACATGGCTCCATGCAAACAGGGCAAGTGGAACAAAAGCAACACAAGGTACGGGGGCTTCCTTTCAGCTTGTAGCAAGTAGTTTTTCTGTCATGCTAGCTCACCTCAAGTGACAGGGTTACCAACCTTATCCCTGGGCACAGTGACTGCACAGGTAGCCCACCATAAAGCTGATGGCTCTTCCCTTCTGCTCGGTGGTGATGTGGGAAATTGAGTGATTGTAGCTCCATGTAGTTCACCAGAACAGAAACAATAGATCGCTCCTCTACACCAGCCTGTGGTGTACTCCTGTTGCTGTCAGAGCTGTTACAATCTCCCTCTGCTTCCCTCAGCCTTGCCAAGAGACGAAGGGTTCAGCCAGCAGGCCGCTGACATTTTTTCAGAAATGGATGCTGCTCCCTTCACACCTTGAGAGCTTGCTGGAGGTCCCTGCACAAAGGGGAAGCTGGATGCTGCCTTGCTTTGTGCCTGCAAACCACTGCTGGCACCGGCTCTCCGGGCCATCTGCCCTGGGGTCACTTGACAGGGGTGTACCGTGACAGCCTAGAGGGCAAACCCGAGCCCTCTTACAGGGTCAGGGAGTGAGCTAGCTGGCTGTGTTCAGGGACCTGGTTAGATTAACTGGTGCAAGTAAATTTAAGGGCTTCTCATTTCAATTTCTGCAACGCTCTGGCAAACAAGAAGTGCTTGAAAAGAAGAAATGCAAGTCTGCCTCTTTCAGAAAAGGTCTGCCGTTTTATGTGGTGAAGAAAACACCAGAACTGTCCAGCTTTCCTTTTTTGTTTGCTTTTTGAAAGGAGCAGTACCATTTTACAGTTAGTGTCTTCCCTTCTTGAAAGTTTTGCAGCGGTAACCCAGGGAGAGGTGCCTGGAAAGCAGTAACTCCTGCCAGCTTGTGCTACTACAGTAAAACGTCTGGCCAGGACAAGCTCTTGCCCGGACACATTTGCATTCACAGCCAATGCAAATCACCTTGAAAGGCCCTCTGTATTTCTCCTGCCTTCTGGGATTTTCCATTTTTTTTTTTTTTTTTCAGGTTTTAGAAGCAAGCCAATTTGAGAGGGGTTTGAGGCTAATGTAGGAATGAGAATCCCCACTGACAGTCCTGTTTTCACACAACAGTTAAAAACCTTTCCACCACCGCTTCTGCAGAGATCAGCTATAACTCCTACGGGCACTGCTACCTCTGGCCCTGCAGCCCCGAGCCCGGGGAGGCGGGATGGCTCTGAGCCAGGACGGTGTGTTGGAGCCCGAGGAATGCCAGCCTGCCCCATCTCTGGCCACCAAACGACCGCCCGCGTGCTACGCACACAGAAACACAACCGCTCGGAGATCTTGGCAAGCTCTTTCCCCAACCCCGTGAGGTCTCACCAGCCCGTAAATAAAACAGGATTGGGAATAAATTGGAAGTGCACAAAGCCCTGAAGGATGCATTGAGCCTTGTTGTGCAGCAAAAGCAGGGTGCTGATGAATCAAAAGAACCTCACAAAACAGTCCACACTAAGCTTGTGTTATTATTTAAAACAGGTATTATTACTGCAGCGAGGATTTGGTTTAGCTATACACTTAATCAACACACCAATCGTGGTGACTTAGGTCAAATCTTGGTCTTTGTTATGGCTGCCATGCAGGCTACAACATTCAAAACTATTTAGATGCTGGTAGCTTCTGACTATTCAGGTAAGCACTGACATCCTGTTTCTAATTCAAAGTAAGGACTAGTCCAGTGCAGGCTCACTTTGAGGCACGTTATGAAAGTAAGATGCTAAAAAGTACCAGTGCGATTAGAAATTTTAGTAGAAGCAGTAAAATACCTGTTTTAGCCAACAGTTAAAAGATATGAAATGGAGAACCTACGTAAAACTACCTTTTTATTTCACAGAAAATACATTGCATTTAGATGTTAAAATTAATGCAGAACTGCTGCTACTCTCCCATTTCATTCCTTGGTTTTGGAACTCTGCTGACAAACAGTTTCTGAAAAAGTTAAGATCTATAGTTTTTGATTCATAAATGATGGGAAACATTTGGACCATCGGGTGAAACTGCATCTTTCAAGTGCAAACTCTCACAGAAAAGAGCCGCTATCACAAAATCGAGGGATGGTGCTAAAGAACGAGTCAAGATATTGTCCCGAATTGTGCTAATGGACATAGTGACTTGAGATTTATATACGTTTATTAGTTAAATAGCACTCCTAGCAAAATAAACGCTGCTCACACTCTCTTCTTTGGAACCAGATCATGATCTGGGTAGGGGTGCAAGCACTTGGATGTAGGTGGACTACAAGCATTATGTGATTTCTAGCGCAGCTCGAAAACACAGGAATGATGATGGGATAACATTTCTAATGCTTTACTACACCTGCTGCTAAGTTATTTAATAATATCAAAATATGTTGCATCAGCATATATATCGGTTTTAACAATTAAAGAGTTTATTTTGTTTTCCTAACAACATCACTATAAAACTAAGATCTTTCAATAGGTTCTTAACACTCACTGGACAACTTTTACTGCAAGTCATCTCAACTAATGTGACAAAGAGGATGTGGGAACCTTCCAGTAGTCCAGGCTAGGAACCGCCGGACTCCTTCACCTGGGACAAAATTAAGCAGATCGCTCTTTCCACTGAAGCCCAGCATATAGTGTCCAGGGCCTCCAGTTCTAGAGCTGCTGAGCAGGTACAGTGTCTGCCACAAATAACACGCACACAGAGGCAAATAGGAAATTCACCCAGGGACTTTGTTCAAACAAAATAAACCTGCAACACTGGAGATGAAAGAGTAAGGGCTGCAGAGCCGGGGAAGTAGTCACTCTTGGGTTTGCCTGCGCCGCCTTTTGCAGGTTGTATAGGAAGTACTGGAAGCTTACATAGGCGTCTTTGGCCACAGATAAATCAGTCTTGGTATTTCTGAGGAATTGCCACCGTTCTCACCTTCTCACTAAAACTCTGTGACAAAACCAATTTAAATTCAGCAAAAATGAAAGCTACTCTTTTTTTTTTTTTTTTTTTCCTGTAGAGGTAAGTAACCAAACCACCAATCAACCAAAGAATTTTGTCAATGCTAGAGGGCCAGCTGTCTCATATATAGCAGGAGTGGCCACTCTGAAGAATATCTTCAGTACAGTATATGGTCCAATCTGCTTCCTCAAGGGAATTTATTTATTTTTATATATATATATTTACATGTAATACAAAAATGGGGAGTTCAAACTGGTGCCAACTAAAATGGGGCCATCTTAAAGGCAATGAATAGAAGTAGATGTATTGTTCTCACCCATGGGAAAATATGCAAAATAAACACCCCTTTAATACTGTAATTAGTATCTTCTAACTTGATTAGGTAATAATCAGGACCCTTGGATAAAAAGGCTGCCTTTTTAATGTCTGGATTTATGAAATATTTCAGTACAATTTCTGCAGCTCTCCCTTTTCTTCAGTGTTGCAGGTTAACATATTCAAATAAATAAAAATCATGTTTGAATGGTAACTTAAAAAAAATAAACCAAAACCCACTACTTCTTAAATTTAGTTATTTTAAAATAACTTTTGCTGTTTGCTCAGCATAATAAGATTCCAGGAATACCTTTCAAACACAGATATATCAGATAATACCTGGCTATGTTTTAATAAGATGGCTATTCCAGAAGTGAGTGGCCAACGTGATTAGAATTAAATGCACCAAACGCGGAGGTTGATGGAAAGACTCCCTGTTGTTTTCTCTGATTGGTGGGTCACAGTGAACAGAAGCAGTAGCACTACCTCGCGGAACTGCATTAGGCCAGGAAAGGGTTTGTCTTGCATTTCTCCAGAGAGATGCTCAAATTTCCTCAAGCATGTGATTCACTTCCTTATTTCTGTCCTTGCTGAGTGAAGCCATTCAGCCTTTACATTTCAGGTTTTATGGCTGGTCAAAAATATCTGAAAAGTCTGTCCATGTTAACAGTTGTTCCATGGATAATAACCTATTTGTTGGATGTGAGCTTCCTTTACTATGTCCTATACCTCTGTTTAGCAGTGATTTAAAAGTGACTGGATATATTTAAATGCATGGAAGTGAAAGAAAATGCTTTTTTGAAGAGATACCAAACACCATGCTTCAGGGCTCAGACATATCTCTCAGCTGTTAATGATGAGAAAGGATTTAGGTGGAAGACAGATTATCCCAGATCTGCCTACAGGAAGTTTCTCATGCTTTTGTGTGAAACAACAGATACAGATCACTGTCAGAGGGGATACTGGACCAGTCTCAAGCGGGCCAGTATAGCACTTCAACAGCACTAGTGAACTGCATGCCAGACTCAGTAGCAGTACCTGGAACACATACATAAACCTTTTTTATTTTTACTGAAAGCTCACAGAAACTATTATGCTATGTATTTTCCATCTGTAATTTCAAATATTCTGTAATTGTAAAGTGACCTACAAAGGGCCATGCCCTTGAAGACATAGCTATGTGCTCCAACAAGGCACATCTCTAGTCCTGTTAAATTTTTGCTGCTTATGAGGGTTTGACCTCTTAAACAGTACTATAAACAATGTGTCAAGCAATATCAATGCAATGTTGGCTACAGGGATTTGTCCCAGGAATTGTGTTCCTTCTGACACCCAGGCACACACTTTCAAAGCCGGTCGTGTGTTAGGAAAGACCTGGACATCATGAACAGGCACTGGTTTTTTTGTAGATCCAGTGAAAGCAGTGAACCCTGGCAGGGTCATCGACTGGAACAAGACTAAGCTATTACTTTCCACTTCATGAGCTATGGCCAGGTTTCAAAAGGAGGTCAGTCTCGGGGAGTATCCAGCGTATCCCAGATACCCAGTGTTACACAACCAGCCACCATTTGCAAGATACTTTAGCAACAGTCTTGACTGTCACATCTAGAATAGCCACAATTAATCAGAAATTTTGCTGGCAAACTGTATCGGTTTGGAAGTGGGCTTCTAACAAGGATACATGCTAAGCATTGAAATTTTATGCAACTTTGAAAACAGCAGCAACAACAAAAATATCCACACCAAGCAGTCAACACAGTAGTAAATTATTTTAACAACAGATATGCAAAAAGTTTCATTTGTTCAGAAATCCATAATTGTCTTTGTACCCTGTTACTCCACTCTTTGCCTTATAGCTTGATTTTCAGATGCGCAACTAATCAAGAACACTGGGCACTTTTAGATCCCACTGGCTCCTGCAAGAGCTTGCAGGTGTTCAGCCTACCTAAGAAACACTGAGTGCTTGGCAGAGTGTGGCCCCTGTGGATGTCTGACAAGGCTTTTGCCCTCTATTTTGCTTGACCTCAAGCTTTTTTGATGAAGAGGGTTTGTTCAGTATCTTGGTAACTGTTACATAAATTTGCTGGCATTTGCGTTATATTTCATTAAGCAGCACCAGTTAGTTAAATGATATGAAAAAAATCCTATAAGCAGTTCCAAAATGCTCAGCTCGGTGCACAACTTGTCTGTCAAAATGGTTGTTATCCAGTTCCATAAGCCTCATGTATGAAATGCTGTAATCTGAAACCGTTTTCAGAATAACAGAGTAATATACCAAGTACAGTTTCCAATCCCTCCGCCCGAGCAGCTTCTCTGACACTGAAGAGAAGCCACTACAATGAGCCAAACCACGAACTGTCCTACTAACAAAGGGGTGGGGAAGAGGGCAAATATAACAGATCTTCATGTTAGTGAAAATAAAAGGTACTAATCCAAGGAAGCACATAGACCTGTATTCAGATGCTTTCTTGAATTTGGACTTTTAAGAAAATGTATTTGCAAAGAGGCTCTTGGATATAAAGCACATCTGCTTTACTGATGTGTGTCTCATGAGCTCAGTTTGAACTCACCCTGTAGGTCAAAAGTGACTCTGGACTTTTTTTACCACATCTATTTTTTTTTTTTTAAAGGATTTCAATATAAAAAAAAAAATAAAACGGACTATAACAGGGAAATGAGCTTTATAGATTTAATCCCCCTGTTTTTAAGGGCTACATTTCAGGACTTAAGACTTATTTCCTGATACCTTAGCTTGTACCAAAGTAAGAGGAAAGGTGAATAACACACAGTGCTGCAAGTCAGGCTACCTGTCCTGCCAGTAAATATTTGAGTCTCCCTAGATTCCTCTAGCAGTTAAAGTGCAGGAAGCCACTCCATTACTTGATTGTATTCATTCACTGCTTAAGAAGCACAGTATCACTTCCATCCTTTGAGGGCTTGTTGGTTTCAAGTCTTTCTTGGAGAGAAAACTTCTACAGTTTCTGTTCTTCTGAAAGGACCTCAGTCATTTTGCCAGCACTGGGGCAGGTTTTCTGTTTGTTGGGTTTTTTTTATTTTTGTTTGGTTTTTTTGTTTTGTTTTGGTTTTTTGTTTTTTTGTTTGTTTTTTTGTGGATTTTTTTTGGTTGTTTTTAATTGGGTTTGTTTTGGTTTTCTAATTTGTTTTGGTTTTTTAAGACTGGTTAAACTGACTCTTAAAATTTTATCTTATGGCTGAGGAAACTCCTGTGACAGAACTGGGATGAAGACCTCTACCTCCCTTCCCAAGTTACTCCATATAACCTCCAGTTGTTGGAACTAGAACTCCAGATGTACTTAGTCTCTAGACACATATACAAGAACTTGATTAACAGCCAGGACTAAGGAGTCTAAAAGGGCTGGTGCCAGCTTTACCACAGCCTTACCACAGCCAACCTTGTTTTCCTCTTCACTGCTTTTTTCCCTTTCACACTCAGCTACTTCTGTAATTCTGTTCGTGCAGAATCAATATCAATTGTATTAATTTGGGCTTATGTTCCTCCTCAGGTGCAGCAGCCAAGTTAGAAAGGGAAACATTAGACACTGTTGCTTTTAACCCACAGGAATAACAGCTTAAAAAAAAAAAAAAAAAAAAAAACAACCCAAGGCAAACAAATAAAAAAAAACCTCCACAAAAAACCCAAACCAGCCCCCCCTCAAGGTTTCTCGCACAGTAAAGTTCTTGCTCCTTGAAAATCTAAACCACTCTTTGCTAACTTGACACTTTCCTTGACAGAATCACATTAAGTGAAATTCATTGATGATTATGCTAACATTCAGATTAATAATTCCCCCAGTAAATTTGATTCATACTTTTTACAGCTTTTTCATTTCAAGGAGGTAAAGCATAATTGGTTCATTTGCAGTAAGTGATAAAAGCAAAATCCTATGTTAAGTAAAACAGTTTTCAAGCATTTTTCTGAACATTTTACCACAAAACTACTGAGCAAGTAAGAAACACCTTATTCTCCACACCCAGATGAGTAGAATATTGTTTTACCTACCATCAGCAGACAGATGAGCATGCCTTTCATACGCTTTGTTTATTTCTAGAAAAGCTTTGTTCAAAACATTTTCCAAGTTCTCCTCCTCAGCAAGAAATTCTCTGGAAGCAAACAAGCAAACAAAAAAATTAAACTTCTTTCCAATAAATCTGTATCTTGATCAACCTCTTCCATAGCCTTATCTCCTCCCTGTATACACTGAATATTGATGGATTTCAGTGAAAAGGTAATATGGTTTTACTAATGACCTGCACTGGAAGCACAATCATGTAATTTCTCAGTTAGATAAAACTCCTCTTCCAACACCCAGGGATGTGACACAGAGACACAGAAGAGCGTAAGCAAGCCGTAGGTCAGCGATCACAGTGACCCCATTTGAAAACAGTCAGTTCACACCCCCTCTATGTTCCCAGTCCTTTCCTGGAAGGTAGGTACAACCATATTTTCCTCTCTTCTCTCTGTGGGCTTGCTCAGTGGGGCAGGCACCATGCAGAATAAGTAGTTCATAGCATGTCCAGCGTTCCTGCTGTCCGCTGGGGCTAGGTGGCTATATAACCTAGGAGGTTTAGCGACAATGTATGACCCACCGGTTCCCTTGCAGCCCTAAGGAATCTCTACTGTAATTCATTTGACACCCATTCACTTGATGCACACTTACTTAATATATTTTTCCATGTACTTATGACAGAAGTCCGCTGCTGCTGCCCCGCCATGTCCATCATAAACTGCAAAGCACAGGACATCCTCTGTCAGCTGAGCATAATCAAACCGGTCTTCATTTTCCTTACGCTTCCCGATATGGCTAGCGCAGCCCACGTTGGCCAGGCTGACTTTGGGAATTGGCTTCCCATACTTTATGCTTGGTGGGAGGAGAATAGGTTCGTCAATGCGATTGTCCCAGATGCCAAAGGTGTCCCATGTGGTAGGTCGCCCGCTCCCGTCTGGATCAAAGCGGGAAGCACGGCGCTCGGAGGTGGAGCTGTAGCAGGCGGCTGCGGGACGCTTCTCGTCTTGCAAGAGGCGGGACGTCAGCAGAGCTCTCCTTCTTACTTGATACCCTCCACTTCGTACCAAATTAATTAAAGTAGCTGTTGACATAACTTGTCTTCACACAGGTTTGTAGGAATAAAAGATCGGGAATAAAAGATGCGCAGCTGCTGGAATGTCTTCGAGAACAGTGAGAAAACTGATCAGGAAACAAGAAGCACAGGAAGGGGAATTTTCAGTTACATCATTCAGGAAACAATGTCACCCTCAGAGCCTGCTGATCACACATAGCACAGCACTACCTAGAAGAAACTACAGAGCCATCTTCATGACTCACAGAGAACAATCCTCCACAGACCAGCTCACTTCTAACGGGGAGTACTGCAGATAGATCAAGGTAAGGCATTTCTGCTGGCCACCTGCATAATGACATCCTGTATTTTCAAAGGCTGAAGGGGATGTGATGGAACAAATGAGAGTGAAAATGACTTTGCTCCATGTCAGCTAAAATAGGAATATGTGAAAATACAAGGTCAGGTCATGAAAATGAGCTTTTCATGCATACTTTTCAAACAACCGATGAAACATCCACACTGTGGCTCCCAGGGGGGAAAGGCAGGAGAAATATATTTGCTTAGATTTTAAAGTTTTTTCCTCTGCACATAATATTAAATTCTGTCACACTTATTGAGGACTTGAAAAATACTTTTCAATACAGACCTGCAAAGTGAATTGTGATTTTCTCAGGCTACCTAAGAATGACCACTAAGAGTATATCCGTGGACATACGCAATTGCACACACAAACTCTCCCCTCCCCACCCCCCCCCCACCCCCCCCCAAACCCTATGCAGCTATTTGCTGTTTTGTCTGGCCTGAAGTTCTCCACCACTTAACCCTGAAATAGGCTCCCTTGGCTAACGCAGGCAACCAAGATCTTCTACTGGCCTCTCAGATGTCATTTCCAGCCCAGATAAATTAAACACACCACTTGGCTCAGCACAGATAAAAATTCAATAATGATGATTCATCTAGCATGCTGAAAAATGTAGAAAGATTGGCTTATGTAACCTTTTGTAGAGTAACACACAACCCGATGAAAATCCAACAGCCTGGAATGCAGTCTGTAAGTAAGTCCATACTGTTGCACAGGAGTAATTTGAACTGGACCATGAGATTGCTGTAACTAACCACACAATTTTAAGTAAGGGATTTCTAACTTAATTGCTCAAAGTTTGCTGAGAGGTAGTATATGCCATAATAAAGGTGTTCAAAATATGCAGGCTCACAGTGAATGACAAAAAAAAAAATAAATATGGCAGGGTGATCGGTGATCTGCCATAATAGAGCAGCAAAGAGCAACATATGTACCCCAGAGACGCTGTAATTCTGGGCTGAAGTGCCTTGCCATTGTACTTTCCTCCGGCCAATCACAACTGTATCTGCAAATCTGAAATATTTGTTAAAACTACTTTTTTTAATTACTATACAAAACCAGGTGCTTGCAAAAACACACAGTCAAAGGTAATTTAGTAAGTGGTTGCTGTAGCAGAAAATGGCTGTGACATGCGCTTTCTGAAGGCCTCCATTAAAAAGCTCAAGGCATGCTGCTTTGGATGCTCTTCATTTACCTAGCATGCAATCCTTTGATGAAGAAAGGTTTCCTTACTTAGCACTTAGAGAGTAACTGTCAACTTGATAAAAGGCCAAGCATGGTGCTGGAAATCCCTGTCATTGCACCAGATGAATGTGGGCTAGGCCACCAGGCAAATGGGACTGTGCACCTAGAATTTTAAGATTTTCCATTTTATTGTGGGGTGATGGCAACATCACATCCTTATTTCAGTATGCTTACAGGTAAAAACTGATTTACTTGAGTTGCTTTTTCTTTTCTGTTACCCTTGATTTATAACAACAGTATGCTAGCTTCCTTCTGTGAAACGTGGCGCGACCAAGTTGAAAGCCTGCCAGTTAACAAAACCCACACTTGGTTTCACTTCTGTCAGCTTGAAATGAGAACATGAGATGTTAGCTATATTTAGATATTCCCCAGGATCCACAGCATGAACCAGAGGATTAATCCAATATCCCAAGCTAATTAATGTGTTTGTTCCCTATCAAATTCAACTCTCAAAAGGCCTTTTTTTCTAGGCAAGTATAAGTACTGACAACAGTTTTCCTTTTCTAGTGTCTCTGCAAGTCAGGAGTAGGAACATGATTCTTTAGTTTCTGTGATGTAAATAGTTATGCTTTTAGTTGGACATGTAACAGTCTGTGCTTTCCTAACTGATATGTTTGCAAACACAGGGCAAGCCTACCTGGACAAAACAAGACTGAGGTATTGAAAAGGGGGGCACTGGTACTAAAGCCAAAGTCCAAGACAGACAGTCGTAGATGGAAATCTGTTTTGAGGTGCTCCACCTGATCCTGTTAATCTGTACACATTTAACTTAAACAAATAGTTCCTGCAGACAGACACTGAAACACAATGCTTAAAGCAAATGAAGTTCGTGATTAAACAGCAGTTCAAGATGCATGGTGCCTCTTTTACAGGCTGGCTGCTTCTGGGCAGATGGAAATTTTCCAGATTGTGAGAAAAGGGGGGAGGAAAAAAAAAAAAAAAACAAAACTAACAAAAACCAACCCGGAAGAAAGAGAAGGCAAGCCTGCTGCCCCAGGGGATTAAACGTACTTAAAAAGGAATTTAAAACTCTGAACACGTCTAAGTGCACTTGCCTTGCATGCGTTCCAAACCCCACAGATGCGGGCAGTACCGTATGTCCCTGTACGTTAAGCTTGTCTTAACGCAGAGGGGCTTTGAAATCTGTGACGACATAACCTCACCCCCCTGCCTGGATGATAAACTGCACAGACCGCAGCGATTTAAAGAGGTTTCTGCTGCTATTATTACGAATTAGTAATTCCCAGTAGACTGAGCCAGGCGGGGTTTATTCTGCGTGTACCAAAGCCGTGCAACTCTCGGCGCTTGCCTTGGCGTTAGGCAGCGCCGCCTGAGCCTCTGACTAAAGACTGAGGAGGAAAGACAGCCCAGGTCTCCTCTCTAACACCAGCCCCCCCGTGACGGGAGAGGTGTCTCCGCCACGGCCTTTTCCACACACACACACCCACACCCACGGCCGCGGCGAAGGGGTCGACAGGGAGAGGTGGGGGGAGCGGCGTGTGCGGCCTCACGGCGGGTCGGGCAGGCAGAGCGGGAAGAGGAAAGGCAGAGGGGGGAGGAAGGAGGGGAAGAAGGCGGGTAAGCACGAAACCCCACCACCACCCCCACCGGAGACCACTGGGTTCCGCCGCTTTCCTCCTCCCCGCCAGAACGGGCAAGCAGCGAGCCCCGGGTCCGCCTCAAGCTGGGCCGCGAAATAGGGGCCCCAGCGCTAAACATCGGCAGGAACCCCCGGGAGAACCGGCGCCGGGGTGCGAGTGGCCCTTACCTCTTCCTCCTCCTCCTCCTCCTCCTCCTCCTCCTCCCCCGAGCAAGCCTGCCGAGGCGCGGGCACCACTGCCGCCCGCTGTCTTTTCCTCCCCCCTCGGCCCCGCCTCGCCCCGCCGACCGGCCTGGAGCCCGCCGGGCCCAATCGTGCGGCGCCAGGGGCCGTCCCGCCTCAGCCCAGCCCGTCCCGCCGCCCCCAATGGCGGCCGCCGCGCCGGCCGAGCCTCTCCCGCCGCCCCCGCCCCGCCCCGCCCCGCCCGGCCGTTGGCCCTGAGGGGCCGCCATGGCGGCGGGGGGCGGCCGGCTGTGGGGCGAAGCGCTGAGGGGGCTCTCGCTTCTCTTCGTCCTCCCCCCCCCCCCCAACCCTCTCCTCGCAGGGCAGAGGGAGCGGCGCCTTCCTCGCCCCGCGGAGCCGGGAAAAGCCCGGCTGCAAGGACAGGCAAGGCTGTGCGGGGGAGAACACGGGGCTCTGGAGGGCGCGGGCGGGGGGGGTCTTCGAAAAACGGGTTTGTGTTGTTCAGGGAAAAACATGGCGATAGATTTAAAATACGGCTGTTCCTGTGAGGAGGAAAAGAAAAAAAAAAAAAAAACAAAAAAAAAAAACAAAAAAACAACAAAAAACAAAACAAAAAAAAAAAAAGCACAACCCTGCCGCCTCCTTCTTACTTGACCCGTGTCCAAACGGCAGTTTAAAGAGATCATTTGCATGGCGCGGTGCTACCGGCACGGCCTTCGACCTTTGGCGCGATTTGGCAAATCGGATGGTTCTAATTGCAAAAGCCTTTGAAACACCTTCCCACTGACCTCACGCTGCCCGCTAGAAACCGGAGTACATGAAAACAAACACCTGAAGAGAAAAATGCAAGCTGAGTTTCCATAGGAGCTTAAGAAGGTCACTGTCAGGTTTATCCCAGATATTAATGAGGTAAGGAAGTTTCTGGTGTTTTGGTTGGTTGTTTTTTGGGGTTGTTTTTTGGGGGTTTGTTTGTTTGTTTGTTTTAATTTCAAGAGCATTATCTCCTCTAACTTTTCTTTGTGATTGACATTACCTTATAAGAAGCCCTTGAAAACGTGATACTGGACCTTGTAGGTTTACAGACTGACGATTTCAGTTTCCCAACTAGGGGCTGCACAAGGGCACTGATATTTCAGGCAACCAAGTTCTTTGGGTCCAGCCTATGAAAACAGATTCTTAAAAACTTGGACCTATGTATCTAGTGCTGTTATTAGGTGGCATCCTAATCTGTCAGAGCTGCCATCGATATTTATCATCTACTGCAATGTCATCTTTACTGTGTTCTGAACAAAGCCTGATGTCAGGTCTCCCTTCTGCATTCAGTAGGGGACAGCTAAGCAGTCCCAGTGCCCGCTGCACAATGTGCCTTGACTGCAAAATCCTTCGGCTTCTGGCCAGAAAAGCAGCAAGAACACCCCACAGAGCTCTCACTGTATGGGTCTACTTGTAGAAGAAGGGGTTAGGTAAGCCTGTTAGCAGCTACCAAGATTGTTCTGGTTTCCAGATGTGTGGTGTCCCACTCAGCATTTAGAATGTAGTTTGATGCTGGGAGTCTTTTGGGGATAGCAATACTGTCGTCTGTTACTGCAGGTTGTTCCCTGGTTCCCGTTTGTCCTCCATGAGACAAAGGAAAAACAATGCTCTGTGGAAACCAGGTCTCCTGGCAGTGGGCAAAGAGCGGCAGTTGTCCTGAGCAGAAGTGATCCATACAGAAGTGTATCCAAACTAGCACAGTGATTTTTCAAGAATGAAAACAGGATGTTACCCTATAAAACAGGTATTGCTGTTTACAGAGCGGTACCAGCAGGGGCTTCCAGAAGTGTCGGGGACCTATATGGTATTAGGCACAAGTGCTGAGAAACAATTTCTGCCCTTGATAGTGTGCAGTGAAGGCCAGCACAGAAATTATAAATATAAAAAAAAAAAACAACATCCTGAGCCTTCATGCGAACTGGAACTACTCTTACATTTACAGGGCTTTGGAAGATAAGTGGGAGGCAGCTGAAGAGGCAGCAGCAGGAATTTGAGGTTCCAAGAAAAAAGAGGCAGCAGGCTTAAAGATGAGGCCAGGGTACAACAGCAAGAATCTGCAGGGGACTAAGTCGGGGCACGGGGCCGGGGGGAGGGGCTGCAGTGCAGCACTTGGTGCTTTGAGGGGCCTCTGACAGCACTCAGAGGACAGGAGGCAAAAAAAATCAGAAACAATAAGTGCAGGAACTTGTACTATGCAACATTTGGTTTTGACTGCAGTTAATTTGGACTTTCCCCTTGCATTTTTTTCCCTAAAGGGTGAGTTAAGTTTTCTGGATTCTAGCTCTCCTAAGAAGGATTTTCTGCTCCTGCAAGGTTATCTTTCTTGCTCTTTTCTGTGTTACTGCCTCTGGTTTTGCTTCTCCATCATGTTCCTGACCTTTCCCTCCCCTGCCGCCTGCTCTGCTTTATTTTGTTCTCGTTTTCCTTCACAATTTGCACATTTTTTTTCTGTGATTATTTCTCTCCTGCTACCTCTCTTCCCTTTTTTACTCATTCTTCTTCCCTGCATGCTTCCATCTTCGGATTCTAAAACCTTAACTGACTCTCTGACTGGAAAACAAACCAAACTACCAGGGGCAGGGGGGAGGTTGGTTGCCGGTGTGATAGCATGCCGCCCAGCGTTGTGAGTAAACACACAGCAGCTGTGATTCTTGGGTGGGTGGAAAAGAAATGTCCATTGTAATCTCCATGTATTATATCTCAGATCAAGCTAGAAATGCAGAGCAAACTAGTTCTGAACACTCTGCTTTTCTCACCAGCACAGTGTGCTGTGCAATGCCTGAATTACAAGTGGGAGCATGTACTTTTTCACCATGCTTTCTATCCTCATAAGTGAAAGATCATTCCCTGTGGTACACTCCTAGCTAATCATCAATCTGTACTCTCCAGGTTTGCTAGCAGATCAGAAGAGACCATAAAACATCCCGTGGTTGTGGTGAAGGGAAGCAGCCACCCTCTTAACACTGACCTTCAAATATTTGCCAATAGCTATCAATTTGCAGGTCACTTTTCAAAGGCAGTCCCTTCAAAATCAAGTGAGCTGATGTGGGAAAGGCACGCACGGCCGCTGTCAGACCTTAAGTGCACTGAGAAGCTCCACAGGCTCTAGCCCTGCTGTGGGCATGTGGCTGTCTGTGCTCATGGCCAGCCCTGGCATGGCAACAGCTGTCAGTACGGACCTCGGGGCTGGGAAAGGAGCTGCAGGAAACCTTGTTGGAGATCTCTGTCCCTTGGCTCGGGAGCCAAATTTAAGCTCAGGCCCTTGTCTGACCTATGCCATAGGTATGCCCGTGCCTGGCTGTGTACCTCGCTGATCCCGTGCTTCCTCGTAACTTCCTGGCTTGACCTCGAGCCTGTCTTGTCCTTGTGGTCAGGCTTGGTGGGCCTTGGACCATAGCTTACCCCTGTTGCTGCCACCAGCTGGCCTGGCTCTCCTTGTTTGGGTGCCGTGGGGCTGTCAGTGAGGTCCCTGCCTGCCTCGCCAAGCCTGCCCCAGCTTGCTCGCACTGGTGGAACAGCCATGCTTCTCCTCGCTGACAAGGACTGCACACAATCCTCAGGGTGTGGGTGAAAAGTGCCTTCCTTCTTACAGAGAAGTGGGCTTTTTGGCGCCCTTGCCAGGTATTGCCCTTGCATAAATAATAATAAGTGTTAACATCGAAACACGACTAAGAAAGCAAATAAGCGTTCTGATTGGAAAGAAGAAAGTGAAATCGTATTATTTTTGGCACCGTTCAAATGACATGCAATGCCCAGCTCTCAAACTCATGATCTATACTTTTATGGGTGATGTGACATCCCTTGTGGGCTTAGACTTTAGGATATGATAGTCTTGTTTCCTCTGGTTATCTTATGCAACAAGTTGCTCTCTCGTTTGGGACCCATGACTTACACAGAAACAGAAGGCATTCTGAAACAGGATGGTTATGGTGCAGGCTGAGCAGATTCACAGGAGCACCCAGATCAAACTGCTGGCTCTAAAGTAGTTCTCACTGGTAGGAAAGACGGGGATCAGCTGCATGTCTGTTGCCACAGGACTCCTCTCAATTCAGACGGCATGGCTTGCTTCTGTCCAGGTAAAGATGGAAAATAAACTCCTATATCTAAACACTGTGCAGTTTCTGGGAAGGTCAGCTCAAAATCATGCCTAGAGGATTAGCTGGAGTCATTAAAACAAAAGTCTGGTTTCTGGACTTAGTGATCCCAGGTGTGGTAAATTAATCTTGGCTGGCCACCGGGTGCCCACCAAGCTGCCCTATCACTCCCCCTGCTCAGCGAGCGGTGCCCTCACTGCTCAGCAGTAGCCAAAACACTGGTGTGTTTTCAGCACGGCTCTAGCTACCAATAGAAAGCACAGCACTATGAGGGCTACTGTGGTTAAAGTTAACTGCATCCCAGCCAGTCCCAATACACAGTGTTATCTGGAAGTAAAAAAAATGGTTGTTTATCCCAAAACTTTAAATGGCTTTTGAGTATTCAGGCAGCTTATTTGGAAACAGAAACAGTTTTTGCTGAGCTTTTTTGCTGTTAGTGAAGAATCTGTCCTCTGAAATGCAGGGAAAAGTGAGCTAGAACAGAATGTTCCTAGCTCTTCACATTGAGCCTTTGGCATTCTCCATTTTTAGCTATGCAAATTCAATTTGTCCTTGAACTTGAACCATTGTGAAGTATCGTAAGTTAGAAGTTGTGATACTTCAAACCATTAGGATGCCAGACATGGTAACTTTGTATTAGAAATACATAGTTGAAAAATATGATCTCTGGAATGGTCGCACAGCAACAGAGCTGATACTGTGACTTCACAGTGACGTGACTTGAGTCTTACAAAGATAATATCCCAGATCAGAATTCAGTCATCTGTCTGCTGAGAAGAAGCACAAGCTTATTTCTATCTTAATGATTAAAGAATATTCCTAATGACCTTTGAAGAGATGTTGTAATCTGACAGCAGGAAATTATTCTGGCTTTTGAATATGTGACAAATATTTTAAAGCAGGCTTTTAAGTGGTTTCCGTAGCAACCACTCTTCACTAGAGATGCGATTAAGTATCATGCTGGATTTGGATCAGCTTTGCAATATTAAAGACACTTGTTTAAAACGCTGCCAGGCCACGCGCAGTTCCCCCGGATCACAGAGGGAAGCTTGCTGCCTGCCAGACTTTTTTTCCAGGCATGCGAGGCCACACCTCTGGGTGGTGAGCTAGCATGGGCGCCCTGATGGGTGGAGGAGCTGGACCCGCTCACTATTGGCTGCTCTCTATTTCTCATTCTCCTACCCCTCCACCCCCCCACCCCAAGAAAATACTAGTGACTTGTGATTCAATTTCAAAGAGGTATCAAACACAGCTCTTAACTGAGCGCGGCTCATATTCTTTTTTTTTTGTCTTTTATCTCCAGCGTCTGGGCATCAGATAATTGGTCCTTCAATCCCATATTCAGTTCTTATGATCAACAGGAAGGTAAAGCCATTAGCAGGGTTAATGGTGGAGAATCTGGGAAGTGTCATTAATATCAAGAAGCGCCTCTCCTGCTCTCCACCAGAGCTTTGCAGTTATTTAATCCGATTCAGATTGCCTTCCCTATTTGCTATGGACATCTGGGATTTATGGCAACTTTAGCAGAACTGACCCGAGGATCTTAAAGAAAACAAATGCTGCTCAGGGGAAATGTGTTTAACAGTGGTCCTAACGGAGGGCATTCGCCCGGCGTTTGTCATCAGCCCTGTGAGAGCCTGATCGGATGCCCCAGCAGAGTAATTTTCTCCTGGTGACGTCTCACTTTGTGCCTTTGTTATCTTGGGATGTGGTTGCTGCAAAGCCTCTATGTGAGGCTTCTCTGAAACTGTTGAGAGGCGCAGAGGCAGGCCTAGAGTAGCACGTGAAAGCTGCCCGCCATGCCCGCAGCGTGTACGGTGCTGAGTACAGTGAGTTCTTTCGCCCTGCCCTGGCACCCAGGAGGTCTGGGTTTCTGTGTGCAGTGGGAAATGCCACGTCCTACCGACAGACTCCCAAATGAATTAATCAGGGTGTTGCCCTGGGAGACAGGCAGCTTCTCTGGCTTCTGTGCCTGAGCTAAAATTGGAGCGGGCATGCAAGAAGGAAGAAGAGGGACTGCCAGTGCCTGACAGTCACTGCATTGTTGGTCTGAAATAGCTCATGTCTGTTGACCTTCAGAGCTGGACTGTGGTGGCCTTTTTCAGGCGACTTGGAAAATAGGGTGATAAAGTGAGGTAATCCCTGACAAGCATCCTTTAAAAGTAAGGGTACTCTGATACTTGTGTTTCTTTAGGTAAGCCTACTCTGCAGAATATCTTGCTTGCCCATTCTTTTCTTCCTGTAATTCTAAAGAGGAAGGCTTTTCTAGAACTGACACTGAAAAAGAGAGTGCTTTTTGACAGTGGTTGCTACCTTGTATTCATGATTTTGAAGGCTGAAATCAGCAGAAATTTCTGAAGGTGGAAATATGCAGAAGTCAGCTCCTGTGTGACCCAGTCTGTGGCATAATTGTATTTCACAGCAGTTTTTATTTCCTGTTGATGCTTAGTTGTTAATACAAACACTGCCTGCTATTATGGAAAGGGTTACTACTTCATCCTAAGAGCAAATAGGAAGAACAGGATAACAGGCATTCAGCATTATGAATCCATACCTCTTCTATAAGACAAAAACTGAGGCGATATTCAGGTTAAAATATGTGTTTGTAAAAAAACCAAAAACACAGGGCCTGCATGCAAAATGAAATCCTGTGGCATTGTTTTGTAATGTAGGTGATTTCATGAAATCTTGTGTTTACAAGTAAACCTGTCAGCTTATAGTGTCTGACCCAAAGTAATACGGAAACTTCTGAGTATCTTCGTGTTGACTTAGTGGGGACTGCACTGGGACCACAGGAAGGTGGATGTGTTCAAAATCACATCCAGCGTTGAACAAAAACTTCATCAGTGTGTAATCTTTGTTTCAGTCATGAGAGCATCACATAGAAATACTATGTGTAGGTAACATACTGCTGCATTCAATGTGCAATCTTTGCCTACTTTGCCATCTACCTTCTGTATGGGCCCATTACAGTTAGTGGAAATGTGGGGTACGGCGTAGTTCCTGTGATTCTGCACTTACAGACTATCTGCAGCTGACATCTTCTGCCATTCTTGGTTATTTTAAAACTCAGGTCACTTCAGTGCAGGAATCAGATGTTTTTTCCTGGGGGACAAGGTGGATGGCAGGGACAAACAGCTGGATGCACACGGAGTAAGGATGCTGAGAACAACCAGAACTGAGTCTACCACCGAGACAATATTTATGGAGAATTGCACTTTTTACTGATTAAGGTAAGATGCATAAACTGGTTACTTTGTCAGTTCAGCTGCAATGATGAGCTCTTTTTCTCAGATGTCAGAGATGTGAAGCATTAACTTAAAGCTCCTTCAGTGAGATGACTGGAGCCTGTGGCTGAGTCCTCGCTTTACTTCATAGTCATGGCTTTATCTCTGCTTCTCATCTGCAAAGTGGGGGCAAAAAGACTTCTCAACATCAGTGGGAGTGTTGCAAGAGTGATCACAGGAGCAGTTGTGATGAGTTCAGCAAAAGCTGGACTAACTCCTGGGCTGGCTGTTGAGGGGAGTACCGCTCCACGAGCAGTGTGAGGCTGAGCAGCCCACTTGTTACTGCATTGCAAGTAACTCCATGTATTCATGTCAGCGTTGTGCACAGCTAGCATGAAGCTTTGTGGAAGTGTCAGGGCACCTTCATTGCCACTGTTGGTTTCCTTCAAGAACTGAGGAGGATTACCGGGTGCCCTGTCTACTGTGTTTGGGCTTCCTGGAGCACCAACATTTGTGCTGATCCTTCCCTGGTGCCCACTGACACAACAGTGTCCCAGCCTTCTCCAGCTGCGGCCACACAGACCACCCTTCCCTGTTAGAAAGGGATAGTGTCACGTGGAAAAAACTGACAAAAAGAGCCACTTTCATTCTGATGGATGACAGTGAGCAGGCATTAGCTTGGGGTGTATTCCAAGTGGCCTTTGATGCAGTGCCAAGGACAGTGGTCTTCCAGGTCTTCAGGGTGTTATGGTAATTGTGGTAGTAAGTAACAATGCTTGTTGATGTGCAAAAGAAATCCTGAAAATGTTTCCAAACTTGAAAGGATTTGCTGATGGCCAGGCCTAATGATTGAGCCCCATGCAGTTAGTTACTTTTCGATGGAAACATTTCACCATTTTCAGAAGATCAGTTTCATCTTCAAAAATGCATCTTCAGCTTCAAGTTCAAATCCCCCACTGACAGAAGAGAGCACACGGCTCAGTTGAGACCAACAGGACTCCACCCCCTTACCTCAGCAGTAAATAAATCCTGCTTCTGCCTTTTCACCTAATCTCTTCAGCACAAAGAAATGAATGATATTGTCAGCATTTGAGGGAAAAGGCCTGTTTAATTTTCAGGGCAACACAATACAGGGAGTGGAAAGAGATAATATTTGTGTTTAGCTTTGTTCAAGGAGTGGAAGTGCCATGGTTACATTGCTAAATGTCACACTGCTTGCTCTGCTTGCATCTATTCACCTGAGCAGGATTAACTATGTAGGATGATATTTAGGAATATTATTTGAATATTTTCAAGACCAGGTGGAGGGTAATTCAGAAACCAGTGTTGAAAAGAGTGGCACATACCATAGTAAGTATGGATGAAAACAAAAATGAAGAATGGCTCCTCAATTCTTGGCTCTGCCATGACAAGAGGTGGCAGAGCTTACATGGTTTTTGCATCTAGCTAAGGGAATTCTGATTTCGAGGAGGTAAGCACATTCTGGTTCAGTCTGTCACCTATTGTGTTCTAACTCTGGGCAAGCCTGGCCCAGATGTAGTCCTGAGTGAACACCCAAACACTGGAGGTTATTCACTCAGTTGGGAAAACCTGGGTAAACAGAAGCATTTCCTCACAGGTTTTCACAGGTCCTAACTCCACATGCCTTGGATCGCTGCTTCAGGAGACCCTCCTGAGCTGTTTGGCTGTCTGTCTTCACCTTCCAGGTGAGTCATTTTGTGCAGTTGCATTTGTGCATGATTATGTTCTCTCTCACATTTGGGGTTTCAGGTTGCCTTCAGCCTGTATTTAAGATCTCATCTTTTTCTACACCACCGTGAAACAACTATTTCTCTAACCTGGCTTGATCCATGTATTGAAATAAGCAAAAACGTGTTTTATGCTTGGTGCCACAAATAAGAAAATGCATGAATGGGTTGGCCCACATTCAGGTAAGATTTTGGAGAGGTGCAGGATGTATGGAAGTGCAACCTTTCTTCAGCAAAACACAGTAGTGTCAGGCACATCCAGTGTATCTTGCTGAGCTCTTAAATATAGTGCTTTTATTTAGTGCTTGAGTCCACAAGCCATGATGCTTCTTCAACAGTATACTTCCATGGGGAATTAGTGACACTCAAGTCATTAAAAAAACACCTCCTGTTTCTTTCTAGAATTTTCTTTTCTGGGGAGCATGGGGGAAGTCATCTCATAGCAGTAAAATCAATGGGAATTTTCTTATTGACACCAGGAAAGTTTTTTACTGTAGAACACAACCAGCCAGGATGCTCCATGAAAGTACATTTAACTTCTGTTAAATCTCCCCCCCACCTCTAGCCCATTTCCTTCCTCCCTGCAATCGTTGTGCTCCGTTGGACAGTTGCCTCTTACACAGAGCAGGGTGCATTGCGGTGGCACCCTGCCACCACCACCGTTGTCTGAGGATTTACAAGGTCTGGTTTTAAACACCCTTGCAACAAACAGAAACATGTACGCACACTGCTTCTGTTTTAACAGCTGTCAATCCTAAATCACTGCGTGAACAGTGAATGAGAAGCTAGAGTGCATCTTTTCCAATCTGCTGCTTTAGGTCTGGGCTGGAAGTGCAGCGCTGGAGTGGAGGATCCTTTCCGCACGCTGCTGCGTCCCTAAGCAGACTCCGGGCAGCTGAGAAGGAGGCCTGGCCGTTCCCCAAGGCATCTCTGCAGGGGCTGATAACCAGTACTCCAGCCACGCAGGAGACCTGGACCTTGGCTCTTCATTTCAGGGGCACCAAGACCAGAAGACCAGCTGTTAGGGTCACCATTGATACCCTATTCAAGGTAAGTTGAGTTGTCTGCTGTTTCTGCAAGATTTATACCTCCTCTTCTCCACAGGCACCTCTTGTCTCTTTTTGTTTGGCCTCTGCACTGGCTGAGGCCTCCGCTTACCACAGCAGTCACAATGTACCTGTTTCCGAATTTAGTGTATTACTGTGTGAGCCTTTGGAAAAGCAGCATTCTTAGACTGTCTTTTAAGTAACTAATTTTAAATGGCATGTTAATAAATGTTGCTTACTACTTTTTCGCCACATAGGAACACTTGACCTTTGCACAAAATACATTCAAAATATTTGACAAAGCCATGCAAAATATTATCCTTATTTCTTACTGGAATTTCTAAAACATCTGACTAGAAACAACATTAAGGGAGTTGGAAATTAACAGGGCTCCAGCGTGACCTGCACAGTAAAGTGTCACTTAATGCAGACAGTGTGGTACTGTCTTCTTTCAGTGAATGCTTTGGTGTCGTAAGGACGGAATAAAGAAAAGGCAGTGTGCCCAGTACAACACAATATACATCAGCAGCAGCAAATTTAATTTGTTTGTCTCTAAGGGCAAGGTAATGCACTTAAGTAATTCTGTAGTGCAGCAAAGCTGAATTTCACAGACCTCAGTCTATGACAGTAAGAAATCAAGACATGAGACACCTGTTGCAGATGGCCCAGCTCCTTGTTGGGCGCTTTCCCAACATGTATAAATGAGGGGGGAGGGGGTATCAGTTACAGGTGGACAATCCAGCTGACAGGACAGACCTTCAGACACTTCGAAAGCAAACGCAAAGAGTAGCTGTAACACATCTGCTTCACCTGCAGTCTGAGGGCAAAGTAGTGCTGCAGCCACCCACTTCATGCCTTTGGACAACACCAACTCGCTGCCCACCTCTTTAAATGCACTGCAGTCAAAATCATAGTTTATGGGAAGACTGTTTGAAGACAAAAGGGCCTTCATAAAGAAGAAAGCAAAAACCATCCAAAGGCCAGACTAAGAGGTATCCGAGTAGCTCATACACACCTTGGGCAGTAGTAGCAAAAACTGGGGGTGAAATGGCACATGGACTGCAAAGTTACTCTAATGTCCTTTCCCTGAATCATCACATGGAGAACAATCTGTCTCCCCACAGAGCTATCCTCCCTTGTGCCCGTGTCTGTACAGGGGAGTCATTGCCTGCTCCACTGGAAACACAATGTTTTTGTAAATGCATTACTCTGACAAAATTACTTTTGTGTCTTGCTGTTAGTAATAAGGACCAGCTCTGAAAACAGCAATTCTTTTAAGACGTGTGCCTGCTCATCTGCCTTCCTCATTGCCAGCAAGAATCCAAAGGGCACATTAAATATAACCTTGGACTCTGGTACAGAAATAAATCATGCAACATGACCCGCGTATCAGTCGCATTGCAGTTTCTATTGCACTGATTTTTATTAGAAAGTGTTTTGCTTTTATTGAAAATACTCTATGAATGCAAACTCCACAAAGAAAAAAAAGCACAAAACATGAGTACTGTCCAAGTCCTGCTGAGATTCTCTGCAGCCCATGGGTGACAGACAAGATCTTCGCTGTTATGTCCCATGCCTCGCAAGGGCTGTGGTTTCCCCCATCCAGCAACTCTCATAGGGGTCAGCTATACAGTGCCACAGGAGCCAATGGCTGGAAAACCCATTTTGTAATTCCATGCTCCAGTTTGGTCTCTGAGGAAATGCCCCAGGGTGGTGCTGGAGTAGTGCTGCCCGCAGGCAGTGGTAGTTCAGGTATCTGGGTTCCCTGGATAGCCCATTCTCTGATAACTCTGCCTCAGCAAAACCTTTGCTTCAGGCCTCCATCTGTGCAAGGGCAATCATTAGACTTTACTACTGCCCCAAGCAGTGGCTTCACGAGACACTGTAAGAAGCAGAAGGGTTCCTGTCCACTGGGACACCCAAATACAGCAGGCGGGCTGCTTCACACCGCCTGTCCTGGGATGTGCTCCATCCTGTCCCACAGGGACAGGCAGAGCAAGTCAGGTAGCACAACACCTGAGGTCAGCTCAAGGCTTGCCAAAAGCTCCTGGGTGAGCCAAGTCCAAAAGCGATCCCTCAGAGAGCAGCATATGGGCCCACAGGAGTCAGAGACTGCCTGCTCACTCTTCCCTCTCGATTTTTTTGAGGCACTCAAACGTGTTTTTACTTCCTGTGCAAAGGGAAGATGTCCAGCATTCACTGACACTGCTGGCTGCTGCTTCAATGAACTGGGATTCATTTTGTGATTGGTTTTGCAAACCTGGGGAGAAGCGGTATTGTGCATTGACCTGCTCCTGCTGCTTTTCAGGGGCAACAGAAACATCCCTGATGTTCATCAGCAGTGCTTTTTGGTGGCACCAGAGCCTTGGACCACTGCCTGGGTAAGTGCCATCCCAGTCAGGGAGTCATTTGTCTTTGGGTTTGGGTTCTCATAGAAGAGGATTACTTGTTTAGTGCTCGAAACCAAGATTTTTCTCTGGGATATGTTGATGTAAATTTTTGACTTTGTAGTAGTCCAGTATTGTTGTCCTCCTTCAGAGCAGCTGGAGGTGGTGCAAGTCCTCTGTGAGGGGAGTCAGACCACGATTTCTCCTCAGCATAGTTTCCTGCTGCAAAACCACAAGAGGGAAAAGTCTGTAACTTGTGGTATTTCTGCTCCATCTCTTAATGAAGGAATTACTCCAACTCATTAAAAAATGTTAGAGGTGAAACTATCTAGCTCATAGGCCCTTTCATTTCCTACTCTAATAACTTGGACTCTTTTTTTTTTTTTTTTTTTTTTTTTTTTGAAAAAAGCTACCACCACTAGGTGATCACTTGCAAACTTTTGAATTTTCATGGAACTTGCATGCAAAAATCCCAGCTGATGATGATTTTTGCCAAAAGGTTTGAAATAAAATCCTGGCTTTGGTAGTAAACTAGTACTTTTTGGCACTCTATAAAAATTCCAAATGTTTAAAAAGTCACAGAATCCACAATTCCTGTAACAAACCTTAAGTACTGCTAATCACAGCAGTAATGAGCTTTCAATACTAAAATCTCTCTGGCAGATAGGTTGGGAAGGAAGGGGTATGCTATCTGTGTGTGCTGAGATGCTGCATGGTGTTACATGCTCCTGAGCTTCTCACTTGTTTTTTGTTTCACAGGTTCCAGATGTGTATGGGCTTTTCTCTGCCTCTTCACAGAGAAATTGGATGTCTCTTTTGAAGACACATTTTAATCAAGTGGAAATTACTGGAATCACTACAGGGGGGAAATAGTTCAAAATCTGTGGCCTGTATCATGCAGGCTTTTTGGATCCACATTGAACAACCCATGGATACTTGGAGAGGGAGCCTGTTTCCTACTCCAACACTGGCTTCAGTTGAACTGCAGCTTGGTAATGAAGGAGGAAAAAACAGCACTCACCATCCTTTTAGCCCTTATGCCTCCTAGGTAGGAAACTTACTCCTGGTCTGTAGGTCTTGCTGTGTTTTCAGGATGAGGTCGTATGCCCTGCGCTAAGCCAAACCAACTGCTCAGGGCTGTGCCATGCCCCATGGAGGAAAGTACTGCTTTCTGGCTAGAGATGCAAACTACTCTGCTGAGAAGTGGCATGCTGATGTTGAGCTGAGCAGCCCTTTCAGCATTACAAAGCCTTGCTGGGCAAATATACATCAGTTGAGCGGCGTACAAAGCAGGGTAGACGGTCTGGGCATTTCTGTACTTTGTGGGCTCTGGACTCACGGGCCAGCAGCCTGGAACTTCCCTGAGAGCCTCTGAGGCTCAGGTAGGCTGATGGCACGTGGTCATGAGACAGACCTGCTGGGAAAGGGGAGGGCTGCGCACTGGCTGGTGGTTGCTGACTGGATCACACTCATCCTGGAGGGAACAGTCCAGGAGAAAGACATGCCGACACCATCACACCTCCAGATGAACATCTCCCTACAGGTGGACCGGGCTACATCTTCATTTTGAGACTAAAAAGATTTCCTGGCCTGAAGAAATGAGGCGTTTCACTCCATATGGATGTGCTGATATCGGCTGCTAGGGGTCATTAATACACACCTATTAGCCATTTTTATTTTAAGAATATCAAGTAGTACTTGTATCTACCATCTGTAGGGTTTTTTTTTATTTTATTTTTTTAGTGGATTAGGTTGAAAAAGGTTTCCTTTCGGGACTGCAGGCCCAAACCCATCCTCACAAGTGTGAGGGTACCAACCCCTGGAGATGTATGTTTGACCCAGAAGCACAGATCCCTGTATTGCACCCAGTACCAGCAAGTACCGGTCTGAGGACAGGTGGGTGCAAGGTGCTGCATCATCTGGGAAGAAGCTGCTTGAAGGTCAGCTGCTGCACAGTGCCCTCTGCGTGCAGGCTTTCTGGTCTATGGGGGGCACGCGTGGGGCTCGCATCCCGACACAGCCAGCTCACGATGACAAGAGAAAGCTGTGGTAAGCCCGACAAAGTTGCTTGGATGGCACATCTTACACTGCCCGCTTTATGGTAGAAAGGGGGAGAACAAAACTCCCCAGTGGGTAAAGAGGACAGAAGCAACGCCGCAGCACTCCGGCAGCATTGTGTGCTTCTGTAGCAAGCAGCAGTTTATAAAGCACCTGATGATACTTTAGTAGAAACAGGAATTTTTCAGTGCCTCAGGTGGGAAAGGGACTAAGACTGTAACAGTAACATAACAGTTGATTTAAATATCTCAGAGTAATTACCATGCAAGAGCCCCCTTTGGTGCAGCAACACCCATCTGCCTTGCTTAGGTATTCTGAAGGAAAAAAAGAAATAGCTGAGATGCTGCTTTTCTGCAGTGCCTCCGTAAGATGACACAGCAAGCTTTCTCAGTAACTTGTTAATGTAAGATGAAAAGCAGCATCTTTCTTTCTGAGACCAGGCTGTATTTATTTCCCTTAACGCTTTCCAGCCAAGCTACCTGTAGTGTACTTGAGCACTCTGGAACCTGTAAGTGGTTCAAGCCACTTAATTCTTTCTTGGCTTTGGGCTCCTGGGAGTTTTCCCTGCCCCGGAGAGCTGATGAAATAACATCAACTGACATTTAATGTCCTGTGGTGGGGTGCTGCAACGAGCTCCCTGCCTCGGTTCCCATCAATAACGCACTTCTCTGAGTAAGGTTAGTGCGGGACAATCCAGAGGCTGTTGCAGTTAACGACCAGCTTCTGATCCGCCTTCTCACAGGGAGCAGCTGCGGGGACGGGCAAGGTCAGCCCGGCCTCGGGAAGCCCCGCTCCGCCAAGAGCTGTCGGTACCGGCCGGGGCTGATCCTTGGGCCCAGCGGCACCAGAGCTGCGGCTGCACCGAGGGAAGTGAGCGGGACCGGGTGGAGCCGCTGCCGAGCTCCTGGGGACGCTGGGATGTGCATGGGGCTGTGGCTCCGGTCCCCACCCCGCCCCGGCTGCCGACGGGCCACCGAAACGCGGTACGGTGGGAGGGGGCGCGGGAAGGTGTCTGGTGCCGCGCATGCGCAATGGTGCCCGCCCCCCCGCGGCCACCTGGCGACCGAAACGCGGCATTGCGTGGCGTTCGCCAGTGCCGCACCGCGGTGCCGGCGAGGTGGCCGCTCCGCCGCCCCCGCCGCTGCCTCCCGGTAAGGAAGGGGGCAAGGGCCGCCGCCGCCCAGGGCTCGCTGCTGCTGCTGCTGCTGCTGCTGCCGCCCGGGGCTCGCTGCTGCTGCTGCTGCTGCTGCTGCTGCCGCCCGGGGCTCGCTGCTGCTGCTGCTGCTGCCGCCGCTGCCGCCCGGGGCTCGCTGCTGCTGCTGCTGCTGCCGCCGCTGCCGCCCGGGGCTCGCTGCCGCCCGGTGACGGAAAGGCGGCGCTGCAGCGCCGGGCCGCCAGGGGGCGCCGCCGCCCTCGCTGCCGCCGCCGCCCGGTGGCGGGAAGGCGGCGCTGCGGCCGGCAGCGTCTGCGTCGCCGCGGGGGCTGCCGGCCCGTGGTTGATTCTCAGAATCAATTTCGGTTGGAAAATACCTTTAAGACCCTAAACCGAACGCTGACAAGTCCACCACTAAACCACGTCCCCAAGCGCCACATCCACACAGCTTTTAAATCCCTCCAGGCATGGTGACTCAACCACTTCCCTGAGCAGCCTGTCCCAATGCTTGACAACACTTTCAGTGAAGAAATTTTTCCAAATATCCAATCTAAACCTCGCCTGGCACAGGTTGACACCATTTCCTTTCATCCTATCTCGTTACTTGGGAAAAGAGACCAACACCCACCTCTCTACACCCTCCTCTCAGGTAGTTGTAGAGAGCAATAAGGTCTCCCCTCAGCCTCCTTTTCTCCAGACTAAACCACCCCAGTTCCCTCAGCCGCTCCTCATAAATCTTGCTCTCCAGGCCCTTCACCAGCTTTGCTGCTCTTCTCTGGACGCGCTCCAGTACCTCAGTGTCTTTCTTGTGGTGAAGGGCCCAAAACTGAACACGGCGTTCGAGGTGCGGCCTCACCAGTGCCGAGTACAGGGGGACGATCGCTGCCCTAGTCCTGCTGGCCACACTATTGCTGACACAAGCCAGGATGCCGTTGGCCGCCTTGGCCACCTGGGCACACTGTTGGCTCGTATTCAGCCGGGTGTCGACCAACCCCCCCCAGGTCCTTTTCCACCGGGCAGCTTTCCAGCCACTTCTCCCTGAGCCGGCAGCGTTGCCGGGGGCTGTGGTGACCCAGGCGCAGGCCCGGCACTGAGCCTTGTGGAGCCTCATACAACTGGCCTCAGCCCATCGACCCCGCCTGTCCCCATCCCCCTGCAGAGCCTTCCCACCCTCAAGGAGATCAACACTCCTGCCGTACTTGGTGTCATCAGCAAATTTACTGAGGGTGCACTTGATCCCCTCATCCAGATCATTGATGAATTCCTCCTCCTAGGTGTTGTCGCCTGACACTTTCTAAACTTTCTTTCAACATCTCCGTCTATGTGGTTCAATGTCCCTATTTTTTAATTCTTGCCTATGTTTATTGGACCTTCTTGCCTTTTAAATCCTCTTTCTGTGTTTCTGTATTGGGTTTGTGTGTCAAGGGTTTATCAGCAGCAGTGCTGCAGGGGTGACTTCTGTGACAAGACACCAGGAGCTGCCCCCATGGTAGACAGAGCCAGTTCCAGCCATCTGCAAGAAGGACCTGCTGGTGGCCAAATCTGGGCCACAGTTCTCCAGGTGTGGCCTCACCACTGCTGAGCAGAGGGGAAGGATCATTACACGTTGCTACTGCCCCGAGCAAGGTGGTTTCACCAGAGACTGTAGGAAGTGGAGGTATTCCTGTCCACTGTCCCATCAGACTGGCCTGTGAGGGAGATGCCTGGCAACTGGCAGGAAACAAGAAGAGGAGGTGAGTTGTGCAACATGGTTTTTATATCTGCCTTATAAAACAAAATAATTTCCTATTGCCAGAACTGGTTATGGAAGACGTGTCCATCCACACTAGGACTAGATTTGAAAGATGTGTGGAAAGAAGTCCTCACCTTAATTATGAAGGTCTAGCACCTCTATTTGTAGTAGAAAGGCTTTGTGGGAAAAGGGAGTATTTGCCTGCTTAGAAGGGGTTACAACTCCCACCTAGGAATAAATGTGGTTTCATAATTCAGAATCCAGCTTCTTGTAAAGCTTTGGGAATATAGATGTGCTGGGTTTCTGTGGCAGGGGAGGGGGGCTACAGCGGTAGCCCCTGTGAGAAGCTTCTCAAAGCTCCCCCAGCTCCAAGTCAGACCCACCTCTGGCCCCGGCCGAGCCAACCAGTGATGGTGGCAGCGCCTCTGGGATAATGTATGTAAGAAGGGGAACCTGGGAGGAAGTGGGGACTTGAGTGAGGAGGAGTTGGGAGAAGGATGAACACTGAGGTCAGTGGAAGAAAGAAAGGAGAAGGAAGGGGGGGAGGTGTGCTGGAGCAGAGACCCCTGTATCCCGTGGTGAGACAGCAGGGCCGCCCCCCTGCCACCCATGGAGGTCCACGGTGGAGCAGAGGCCGACCTGAAGCCTGTGGAGGAGCCCACGCCAGGACAGGCGTCTGTGCTCAAAGGAGGCCGGGACTCTGAGGGGAGAAGCAGCCCCCGCTGTTGTGGTTCGGCGCTGGGAGGGCTGCAACACGCGGGGGGGACCCACGCCGGAGCAGCTCGGGAACGGCTGCGGCCCGTGGGGAGGCCTCACTGTGGAGAAGGTTCATGGAGGGCTGTCTGCAGGGAGAGGGGAGCCCCGGGGAGCAGGGGAGGGATGGGCAGCGTTCACCCCCCCTCCTGAGCAGGAAGGAGCGGCGAGCTGGCTGTAACCCCCATCCCCTGCCCCTGCGCCGCTGGGGGAGGAGGGGGAGAGATGGGGAGCAGAGCTGAGCCCGGGAAGAAGGGAGGGGTGGGGGGAGGTGGTTTTGGATGTGGTGGCGCTTCTCACTGTCCCACCTTGTCTGTTAGGTGTTGTCTTTGTTAGTGTTTGAATGAAAGTGATGTTCTTTCTTTTCTTCCCCTCAGGGGTCTGTCTTTTGCTCCTGACCAGTAATGGGTGAGCCACCCCTCCCTGTCCTATCTTAATTCCCAAGCCTTTTACTTTATTTTCTCCCCATCTCTGAGGGGGAAAAGGTGAGTGAACGGCTGCATGGTGCTCAGTTGCCCTCTGGACTCAAACTATAACAGTAGAGGAAGCAACATCTGTTGTCTTTAGCGTTCTCCATTTCCCATGAAAGTGCTTAATCATTCTACACTTTTGTCTCTACCACCCAATATTACTGGTCTTTGCAATCAGTCTTGTCAAGATGAAGCAGTTTTGTAGTACCCTTTTCTACTAATTGTTATGTAAGATAAGGACAATGTAAAGCAGAAAAATGCTTGTTCTCAGCTTCCCTAAATCAAATCTGTTCCAAGGATCTTTCTAGAGTTTAGAAGAAAGGAGAAGTCACTATCCTTATCATACAGTGCAGACGAAGTGAAGGGCACCTTTAAAGTCAAGGAGAGCCAACAGCATACAGCTCAGTCAACACTTCAGGGTGTGATTGTTTTTTTTTTTTTAAAAAAGGGGCATGAGAATCTTGTTGAGTCTTGCCCTTTCAGGTTTCCAGTCTAAACAAAATGGATTTATATTAATTCTGTTTAAATGATCATCCTTTTAATAACACTTTATTCTTGCTACATGTGTCAAAGATTATTTTAGTGTTCTTAAGAAATTTAACCTTGTAGTACCTTTTTTCTTTTTTTTTTTTTTTTAACCACCAGTGAAAACTAGAAGTTCCTACCAAAACAGACTCCTTTATAGAAACCTGCATTTTTTTTTATACACAGACCATACAAACTATTATCAAGTAATCACCAGAAACCATGCTTTATTCAACATATACTTTTTAACCCACCAGAATAAAACCAAGCAACTTTGTCCAAAAATCTGACTGTAGTGTTGGGCCTTTCTTTATTTGGAAGATCTATGTGATCAATTTATTTAAACATGTTTAACTTCTGGACATAAATTGTCTTTAAGAATTCAAGCAAGTCTACTGACTGACTTTAATGAAAGGAAAACTCAAGAGGCCTCACTAGCTTTTGTTGCTTTCTGTAACTTAGAAGGTTTTTTTCTATCTAACATTGATGAATCTACTGCACAACAAAATAAGTATTCCTGTATAACTTATTTATGTACTCATGTTTGAAGAAGGAATCAGCCGCATTTTACTTAGTATCTAAATCAGAAAAATTATTCTTTCTAGAAATAAAAAAGCAATCTTCCATTTTATTTTAGTTGTCGTAAAGCATGCATAATACACACTATCCCCAAATTTCCCTTTGCTTCTACCTTACAAGCAAAGCAAACCATAAGTTCTTTGTTTTAAATTCCCCTCTCACGTTCTCTGATAACTCCCACAACTGTTTTTGCGCTTCCAGCTTAGCAAATCTTACAGTCAAGGTAAATCTACAGAAATAACTGGCATAGCAAAAAAGTAAAACCAACTTTATTTCTGCACAGCACAATACAGCCTGGTGGCCTGCTTCCATGGCAAATTGGAATAACTTCAGTTAACTTTAAACAGCCTCTAAGAAAAATATTTAGGTTTGTTCTGTATAACTCTTTACTTTTGCCTACAACAACCAGATAATAAGGAATAGATTAATCAAACCTAAATTTCATTTGAAATAACATTAGTCAACACTTCTGGTGTAATTTAGGCAGAAAAAAACAGGGTCTGAGTGCTTTGCCAGGCAGTGTTCGTTCTTAGTGAGTATATGCTTTTTCAGAGCACCACTATAACCTATTTAATGTTCTGCTTTTGATTTTGCTCCAAATTTACATTATTTAGCTAGCTCTAAGTATTTACACCACAGTGTAACTCTAGATGCAGACAGCCTTATGCCTCACTGGCAATATTTTCCTTAGAACCCTGGCTCACATGAGAACTTCCGTGTTGCCCTATTTCTTTGTACAAACAGAGCTTTCTTCCTTTGTGGGTCCTTGTTAATTAGAAATACTTTGAATAGTTTGAATCCCACAGTAGCAAAACATTATGGCATAACACATAAACTGCGAAGAAAGAGCTACCTCTAGCGCGGATCGCTCCCCAGCATGCCTAGTGACAGGGCAGCGCTCTGCATTTCCAGCCCCTCGCCTCTTGTCTGACTTGCTGCAGTCACAGCCTTTTGCTGCGGCTCTGCCCCTGCCCCAGAAATGGGGAATGGGCCTTACCTGCCCACCCCCCCCAAAATTCACCCTTCATTTCCTTTTGCCGCTGCTCCTGCTTTGGAGGGTAGATTGGAGAGATTCTGCACAGGCAGAGCCAAGGCACTAAGAGTACGAAGGTTGGAGGGTTTTGTAGAGCAGGGAGCTGTTTAGAGAAAAATCACCGTCTCTCCATATAAGTACAATTAAACCTGGTCTCTGTGGGGAATAGAGACCAGATGTTATATGCTGCTTCTTAGTTTTTTACTTCTGCAAACTGAATGGATAGTGGGGGCAGATAGTGCCTGTGCTCTGTAATCTTCTGCCCTTTTAGATTACACTTCAGTGGATTATTCAGATTTACCTGATTCAGGACATTTCTGTGTAAAGTATTTGCATTGCAAAAAACCTATTCTCTCTTTACTTTTTTTTTTCCCTAAATTTTATTTATCTGTGTGTTTCTCAGTTATCTGATTTTTTTTTTTCTGGTGTTTTATAGAACAGTCTGGAATTTATCCATAAAACTGGTAATTTTCTGACTGTAGTGAGTTTTCCTGAAACTAGGATATCATGCATCTTTTTATACAAGCTTGTTTTATCTCATTATTATGCTTTTCTTCAAGCTCTGATTCTTCTAGAAAATATCATTTTGTAGAAGTGCCCTAGTGAGGTGTCGTGGTTTCAGCTGGGATAGAGTTAATATTCTTCCTAGTAGCTGGTGCAGTGCTGTGTTTTGGATTTAGTTGTGGGAGTGATGTCGATAACACACGGATGTTTTAGTTGCTGCTAAGCAGCTCTTATCTGAAGTTAAGGATTTTTCAGTTTCCCATGCTCTGCCAGCAAGCTGGTGCACAAGAAGCTGGGAGGGAGGATGGCCAGGACAGCTGACCCGAACTGGCCAGAGGGCTGTTCCATACCATAGAGCACCATGCTCAGTATAGAAACTGGGGGGGAGTGGGCTGGGAGGGGCCGGTCGCTGCTGGGGCATCAGCCAGCGGGTGGTGAGCAATTGCCTTGTGCATCGCTTGGCTGTTCTGGGGTTTTAATTCTCTCTCTTTTTGCTATATTCATTTTAATTATTATTATTTTACTTTATGATTGTTATTAGTCTCTCTCTCTTTTTTTTTTTTTTTTTTTTTAGTTATTAAACTATTCTTATCTCAACCCATGAGTTTTGCGTTTTTTTGATTGTCCTCCCCATCCCACTGGGAGCAGGGAGGAGTGAGCCAGCAGCTGTGTGGTGCTTAGTTGCCAGATGGGGTTAAATCGTGACATGAGGTGACTGAGCGTTTTCTTTATCAGTTATTTCTTACCAAATTTGCCTATGGTGCAGGTTAAAGTCTCTCTCTCTCTACTGCCAACTCAGCTATAGTTAATCATGCAATTTAGTTGGATGATAATTTATTCCAGCTAATGATGCATGAGATGTAAAAAGCCCAAAGGAGGAGTTTGGGGGACTGGAAATTAGAAGGGGAAAAATTCCCAAACCAAACATTCCCACCTTTTTTCCTTGCAAACTCAGCATATCTTATGCTGAAATTACTGAGACACCATGGAGCCCTGCTTTTTTTTACAGTCTCTTGGTGGTGGAATCACACTTTAAATCATTCTGCAAAAGCATGACTTAGTTAACACTTCATTATGCAAGAAGATTTCCACTATGCTGTAGTTGGCAGAAAAATCTGACTTTCCTCATGC